GAACAATTCATGGCATATCGGTGTGCACCGTTAATTTTTCTTTTCTGGCGCGATTCTCTTTCACACTGTTGATATTGTTTTCATTTTTTTCCGCTTCTATTCGGGATTCCCTTCATTTGTGTTCAATTGCTGTGAAGGCCTTCGGCTCGAATCTGTAGCAACAATTCGTATCTCTTTTTCTATTTATTCTTGAGTTTTTCGCTATTTTCTACTCAATATCACTCTTGCACTGCCTCAGGCAAGCGATTGGAGTATGTGAGAACGGAATAACAAGAGCATAAATTCTATTCGGAATTATATCGATACATCAATCAACCGATTGTGTCTCATTAACATAGTTTATAACGCCGTTTTGAATTCAAACCGTTTACAATCGGTTTTCAAATTCGCAACAGAAAAAGAAATTGCACAACAACATTGATGCAGGTGTCTTTCAATATCGTCTAATTATATTTAAATTTATGTTGATTTCGCGCTGAGTGGTTGAACTGAAAGCGACGAAGTTCGCATGAACTCCACACCACAATTGAAATCCAAGCATAGTGTGCAGTCGAAGTGTTTAATGACAAATAAATCGTCCGTAAATATTGGAAGCGATTAAATGTGACAGCATTAAATTGCGCTTGTAATTTACTCTGTTTTTTCCTCTCGCTGTTCGCCAACATCGTCGTCGTCGTCGTCGTCAAACAGAAAATAGCCGCATTTTTGCAGGCCCCAAGAGTTGAATGTGCGTCATAAAAAAATTATACATTCTGAGTCGAAATAACAAAAAAGAAACTCACATTCAGGAAATTGAAAGTAAATTGATAAATCATATAGACGTGTATTAGTCTTAATCTTGCCTATTAAATAAATGACGAAGCATTGATGCCGGAGATGTGTTGAGAGAAGCGATGAGAAAACGTGAATTTCATACACACAAAAATCGGCCCATGGTGCAAAAACCAAAATTCAATTGCTCTGTTTAAGAATAAACTCTATTCGCCATAGATTGAATCGATTTAAATGCTTTCATGACAGACCCCGACCCAATAACAAAATTCGCGAAATGAAGGAATTGAAAACGATACAGAACAGAACACTGTTATGAATGTATTTATTTTTATTGCGCCCACGTATATGCTGATTAGGATAAATGGGAATTTCATTTTTTGTGTGCGACCAAATGAGCAGCAATAATGTATTTACCCTCTTTTACCGCAACTTATTCTTCATTTCGGTTAATCGGTGCTGATTTGATTAGTGCGCGCTCTCCGTGTGCGCGATATGTATGTGTTTATATGTCATTTTATTTTTTCTACAAATATTCATCATCATTGACGATCATCGTTCGTTGTGCTTGCGAATTTCTCTTTCTCTCGCACCATTCTCTCAGCGTTCGCCAACTGACCACAGCGATATCAGGTCATCAATAAAAGTTTTTGCGAATATATTTATATCAATTTTTTTCTTCGCCGCACTGCGTTTTCTGGTCGCAGCCATTGAGCGCAAGCTCGCACGCTCTCCTTCGTTTCGAATCACATTGTTTATTTGCTTGCTCGCTCGCTCGCTTGCTTATTGGTTTCGTTCGTAAATTAAATGTATTTATAAAATTGTTTGCTATTTGCCGAACGTGTGCGGCACTGATATTAGGTGCCGTTTTCTATTCTTTATAAACATTGACCATACAGCACGATCACCATCTATGCCCATAATGTGTGCACATGTATATACACATCGAGTCTCGTTCGTTCGCTCGCTGAGCTCAACTGCTGTTGCCCAATGAAAACAACAATAACAGCAACAGCAGCAACCAAATCAAAAACAAAACAAAAACGAGAGGGAAAAAAATTATTTATAAACGTTGCGTACGTAACAATATGTTCAGCATTTTTAATATGGGCTGTTTATATGTATAGTTTTGATTCGATCGTTCCGTTTGCTGTTTGAAAAAGATCTTTCTGTTTGGTTTCGGGCTCGATCTCGCTTTCGCTAGTGCCATCAATTGTTTTGATTTCTCGCTCGTAGCCACCGTCGCTGTCGTCGTCGCTATCGCTGCCGCTGTCATTGCGCTGCCAATGAACGTCATTGCCAATAATTTTTCGCACAGCAAGAATGTTGTTGTCAGTATGTTTTTTTTCTTCTGTTTCTTTTTCTTTATTCGATGTTCGTTCGTTGCCGAACGGTGGGTCGATTGATGCAATTTCGTTGTGTACGTGAGAAACGCTCAGTGGCTCATGTTATTAATCTAAATCACCGACATTCACAACCATACATACATCTATCAATGCATGTATATTAAATTTTATTTTATTTCATTTCAAACTATTTCGTTTCTTCTCTCTCGTTCTTGTTCTCGCAAAAATTCTTTGTTCGTTTGTTGTGAATGCGCTCGCGCGTCCACCTCAAAAAGCCAATTACCATGTTTGGTCTTGGATTTATTTCAATTAAATTATTATGTTCGATTTGTGTGTTTGTGCCGGCCGTATGACAGTTTGCCGTGCCTAAGGTGCCTAAGGTTACCGATTGGGTTAAATGTTTGCCTACGATGGAATGTTTTTTTTTTCGGCTACTAAACCAACTGCAAAGTTCGAAAGAAAAAAGCTTTCGGCTAGAAACAATATTTTATCATTGTTGCGCCGCAATTTACCGAAATAGGTTCGACAATGAGCGCACGTCCGAGCGACAGTCGCACTGTAGTGGATTAAGTGCTTCCATTCGTCTTCGGAATTGTCAATCAACACAAACAAGATCGGCACAATTGCCGCAAATGAATTTTACTGTTTACTGAAGTATTTGCTCAGCGAGTAGTGTGTGTGTGTGTATGTGATAGCCATAGAAATGTTTGTCCGAATGCTGCGATTCTAATCCGAGAGTGTCTAACATAAATGAATAAGTGCCGGTTCTCGGGGGCCGTTAAGTAATTTAGACACTTAAACTGTGTTGTTGAAGCGATAATTCGGTGAAATCATGTGGATGCGTGGACGAGCCCATAATTAAGTGCTTCCGTTTTATGGAATTGCGACTTTAGCTTATATTTTTTCTTCAGCTCTTTTTCTTCTTTCTTCGCTACCAATGACTTAGTAAAACTATCCGATCGCACGACACGAAACGAAACAAACAAACAAACAATCACACACCCGCACAGCTGAGAGTGAGTATGCGCGTGTGTGTGTGTGTGTGCGCGTGCAATGAGAGCTAGCATTGATTTGAATCGAAGCGCAGACTTTGCACACAAACCATTTAATTCGCATTAATCTCAAGTATATTTGTCCAAGCATATATATTGAGCGAGTGCAGAGCCGGGTTCACAGCTAAAGACGAGAAATTTCCAGAATAAACCGAATAGCTCACACCACCACCGGGGTTGAAAACAATTATCGCATGTTTACAAATGTACAATTCACTTGCATCGGCTACGCAAACCATGTGACCGAATGAGAGAGTGAGAGAAAGTGATTTTGTTTTTTCGTCGTTGATTTAAAAGAATTGTGCGAGCGACGCAAAAGTGAATATATCAAGTGTACAATTGCTTCGGTTGTTTGCACATTTAAAATGATATCAAGTTGGAAAGTCAAAAACCCCGACCCTAACTTCTTAGCCGCCAATGTCTCTCTGTCTCTGTGACCTGTCTCGAGAGACAGAGACAACGACGCGGGCGAGAGTGAGCAGTATTTTTTAATGATGCACAATGTGCCAATAGAATTTTGATTATCCAATTTGAGAATGACGTTCGTTCGTACGTCTCAAATGGCAATTTGGCACGAACAGTGGACGGGAAATGAAGCGAAATAGAGCAGAAGAATCAGAAAAAAAGCCAGAATAAAATCAATATTAAACTTTGAAAATAACGTGGAGAAAAAAATGATGAGGAAACGCAACAGATAGCCCTAGATTGATGCTGCGCTCAATTTGAAATCAGAGAGGCGAGAATGCGAGCGTGAGCGTGAGTGTATATTTATAAACTGGACACTTTTCACACTGGCAGTGTGTTAAAGCCACAAGCTATTGACCGATAGCATAATAATTGTTTTCGTCATCGAAGCAGAAACCAGAATCTGTGCGGTACGGGCACAAGAGCGCGTACGCACCGAGAACAAATCACTGAAAACGAATATGCGAACGCCAATTCTCTCTAGCGATTCCGATTGGATTTCATGGGGTGTTCAATCTCGACAAGTGCAAAAGCCATAAAATAATTGATTGATTTTACAAATGTCCATGTTCGCCGAGTTCATTGAGTATAAATTTCTGTTTGTGTGCGTGCGTGTGTCAAGTTACAACGTTTCCAACGTTTCACGTGATTTGCGTTTCAGAAAAGTACTCCAATTACATACCACGGGACCAAATCACCTCCTTCATTTTTTCCATGTAACCAATTGACGAAATTGAATTAACGGATACAAAAAAGAGCATATCCAATGAAAAGAGAGAGAGAGAGAGAGAGAGAGAGAGAGAGAGAGAGAGAGAGAGAGAGAGAGAGAGAATAGTGACAAAAAATGTCGGCCAACAACACCTTTAGAACACACGCAATTTGCGTTAACGATTCACGTGTTCTTATGACATGGTTGTTCACTTAAATCTGGCCTCAATGAATAATTTATTTTCATGAAATGTTTTGCGCACGAGAGAAAAAAAAAACATCTCACACATAAAATAAATTGTGTGTACGATAAAAGAAGATGAAAAAAAAAACGAACGGCCGTAACCATTAAGACAAAAAGTCGACTCAAATCATTCCAATCATGGTGCTAATTATTATATCGTTACACACCACAAAAAAATGTGTGACAGTCGCACAAAATTTTATGCAATTTTTCAATCATCGAGCAACAGTTGAAACGTAAATTACCCTTTAGTCACATGTTCAACATATGTCATATATGCGAATGCTGTGTGTGTGTGTGCTGCCAATCTAAATACACGTACACTTGGACTTGATCCATGTGAAATCGATCCGTTTCGGTTTAATTTGTTATTAAACGTTTTTTTTTCTTCTTTTCATTCTTGGCTTATTTCAGAACACACTATGGAATCGCGATAATTGCATTGGACCAACGAGAAAATTGTCTTATGAGCGCTATCATCAATTCGAGTAAATATGTAGACTGTATGTGCCTGGATAGCACACATTCAAAAACAACAAGAGCAACGATCAACTACGACGCTGACAACAGAAAAAGACAGTGTATCCAAAAGAAATACGAAACGACAAGAAGAAAATAGCCTGCGAATAACTGAGTTATTCCAGTGATAGTGAAGCTGACAAAGGCCGCAACAGTAACACATTGGAATCACATTTCATGGAAGGTTGCTGGTCTACTAACGCGTGCGCTTATGTGTTTCAACAATTTGAAGAAAACGAGAAAAAAAAAACGTGTGAACAAATTTTGCAATGTGACTAAGCAAAACATAAATTGAATAATTTCGACAAATTCAAAACGTGAATAGGTGTTTTTTTTTGTTGTTCAATCTATCTTTTGCATAATCATTGCGAATCGTTGCGAACTAATAGCAGAGGAAAAAGTTGCGAGCAAAGTAAATAGAGCGAAAAAGGCGCGCAACAATAACGGTAACATTTCCAGAGAGAAAAAAAGGTAGCAAAGTGAAACGAAAAGTCTCGCAAAACAAAACAAAGCAAAGTAAAAACAAATACACAACCGTGATCTAGTCTTTTTAAAGTGATTCTTCAGTCATTCTTGTCGATGCGATAATCTTAACATTAGAGAATTCACAAGCAAACACATCCATTGATTCAATCGTTCGGTCAATACAAATTTCGAAATCAACTCTCAATTTCGTCATCTTCGTTGAGAAGTCATACGCTGGGCGACCAAGAGAAAGAAAAAAAAAACACGCAAATTCAACGCACAAAATAAATGCTCGCAAAAAAAAAAATATATATATCGAATAAAATCAAACCAAACATAACTAAATGCTAACTCGAACTGTGAATTGATTGAGACTAGTCCATAATAAACAAAGTAAATACATTTATTTTTGCGGGAAAAAAAAGAAGTGCTTCAGTTCAAATAAACCAATAACACGTTTCAACGATCACGGATTTAGAGAAAGAGAACGAGGCAGCAGCAGCAGAAGCAGCAATAAAAAGTGTCAATCGCTTGAAGCATTTCATTTCTTTGGAACGTGATTGGATTGATTTTTTTTTTCTGTGTGAACGCCGGAGACTATTCGCCAGGAGTTTGTTAATTTTGGATAGCGAACAATTTATTCATCCGTTCGTAACAGCATTCATACATTTATATATACCGCAATCTAGGGTATATGAGTGAACATCAGCTCCGATTCAATTGCAACACGCTAATTGATAGCGACAATAAAATCGTGTATTATTCGAGATTGCCGTAATTTATGTTGCGGTTAGTTACAGAAACACAACGAAAGAGATAGAGATAGACAACTACTACAACACGACACACATTCGGTTTAGATTATACCATCATAAATTTTTTTTCCTGGTGAAACGATAATATAACAAAAGCAAGCCAAAATTGCGACCAAACGCAGACGAAAAATTGGTGGAAGATACAAATTGAATATGCCATTAAACGGAGATACGATCAACGCAGATAAGTTGAGCGGTATCGACGAAGAATCAGACATTTATGAAGGTTTTTCGCCACACGTTGATCGATCGCAAATTCAACTACCCGATCCATCGCCAACATCTGGTAAATAAATGCACACAATTTTTGATTCTTCTAAACTATTTATTCAGAACTAGCGACTCCTTCGCAATTTCTGATATAGAAAAGTATGTGAAACACTTCATGAGACTAACCGAATCAAATTGTTTATGTTTCTGTGTTTAGAGAAAAAACCACCGTTGAAAACATTCGAAGATGTGCAAGCGCTGCTCAGTCAAGGCAAAAAGCGAGAGGTGAAGCTGTTAATACGTGATAATGCGTGGCCAATCAATTCAACGATACGTGCGCAACTGTGGCCCGCGATATGCAGCCAACACCAAGTGGGAAAAAGCATGCTGGAAGGCTACTACTGGGACATGGTTAATCAGGTGAGTGATTGTTTCGGTTTATTTTAATGGCAAAGGGAAATTAATATTTCATTGATTGAGCAAGTTTCATTGACTTTTCACGCACACAAGAACACACGTGCGTCAGATACGTCAAAAATATACGAATTTGAAGCAAAATTTTCGATTCGTCTGGAACAGATTTCGGTTCTTTTTTCAAAGTTGTTTCATTGCTTTTACAAGTTGAAATATTTTGAATTCCTGCCATATCTTGGCGAAATCAACACCCATAAAAATTGTGATTTCATGACTTCGTTCCAGCTTACTCTTGATTGCTTTTGAGCTAGAGCAAATTGTGTGGAAGAAAATGTTCACTTGTATCGCATAAATTTTAAGTCTGAGTCCAATCAATTCATTGCTTCGCATTTCTTTCTCTCCTTCCCACGTATTGAACGAAGGAACAAAGCGGAAACTTTTAAATCAATTTTCAACTTTTTGATGAAAAATCTTATACAAATACACAACCGGCAAAGTTTTATCAATCTTTTTTTATTGCACCACGTGACTCTCATGCAGTAAACTTGATCTTTTATGTAAACCATGTGAATGTTGTTGTTGTTACAGGTATTTGGAACGACAGAATTACCCGATAAGCCAATAATGTTGCCGCCGTTCGTTGACCCAACGCATTGCCTGCCATATTATTTGACGCGAAAAGGGCGAGCAGTTGCTGATCGTGTTGTTAGTGTATTAGCATACGTTTGCCCAGATATCACCTATAGTCCAACAATTTATCCCATTGCAGCTATCCTACTACATTTTATGTCTGGTAAGTGTAATCGGGCCACATCGATTGGTTCGCCAACTTTTGAGCTTTCCATTCAAAATTGAAGCGTTTGCCAAATTTCCGTTTTTCTTTCTATTTCATTTCAGAGGAGGAATGCTATCACTGTTTAGCCAACTTAGTGGCCGCCAAAGAGAAGGTGTTCATTACACAAACGAAATTATTGTATGAAGTAACTTGGAAAACTGTGATGCAAATAGCCAAAAAGCATGCTGTAAGTGCCTTTGATCAAACGGACAAACTTTCTTCTTCGCTCATAACTTTTCAAATTGAATTATTGAACTTTTCTCATTTGAACTTTTTTTTTACTCTATTTTTCGTTCTAATTTGCTTTGAATTCGGTTTTTCTTATCCCAAAACAGAAATCAGCTGTAGCTCACTTACAGAGGCTATATCCTGGTCAAAAATCGGAACGTGTTTTCATGAATTGGACGTGGTGGGTGCTGACTGGTCTTCCGTTTCCCCATTTAGTTCGTGTGATGGATTGTTTTTTCCATGAAGGCATCAAGGTTTTCTACCGGATTTCATTGGCTATATTGATTTTATACCAAAAGCATATACCGAACGTAACATCGGCGGCTGCGTCCATGGGTGATGGCGCCATTAATACGGCGGCCACATCATCGACATCTTCATCGACCACAACGACAATAGCAAAAGCGAATGACAACATTAAGTTGAACAATTTGAAAACCGGTGCCAATTGGAAAGCTAGCGATGAAAAATCCAATGACATTGAAATGGCACTACCGATGTTTTGCCGTAAATTGCCAGTGTCACCGGGTAAATTGCTACGAACAGCCTTCAATATAAGAGCTTTGAGGTAAGTGTGTGTGTGTGTATATTCTTACATTCAAACTAACGTGAATGTGATAGGATGTGATAAGATTTAATTGAATTTCCGTTTGCTTTCATTTCGATTGCAGCTCAACATATATTTCGAGGGTGTTCATCAAGACTGAAATGGTGCTGAGAAGTAAAACTATTCTTAGCGGCTCAAAAGGTTTAGTTCATTCACGTTCTAGTGATAATTTACCAACGGTATGTCTTTCATTACTTTTCATTCAAATTGAGAACAGAGATTTTTTTTTTTGCTGTTAATGTCAATCTTGTTTTTAAAAGAATCGATTGATTTCATTTGGTCAAAAAGAAAAAAAATCCTTTGAAAAGGCTTTAGTCATTTGTTGATAAAAACTTGTTTTTTGTTCCTTATGTAACAATCATTTTTAACGCGTTTGTTTCTCTCTTCTTTTCAGAGTCAATCACAAGTAAATATACAAATGATATCACACACATTAAGTATTAGAGAAGTGAGTATGCGATCACGGTTCATTGACTAACCCCCTCAAAACAACACTGACTTTTACCTTAATAACTAAAAAAACAACTTTTTTCTCTCTCTCTATCTCGCTCTGCAAAATATTTATAAAAAAAACCAAAAACGTAAACCCTTTCGATTTTTGAGAAAAAACGCACACATACAAATAATCGCTCCCGACATGTTTTTTTTTTAAATAATTTTCGTGTTTGTTTTGTTGTTCAAAATGCAACTAAACGCTATCAAACTATATCTATTTGCTGAGAAACGCCTCCGTTTTTTGTGGCTCTTTTTGAAGAGAAACCGGTTAATCCATAGATTTTTTTTTACTTTTCTTTCTGTTGATATATCGAAATTCCAAATTGCCGCGTGTTTTGTTAAGAAGAACTTTTATTTTTGCCTCCTTACTCCCCAATTACGAAGACGATTTACGAAGAAGGAAGTTTTGCTTTTTCGGAATTTAACTAAATGATTTTTTCTTCTTCTTTTACTGCTGCCGGACCAAAATGTTTTTATTATACCGAAACAAAATCTGTAAAACATACGAATCGAAAAAAAAACACTGTTTTTGTTACGATCAACACACTTGTTTTGTGTGGAAACAATTCCCCCATTTCAAATCATCATCCACAAAACCAAACCAAAATGTCACATTATACCTTCGGACTGATTCTCCAAACGAAAATTTAAAAACGTACATAACTCTGAAATGCAAAAATATCAATTTGAACAAACACACACACACACACATAAAAAAATGATATAAAAAGGGAGCACATTCACCCGACATGCGTGTGCTTTCAATGGGTGTATATCCAATACAAAGAATCAATAGCCAAGTGCTTGGTCAAGATGATGTAAGTAACGAATGAGTGCGCACTTTAATGACGATGCCCAAAATAAAAACTGCCTATTTGCTCCACACCAAAAAATACACACAAAACTAGTGTACTTTTATAAACCTCCCAGACACCACACCACCCTCTCAAAACTGTTCTTGTAACTGTTCTCCCCTCACACATACAATCAATCCATGTTCAGTATATTGTATTTTGTTGACTTTATTTATTACTAGACATTTTGCTAAATTTAACTTCTGTTCATTGAATTGTTTTCGTTTTTTGTTCTGTATTTGTTTTGGTTGTTGATTTGATTCTATACCACAAATACCATAAATATTCTGTTTTATTATTGAAATCCCACGGCACTCAATCTACAGACACAGCAAAATTATCCACACACAGCAACACGTTCAGTATACACCACACCAAAACCATTTTAAATATCTTAACACACAATTACACTCTATACACCTTCTCTGTCACTTTCACTCTCTCTGTCTCTCCTTCTCTCTCTCTCTCTCTCTCACACACACACACTTCACCTTTCTGCAAGTTCTTCTTGCATTCCAACCGGAATCATACCAAGCCAGTCACCTTGACCTTCAATGCATTTTAAATCCGTAACATTAAATCTTATTCACAGACACCGTTTGTTTCACTACAAATGGTTCTATTGATACCTCAACAAATATTCTTCCTCATTCGCAACATTTTCAATTTTACACAGCCCTTTGTACACAATTCTGAACGGCTGATTGTTTGCATAAAAAGCATTCATTCAATTGAAATCAGTCGATTTTATGTACGTTTTAGCACTAAAATACCAGAAAGACCACGCAAAAATACCACAACATACAAATACCCATACACACGCACACACTTACACACAAAACACAACACAACAAAACCAATTTTAAACAAAAACATAAACAATACAGAAACAGACAAACCGATAAAAAAAAACAAACCACTCGCCTGCACGCACACCTAACGACAACACTGCACACACCATTCCTTAGCGAAACAACTAACAAATGTTTTGTTTTTAATTTTGTTATTGTGATTGTCTTTTTGCATTTTGTTTTTCAAAAATAAAAGAAACAATGACAATTTGTATTGTGTGACCAATTAAAGCATGTTTTGATTATGTTTTCCGACACAATATGACTGTCATCGTTTGTAGCAAACTGTTTTTTGTCCCATGTGTTCGTCTACTCAATATTAAAATTTAACCAAAAATTTAAAACAAAAACCATCTACAAAATTACGTAGTGATAAGTATATTCTAATTCGGCATCCCAACCATTTGTTCGGCCTATTTATTTAATGCAATCGGCGCCTCTTACTATTCATTTCGTTGTGTTATTGTCTCTCTTTGTCTCTGTGTTTTCGTTCAGCCTATATCCATTTAACCAATAAAAGTTTTGTTTTGCTCGATACACCATTTGCACTATTCATCATAATAGAAAATAAAACTTAAACATTGAATGAAAGCAAAACTCGATCAATCGAGAATTAGATGTAGGAAAAAAACAACACAATCAACACCGTTGCCCCATTGTCCAAAAATATTTGATTGCTTTACCTTTTTTTTGTTTCGTGTCCATTTTGCCAGCTATTTACATTATGGTCGTGGCTGCCAGCACGCATCACAATGTATACACCGACGCTACTGTACACCACAGAAGAGCATGGCTGTTCGCTGACAACATTCTATGTACGAGTGGAACAACATGAACCGACACTGCTAATGATCAAAACTTGTAACAATGAAGTGAGTTTTTTTTCTGTTGTCTATTTTCGGGTTCGCATTTTCTATTTTTAAAATTTCAATTATACATTGTTTATTCGGATCCAATTGGTTCAGATCGATTGTTTGAATTGAATAATTAAATGATTACCATTGACGCATATAGGTATTCGGAGCGTATTGTTCGACGCGTTGGTTTGAACGAAATCTAAAGGACGACAATGGACACCGGCAAGCTTATTTCGGCACTGGCGAAACATTCTTGTTCTCGCTGTATCCGGACCGTGCGAAATACCCTTGGGTTGGCATTGACAGTGACAAGAACCTGGGACACGGTTCTGAACTCTTTATGGCTGCTGATGCTTCAATGATCACAATTGGTGGCGGGTAAGCATTTGGATGACAACTTTTTTGATTTTCGTTCTTCTTTATTCCGTCGATTTTTTGTTGTTTTTTTGTTGTTTATTACAAAATTTATTCTCAAAATTTTCACATTTTCCGCATCTTTCTTCTTATTTTGCAGCGGTAGCCAAGCCATTTGGATGGATGAAAATATGCGATATGGAAAAACTGACAGTTGTACTACATTCAATAATCCACCGTTGTGCAAATCGGGCGATTTTGAGATTCGTGTGCTGGAAGTGTATGGATTCATTGGCGCTTAAAGCATGCAGTGTAACTCTGGATCAGTTGCCGATTGCGTCTAAGGCCCTCACCACCATCATTTATTGACTCAATTCATCGAATATCGGTACTGATGATGACACCAATGTGTATTAATTTTGCTAATCCTATATATATATACCCTTGACCCTCTCCTCCCCGATCATCAAGCTCATGCTTCGAACATTTGTTGTTTTTTTTTCTGTATAAACTCATCATTCATCTAATTTGATTTTGGTTTTGTGTCCAGATCCTGATGATTACATTATGGACAGCGAACAAAGCCACAAACAATACAAAGAAAAGGCAAACGAAAATGAATCAAATCTACATTGTATATCCTTTATAATCACTCTACCGTTGTTAATTGATGTTGTTAATTTTTCTTTCTTCAAAGCAAAACAAAAGAAAGATTAGGGAGACCAAAAATCCATTAGTTGCTATGCGAATGCATATTGGAATTTTATTGCTAATAATTTTCGTTTCTGTGTCTCTTTTCTCGTTGGAATTGTTAAATCGAGATTAATTCTATAAATATTCAGGTTTATAAAAGGGTTTGGGTATTAGTAGCCCATTATACTATTGAAAATGGTTCCGTTTCTCTAACGCTGCCACCTCAGACAGACAGACACATGCATAAAAACCGAAAATCGATCTGCACTTTTCGATCGATTCTCATTCTATTCTCATAAAAATTCGACATTGTCATTTCCTTTTCGTGTAACTTTCTCTTTTCGAGTTCACATTCAATTAGGTTCAAACAAACAAAAAAAAACCAACAACACACACACACAACAACAACAAAAAACACAACATTAGATTGTAATCGAAAACCGTAGTAGGGGAAAGGAAAAGAAAAACAAAGAACAATACCAGAAATTAATGAATGAAATTGTTTTTTTTTTCTCGTTGTTATTTTATTCATATTTTTTTTGTCACACACTCTGTTGCCTTGAATAGAAAGTCGACCATACTCAGACAATTTGATGAGCATTTTTAACGTATTTTTATGCGAATTTTTTCATTTTTACAAATTAAAACGATTTTCGAATGACCACGCATTTCGTATTGTATTTCGTGTGGGCCATTTTACAATTTTTTGACTGAAAACAATCATCACCATAATAATGCGCACAAAATGTTGATCAAATTCTCTTGAAAAATGATAGACGGTCTCTGCTCGGGCTTGCTACTGTATAAAATGATTGCACAAGGACAGTGAACGAAGGGAAAAACAAATAATAATCAAACATAGAAATAAAAGCAAAATAAACTACATTTAAAAAAAGGCTAAACGAAAGCAAAACAAAATAAAGAAGGAACAAATTGATAATGACAAGAATAAAAACACATACACACACACACACATTTATAACATTGTTGTTGATGTATCGAAATATCTAGCAAATATTTAATTAAAATAAAGAAGAAAAAGAAGGAGAACGAAAAAAAACGAAAAAAGTATTATTGTAGACAGTTTAACCAAAAATAAAATTAGTTTTTTTTTGTTTTTGATGTTTCGTTTCTTTTTAAACAAAGCAAAATGTGTTGAGAATTTGTCTGGCTGAATGACAAATACGTTACAAATAAATATATATATATACTCTCAAATAAACGAGTTTAATCAAAGCAGAGCATCATTGTATGTGAAAAACCTCTCACAAAATAAAGAAGAAGAAGAAGAAAAGAACAGAAAGGACAAATTCTATATTAGCTAACTCTAGAGAGCAAAAAAATAGTGCGCTAACAATATATTAAAAAAAAATTAAAATGCTATGTTAAGTATATACATAAATACAATAAAGAGAAGAAAAAAAATCCGTGTAAATGTCGTTAAAAAGGAAAATATTATAAATATGTTTAGATTCAATGTTAATGTGCATAAAAGGAAATATTTGTTGAATGAAGAGAAGAAAATAAAATGTTTTATCGATCAATGGATTGATGTGGTTGTATTGCTAAACAAGAAAACACCGCTAGGGGGTGGACACGAGATTTAAGATTTGAATAGATTCGAAAACATCGTATGGAAGTAATGCAGAGAGTTATGAAGATTCAAAGCACTCCAGTTGTTGTAGATTCGTTGCGAATTTTGATAAAGATTTATTTTAATCGCGCAAAATTTTCAATCTGCCATTTTGACAGTTCCAAAGATTGATTTTTTTGCTTATCCAACGGTTGTTCACCCCCTTGAATGTTTCAAGTTGAAAAACCAACACACAAAATGCCACGTCAAACACACTCAAACAGACACACAGATTTACTATTAAATTAAATTATATATACATTGTATGCATTTTTTTGTTTGTTTGTTTACATACTATTTATTCAAAATTTCGAACAAATAATTATTATCAATTTAATAAAAATGATGTATCAAATAGATGTTGTATAGCAATCAGAAATTTGTAAAAATTATTTGAAGAAGATGAAAGAAGAGGAACAGTTTGTTTTTGTGGATGAAAACGTTGGGGCGAAACTCCACTGACGAGAATACACATATACATGAACTCGCCACCACAACCACATTATTATGTGAACGTAACGAAAAAAAAGCAAAAGAACATTTTTAACAATTTATTGTGAATGCCGCATTCAAATTTAAATGACGAAAAAAATATATATAACTGAAATCAAACAAGTTTCGGGTGGTTTCATTTTAATTTTTTATCACGTTTTTTTTTTTCAAAAAACTTGAATTTTCTCCACTTGAATTTTTTTATTACAGCTTTGACACAAGATTGAAAATTATGTGTGAAAACTATTAAGAATTTATGTATCGAGATATTGGTTGATCACCACAAATACAATATTCCGATGTACTACAACGAATGTAGGCATACTATGGGATCTTTGCGAAAAGCAAACATTTGACTGATATCCGATAAAGAGTGTATTTTTCACCATTTTTGTTTGTGGAACTTCTTTTAAGTTGGAAACATCAGGCAAGTTTATTTCTAGATATTCAAATAATTGCTGTGGTGATAATGCCTTCAAAATTTTCCATATTTGCTCAATCAAAAGATTGCAAAATGAAAATTTCTACCGAAAAAAAATTCTCAAAGCTGGTTGGTGTGTTGTTCGTTCATACTACTATATCAATAAAAAGTGCCGAGCGCAACAGCACTCACTTCATCCTGTTGACATTCTAAATGTCAAGATAGACTTTTGTCGCTCGTCAAAAAGAATTATCAATTTCGGCGTAGACGGCTCAAAAGGCCACTAAACAGGTCTCACAACTGACTATCTCACATGCTTGTCAGGGTTATGAGTAACGGAGGCAATCGTCTATTTTTTAAATGATTCTGAAAGGAGTTTGAAACATCGAACCGGAATTTTTCTACGGTTAAATGTTGGCTATTCGAAAAAAAAGTGGCAATTGCTCAAGGCGATCCAGTGGGAGATCAAGACGATAAACGTTTTCACTGTTAGACGAACAATCAGTATTGTAAAACCGTCAGTGTTCTTTTTATCAAAGGGCAATAAGGGGCTAGTCAGAGCATACTTCTTTTCGTACAATTTATTATTTATTACGCATTAAATCTATAATACGAATCACTTAGCTTATTACATATATTTGCAAAATGCGTATATAAATAGGATTCTATGCCAAACTTTCCATGCTCGTGGAATTTCGAATAATCTTACTCATTATCACCAAATGATAATTTGTGCTAGAACTACACAAACTAGAACTTCGATGAATTTATTGTTACGTGAATGAATTTTTCTTCTTGGTATGATTTCAACGGACAATAACGAAAAATAAAATAGCAAACGATGTACTTGAACTCGATTTGTGATCATATAAGTAGAGAGATAATTATAAATTAATTTCTTAAGCTAGATTCGTGGATTGGTTGTGGTTTTTTTTTCTTCTATTCGTTGCGGTATGAGTTACAGTACTCGTGCCTGAAATCGGCTGGCTTTCCCGAAACCACCGGCTCATTTTGGTAGATAGGACACATGATGATTCTTTAAAAAAAAAACACCAAAATAAATCAAAAATAAATAAACTCGTTTCGTGATGCGGAAATATCGATTGTTTTCAAATATACTTGATTGACCAAAAGTTTACCTTCTGTTGTGCTCGAGAGACTCCACAATGATATGCTGAATATAAACTCGTGGTGCAACAATTCGCCACGTTAGGGGATTAAGCGGGTTTGTTCGGTACTCCCAATCTAAGGTTACACTCTCGGGAATGCCAACTTCTCGGCCCGGAATGACGGCGCTGTATACCTTTTCTGGTTCAAGACTCCTGCAACGCAAATTGTGATTAGCAGTGAATTAGTTCTAGTCATGAACGTTTGATATTTGTGAATGGAAGGGATTTGAATTTCAAATATCTTTGAAACAAATATATATAGTTGTTAACGAGTGAACAATATTAAATCAAAGTATTTTTAAATTAATTTCGTTCTTTATTCAAAATACTCACATTGGCTCGCGCGAGAATCGAATTCGTTCGGTTCTATCGCCCTGCAGCGACTGCACTTCAACATTCAAAATGCCAACCTCTTCTCCATGACCTAGGCTCTCAACTGTTCCCGACATGAAGATGGTCATTTTGAAATGTGATCGACAGAAAGGCTGTTCTCGTCCAGTCATTAGATAAGCCTTGATTGGTTGGCCACTGGCCAATTGCTTTGTCCCATGTAATCGTTGGTAACTCGACTTTGCATCAAGACCGAATCGCAAACAGAAACCGGTATCGGTTCCTTTGCACGTGCAATGGCCTTTCAAGAAGCTCTCATACGAATCACAAGCAACGCCAGTAAATGTACAGTTGGATTTGATGCTTTCCAGGAAAAACTCTTGACTGCGAACATGGTTACAACTGAAAAATTGCTGAAAGCCAACACTCAAACTGCCTATTGTGGGAAAGAAAAGATGAGTATTATTAGATCATTGTCGATAGAACTTTTTTGAAATTATCCCCAGTAATTTATTTGGAAAATATCGACTTCGAATAACAAGAAATTGAATTGACAAAACGAAAAGAGGCAAAAGACAGCATTGTCAACTTACCTGTTGATAAAATGTAATGTTGCCTGTTTTTTTTTGAGAAAAAGATGATTATTAGACCATTTTCAATACGAACTTACTTTCACATCACATTTTTTTTTAGTCATTAATTTTGAAAATTTATGATTTGTCCAAAAGTATTGGAAGGAAGAGTATTATCAACTTACATTGGTTTATCGCATCCTGGATTAGTGTGTCCGCCGTTTGGATAAAAGTCTACATGTCCAATCGGATCGGGCATTCCCAGACCACCTTGCGTTATTGGCAACGTATCAGTGTGAATAACATCGACAAATCTGGGAGGGAAATTTGAAGAAAATCTTGAAAAAACATTCAAAGCAATGGCTGTGTATCAAGTCTTACTGTGCATCATTCGGGTCCAGTCGTACAACAGATTCGGTGGCAGTGAAGAGAGGCTCAGCTGGATCCAGTGCTGTGATACGTCCTAAATTGAGATCAAAATCCTTTTGCAAAGTGCTTCCAGCATAACCAGACAAATGTGAGCCTAACGAGTGGCCTATCATGTGCACATTATCCAAATTTTTCATTTTAAATTGTTCGTAGACCATGTACAAAACATGAGCCGTAATAACGCCAACCAATCGAATATTGGCAACGGCCTGAGTATAAGGCGGTGATGCACCGCCACTCCAATCGATCGTAATGACCGATGCAATTCCACTGCGATCTCTGTCCAGCAATGCATTCATCAATTCAATGACCCAAGGACGATCACCCGAATCTAAGTAACCGTGTGCAATCACATAGATATTTCCCTTCGGATGGATTCCACTGTATTTGGCTTCACCCGTTTCATTCAAGCTCAAGTATTTCGGCAAATGTCGATTATGTTTGGTGTAAACAGCAAATCGTGTATTGATTTTCATTGGCGTTTCGGGATAGTTGGAAATTGGTCGCTGATCACCACCAAATGGTCCATTGATTGGGAAGCAGCCGTAAAGTCCATAGCAACGCGGTTGCTCCGGATCTAAAATGAACATAATGTTATACCGATTAGCAATGCCCTAATCTCAAATAGTTATTTGATAAATGAATGTTAATTAAATCATTTGGAATTCTAATCAATCATTGCCCTCAAATTACAAAATTATGAAATGAGACGACAGAGAAAGTGGAAAATCGCATCGCTACGAGGGCCATAAGTCATTTAGAAAACGAATTCTACTTGCGATTACAGTGAGACGTGTGTATGATTCTAAGTGTCGATATGGATCTGTCGCGACGATTTTATTAGCACATAAAAACAACAATCGCGTTTTGACTTATTAGACAAATCGCACGTTCGCTGCTCTCTGTCTCCTATTGAAGTGTGATCATTTGGGTGCGTGCATCACGTTTAGACTGGCTTGCAGTTGCTGCGCTCTTAATTGATATCAATTTAAAACCGAGACAAATATTAATTAAATCAGTCAAAATGAATCCAACGACAGTTAGACTCACATAATGACAAATGCGAATGGAACATTTTTAGAATGTTCTCGACCTTTGGCCACAGAAAAGCGCAACAATTTCTTACGTACATAGCAAAAACTGTACAATTTTTCATTTCAAACCGAAATAGGCACATTTTGACACATTTTCTATTTCAAGAATTAATTCAATTAAGAGCGATCACCACCGTTGTCAATTAGAAACGACCATTTTTCGTGCATTTTTCATGCCTGATGACTGACAAGCGACACAGAAGAATGACACACAGTCATAATTTCTCAGATGATTGCGGAATTATGGGTTGTGTGAAATTTCACGAATTTCACATGAGTCATTGCACTCACCCGAATCAGCTCCCATTGGCGATAACATAAAATCTTCGCGTGTTTTTGGTGCGTTTAAATCATGCTTGGTGATATTGGCCACGTACAGCATCGTTTGCAACAGAAATCCTGTTGTGGAATTTGACATCGGCGGGAATAACATTTTAGTTTTTGAAACTTTTTTATTTTAAATTGAAAACTGTTCACATAAATGTGACTCTTTTATTTCGCGCGATTTTTTTTTATTCTTCTCTTAATTTGGAACAAATTGTTCTTTTTCACTAATCATAATTTCACAATTTAAACAAAAAAAAACTTATTTACACAAATCGTGTGTCTTTTATCAACAAAACGGCACGCGAAACTCTCTTGAAGTCATCATCATTCGGACTGACTCAATGCGAAATGCGTGCAAGTTGTACAATTTAATTGCTGCAGTTGTCAAAAGGCAACGAGACAAAAAAAAACTATCACTTTCAATAATTATCGGGATTGTCTCAATACGGTACGGGTACGTCACAACCACAAAAAAAACTTGTTAAAAAGACTGCACTTGTTATTAAATATTCCAAAGAATGCGATTTGAAAAACTGGAGCAAACCGTTTTCTATTTAGAGATTGATAAATGTTCAACAAGCAAATCACAAAAGTAAACGATTCTAATGAGTGTGCAGGACGAACGAACAACGACAGCAACAACAACAAAAAACCGATGTTGCTTAGTGAACAAACATAAAAGAAATGATGGATAGATCGTTTAGCGCATTGCTTATTATAACGCTGACTTATGTTGCAAACCGACCAGAACCGATGTGACAAGACGAAACGCAGAAAGCAGAATTCGAAAGAGCAAACGAGAGAGGGAGAGAAGATGAAGCGAATCGAATAATGTGTAACTGAAACTTTTTATCAAGAGTTCGCAACAGCAACAACAACACTACATGTTTGCCTTGCGTCTTCGGTGCCAATGCTGGAGCCGTCGTCGTTCTGAAATGATGTGTGCTCGGCCCTTGCGTTTGTGTTATCAACAATCGAAATTCACAAAACGTACACGATTCAATTCGGTTTGGAGTGAGTGAGTGTTCGTGTGCGTGTGTTTGGTGGGCAAGCAAAGGGCTCAATTCTAAATGTATGCCGTCTCATTAACACATCTCTGACAATAAATTCTCGACAGCAGTCGCAGCGACTGTACAATTTGTTGCCTTTTTTCGCTTGCCAAAATGCTTCGAAATCAATTGGTTCAGTCAGAAGCAGTCGTTTAAACATGACTACTGAAAAGGTGAACATTTTAAATGGCGTTGCCATTAATTTATGCAATTTAACTGTCAATCTACACATTATTTGTGTAGAATGGATGATCTTTGTGTGTTAATGATGGGTAAGTCTGCTTTTGTTCATCATATAAACATGCCTTGTATATTTTAACTTTGTACGTCGCATTTTCCCCGTTTCTGCTGTTTATTCGCACTGAAATTGTAAATATTTTCTTGTTAAGCGCCTGAACGAGGAAGCGAATGCGTCAGTTAAATCAATACTTAGCTTGGCTGTTTTTTTTGTTTCGTAACATCAAATGAATCATGTAATAATATATTTCTCACTTCTATGGGTCAAATGCTATTATCAACACGTTTCATATAGCATTTTTGTTTGTGTGACGTCTAGATAACGAAAAAAATGGATCTGTCTTAATATTATTCCACAAAAATCAAAACAAATTCGTTCGAAGTTGAGATTAGTAAATGAAGAAGAATTGGAAATCGTACGTAAGGAGGTTAGATTAAAAGGAACGTTTCGTGTTTTATATATTTCGACGAAACATGTCCATATGTGAAAGGGACAGAAATTTTGATCATTTTTGTGCTGCAAAACATTGATTAATGACTTTCCTTACGGTTTCTCGAAGTTAATTCATATGTTTTTTTTTGTTTGATTTGCGATTGTCCATTTCTTATGTCACTACTTTTGTTTTCTATTTCAACAGATAACGAATTAAAATTTCTAAGAAATTCTCGTTGTTCTAATCATTGTACAGGGAAAAACACATTTTCCCCATTAATCATAAACCAACACCTAACAAATATTTAAATAATCATTTAGCGCATCGTTAAAGCAACACACGAAAAAAAAGATGCCCACTAAAATGACGAAAGTTGTTTACATTTGATAACAATTGTTTTTTTTTCTATTGCCAACAAGATCAGCGTCTCTGTGGCCTTTCAATGCGTATTTGCGTCAAATAGTCAACGATTTTACTACAGTTGCTTCGTTTTTGCGTACATCGTCATTAGGAAAAAAAGGGATCAAATTTTGTTTTGTCCAGAGAGAAAGACGAAAAAATGATAAGAAAGTTGGTCGGACTTTGACCAACACCCGGCCCGATTAAAATGCTCGAATATTTGTCGGTCATTTTTCAATTAAAATCTATTTCTGTAGTTTTGTCTAGCGCTTTCCGTGCAACAACACTGATACTTGTCATCGTTTCAATATCCTTGAGCAAATCAATAGAATGTAAACACCGACCGACTTCGCTTCAATTTTATCAGTTTGTTATTAGAAATTCATGCCTTTGATTGCATCGTATTGTGCACTTTGACCAGTTAACCGCATCAAATTTTCTTCGGCCAGACGGAATTCGTTAATTAGGCCCAAATAAACAACCGGACAAAAAAACGACACTCATTAAATTAATAGAAAAAATTGATACTGGGCTGGAAAACAAAAAAGAAGACTTTAACATTTATTTACGTCAATGATCGATTCCACCCAAAACTGATTCCCGCTGATTCAGTTGCCCGTGACAAAGACAAGTAGATAAGCGTCTGAACATATTTACAGTTTGATGCATGTTGTTTTTGCTGTTTTCACATGGCATGTGTTATTTTGTTTGGCTTTTTCACACTTGTGGTGAAATCACAGAATGCCACAGCAAAGTCGCAATTTCATTCGGTACGATAACGTACATACACCGAATTGGGGGCTTGACTTTCAAATCAATAATGCTCATCTATCAATTCCATCATGTGACACCCAGTCAATTGATAAAACACAAAATTTAGACACGTTTTTATTTTCAAACTAAAAATATCTCCCAGCAATAGTTGTCGATGTAAGAAAAAGTGGTTTCCATTTTTGTTTGTAAAGTCATCGATTTTACAATTGTAAATGCTTGTCGGAATGTCAAAAGATCAATCCAGGCCGATTGAAATTTCGTCGATTTTTGCCTTCTTTGTACCTTTGGACTCTCTTTATCTCCACAGACGACGCGTTCGTTGTGTATGAAATAATTCTGGAATGATTTTTTTCAGGACATTTACTCAATAAATTTCAGCATTTTTTCTGCACAGCGCTGCGGAATCGAAATAATTAATCGTTTTTTTTTCGACACGAAGATAAGAACCACTTCGAGCAACAATAAAGTGAGGCGAACAATTCAATTAATTGAAATATGATATACAATGCTTGCGCATGGAAAAATGATTATTACGCAATGACCTTTTACTTCGTACACGAATTTTACTTTTCCGTACACACCGTGTCAAGGGAAAGTATAGGAATTGGTCCCGAACACTTTTTTCGCAAAATTGGTTTAGATCATCATAAAAACTCATGAAACGTGTAGAAAACTTTTTGAGACACTTTTTCGTTCGTGTGCCGTCGTCGTCGTCGTTGGTGTTTGTTAACACGATAACTCAAAAAATAATTGAGATAATCAAAATATGGAAATGCCAAAAAGTATCCAAAAAACTTAGTTTAAGTTCGAAGATGAGCCATTTTCGATTTGATCCTTTGGTACTTGCCCTAAGAAAAACCTCAAAAAATTTACACTTTTGTATGGGATCGATTTACGGGCAAATTTTGTCGACATTTTTTTGGAAAAAATTGAGGGCCAAAAACCAAACTTCTGCAAATGCGATCAAAATGAAACTTTCAGAATCTTATTTTTTCTCCAAAAAATGAAACCTCAGAAAGTTTAAAGCCAATGAGAATGGGTTTACGGGTACCTCTCATACAAAATTGTCGCAGTTTTAGTTAAGTGACCGATTTTTCACCTTATTTTTATTATTATATTTTCACTACCTTTATTTCAAGAAAATGCACAAAAAATAACCAAAAGTACCTACGGACAACGCAGGCCAACGGTACGGAAAAGTTCGGGATTACCAATGTAATTCTTTTTATTGACCGTTAGCAACACTCAATTGACTGTTGTGTGTCATAACTTTCAAGCAGAGCGTGTTTTGAGCTGACTTTAACAGCACTAACTAACGTCAGCTGCTGCAATCACCTGCTTGATGTATTAATTTAGCTTTTTCTGAAAAATAATATTTATTTTTTTCATTTTTTAATAGTCGGAAAATAGTTTTAAAAGAAGATGAGATAAAGAATGTAATTCTTTTTATTATATATAGATTTCCACACATCCATTAATCTTATAATATTCATACTTAAATACATAGAATTTGGCCACTCGGATTTACGTTAATAATAATAGAAGTAAACGACATTATTCTAATACTTATTTTGTCCTAATTTTACGGTTGGTGATGTTCAGTAATATTCGTTCATCACCGAAAGGATTTTTAACGACTCTAAGAATATATGAGTTGATTAATATAAACACATTGAGTTGTAACTTTAATGTTACTCGCAATTCGAACTTCGAACAAAATCTCCACTAACTAAACACGAACATTAATTCGATTTATTCTTTAATTTATTCACTAGAAATGGGTCTTTGAACTATCAACTCAATTTTATCTCCGGCACTGGCGATCAATGGCACTGTTAAACAACAATCGAAATCTTTGGTTTTCGTATCGTTCACCTGAAGAAAAAAATGTAAACGTGGTTTATCATCATTAGTTTGAATAATTGTTCGATTCAAACATTATTTTAAAAAATGATTTTAAAAATGCTCAAATTTTTTGATTCACCAAAAATCCCAACAAATTCACCTGCACAATTCGGTCAAAGGGTTTTAAAAGGCCAACGGTATCAGCTGGTCCTCCGCTTCGGATGCGATTTATATAAACTCCTCGTTCGTACAAACCATCCGATACAGAGAATCCATAATCGTCATAAACTTTGTCTTTGTAAAGTGTCACATGGAATGAGCTGAATCGGGTTCCATCTTCTTTGCTGGAATTTGAAACGATATCGACGTTGTGTCCATTAATACCGTTGCCATAGATCGGAGTTCGTGGTCTTCGTTGCACTTTTGCATAAACCGCTTGTGGACTCATATCGCTATGTAACACGTATTGATTTTCGTAATCTGCAAAAGAGATTCAGAACTTATTATTCAAATTCTACGGTACTCCTCTTGAGGAACAGTTTAAAGATCAAATATTTCAACTAATTTTTGTTATTTGAGTCTCCTTTTTTTTAATTTTTCTTTCCATTTACTTTCTTATTTAGTTTAGTTGAAATGTTCATTTTTGCTGAATCAATTAGAATGAGGACCTACCGTTGATATTCCGTGATATTTTTAAATCCACAATATTTCCAAGGTTTTGAAGTAATTTTGTAGCATGTGACAATGGCTTTCCTTGTACACTTTCTCCATTAATAGCCAATAAACAATCACCCACATTAATTTGACGTGAATTCTCTGCGATTCCCCCATCCAAGACAGCACTGATCAAGATGGGTTTGTTTACATCTTCACTGCCAGATAGAGTGATACCCAAAGGACCACCGTTAATCTCTAGGCGCACATTTACGACCAATTGATGCGTTCCATACGTAGAGTTGTGAATATCCATTGGAGGTGGCATCGAAGAGTCAAAACTGGAGAGAAAAGAAAAGAATTTAAAACTTTCGAATTCTTTGGAAAAATTCACTTCTTTTTCTTCATTTTCATCCTAGAAAGGGGAAGACTTGTCTTTTTTTCTTCTTCCCAGTAATCTCTTACCTTTCACGATAATCCAAGTCATACGGAACGCTATTATTGTACTCATCCTCCGCCAACTCGGTCGTCAAACTGTTTGTATTATCATTGGCTGCTGTTCGTCCAACGCATGGTGGTTCGCTGTTTTTGCATAGGAACGGATGTCTCATTGTGGCACTGGTAAATGGCGTTGTTTGTCTCGATTTGTCTTGATCTTTGACATGATAGTAATCGGGCTGACAGCTTTTTGCTTTCATTGTGTTGGTAAGCGGTGACGTTTTTTCAAACGTAACATTTTTCCCTTCGAGATACTTTCCAACCGTTCCCGATCCATAGATGTTGTAGTCATTTTTCGAGCTTCCACTGCCATTGCTGTAAATCCCATTGAATCGTTGTTGTGCGTCAAAAAGGAAATCTGGCAGTGAATTGCGATTGATTGTAAGCGTTGTAAATTCCTTTGTACGGTCTTTGAGTAGTGCATCCACATTATAGTGCTGCAATTGCTGGGAATCAACAGCAAGTAAAATGTCACCGGCACGTAATGAACCACTCCGATGTGCTGGACTGCCGCATTTCACCTCGGAAATAATGAATGATCCATGTGCGGTGGCATTTACTGTTATGCCCAAGCCATTTTTATTCACTTTGGCCAATTTTACATTGAAAACGCCTTGCGATGGAATTACCGAGTCGAACATATCGAATTCGATCTCGAGTTCAACCCAATAAGGCGATGGAACCTGGTAGGTATTAATCGCATTACTACTGCCTCCGTTGTCACCCAAAATCTGACGAATCGTATTTGCATCCAAGCTGTACAGCTTATTAATGGATAGCAATCGATCGCCCACTTGAATGCATCCCGAGCGGTCGGCCGCTGAATCAGGTATAATGTGGGCTATCGCATAGCCTTGACCGATTTTTGTGCCGATAATTATACCCGAACCCTGGCTACAATCAAGCATCACTTGTGTCGTTTCCGCATGGCACAAACCAGCATTCGCATATAGTGGGCCTGTCAAATATAAATATTTGAAATGAATTGAACACCTTGGATACTTTCATTTGTTTTTAAAATACTTACTTGAACTCGATCCAGATGGTCCGACCGAACCTTTACGAATATATCGCTTGTGTTTAGGGGTCTTCCTTGAATCAAGCGTAGTATAGCCTGAAATGAAATCAAGAATTCGAAATCATTTAAACAAATATGAATATTGAAATTCTGTGAAAAATTCCTACAATGCAAAAAAATTTACTCATTAGCATAAGCAAATCATTTGTCATTCAGATGTTGAAGAAGAAACAACCGAATTCTCATTTGAATCGAAGGAAATTGGCCATTATCCGCAATTTTAGTACCGTTTGCTGAAATTAAGTGCTGCAATCGCTACGCGATTTCGTCGTTTTTAATTGAGTGTGAACGAAAACTGTGAAATTCACCATAAAAAAAGTCTGGTACGTATGGTAAAACTCAAAACCAAAATAATGCTACGCCAGAACAAACAAGCGTAAACAGAAGCGAAAAAAAATCGGTGTAAAAATAAAAGCGAACAAGAGAAAAAAACGACAACAACACTTTTGGATGCGTAGCATTCGGGCTCGCTAACGCACTTTGTAGCATAATTTATGGGGAGAATATTTTTAGACTGATTGATATAGTGTGTGACAGCTGGTGCGCTGCAATGTTCACCGATCGTTAGCGTAGATTTTGAGGCGAGAGGAAAAGTAGTAAGGAAGGTTTTTTTCTTTTACGGAAAGAAAGATGCAAAAAGAAATGGTCAAAATTAGAGTGGCTCCACAAAGATGTGACATGTGATTTGTACAAAAGCGTTGAGGAAGTTGCGAAATTGATTCACCGAACATGTTCTCCTTTCATCGGGTATCACATTTCAAAGCGCCAATTTGCGTAAATGTCGCTATCAATAAGTGGGCGTGGTGACGTTTTTTCCTCTGTTTTACTTTCACTTTGATTAAATTTCGTTTCATTCTGAACTTTGTTCTAGCCATCTATTTTTCAAATCGACGGAATTTATTATCGGTGACAGGACTCCAAAATCCCTCTCACTCGCTTCCAAATTGGTTCTGTTCGCTGGAACATTCGAGATCACTGCACTTTTTGTGCATTTTCCAAAATAGATGCATCTATCTTCACCATTGATGACTGGGATTTGAAAGGTGCTTTGTTTTCTTTTGATTAAACTTTTTTTCCCTGTTTTTCGACGCTATTTTTACAATGACACGCACCACAATGTAATACATGAAGTGAAGACGGTTTGTCGTTTTCTAAAAAATCACGTTTGAATATGTAAATGTAAAAGCAAGTATTTATGAGTTCTTACAACGGGACACGTGCTGACTTCATGAATAATCTCGATGAAGCCATTTTAATGGCATTATGAAAGCATACGTTATGGCATCGTTGTCGTCAATCAAGTTTGGCTTTCACTTTTCATGATTCCAATCATATGTTTCGTTGAATGATTGCACTTTTATCACTAATGAAAGTTCTATTCATGACTTGTGAGTGATTCGTTTGAGTGCATTTACTGAATCATGCGCCCCGGTCACATTGAACAGATGGCAAGCGAAGTGCTCATAAAAACCGTTTAATATGGTAACGTAATTTTTTTTTTAAATGAACCGTATAATTGATGGCCATCGATTCATTGTCATTTTAACAAGCAATAACTCTATTCACTTGCTTTCCTGTTCGATTTGTTTACAAACGTGTCGGGGTTTTATTGCCGTATAAAATGTCAATGAATTTTATTACCTTTTCGTTGAATTGCATGCACTGGCAAAATTTGAAGCTGTGTGAAACCACGATCCGATGGTCCATTTAAGAAAGACATCACATCTTCGGGCGTGTAACTTGTGTTTTCGATGATTGTTTCGTCGATTGAGAGGATTTGGTCACCCACTGAAAGTGCGCCACACCTAAAGAAATTCGAAAAATTTTCGTGTTTTAGCAAAGAATTTCGGATTCGTTCATTTCTATTCAATTTGTCATCTCTTCTTTTCATTTTTTTATGTTTTTTTTTTGTTTTTTTCCTTCACATTTGGCCATATGTCTGACGTAAATAATCTCGAACTTACCGATCAGCGATGCTCGCCGGCAATATGCTCGCAATGAAAACGCCAGCTGGACAAATATCGTTTTTTGTGTCCATTGTGCTGGCCTGTAAATTGGAATAGTTGCTAAGGATGATGCCAAGTTTTTCGTTCATCGGACGCTCAATTTCGATGAGCAACGGACCCAACGAGAACTCAACACTCTGCATGACTGACACATCGTACTCGATTGTTAAATTCGTCAAACCCGATGCATGGCCACACTTTAAAATTTGCTGCGCTTCCAACAGTGACTTGTTTATGAGGGAAATCTGGCAATGGTTCAAATGGTTAGTCGAACTCTTTTTTTTCTAAATTCAAAATTGAATTCTGAGGAAGAGTCAGTTTTTCACACTTACATTGTCAACGCGAAGCAATCGATCACCGGGTTTAATGCGATTTACTTTAAATACTGGTCCGTGTGGCCGAACATTTGTCACAATCAGCGGGAAATTTTCTCCACCACGTAGAGTCAAGCCTTTTGGTGCCGAAAATTAAGAAGAAAAAACACAAATAAATAACGTGTTAAACTTTCATTTCACTTTATCATCATCCTTCTTACCAAGACATCCGTTCTCTCGTTCCACCGTGATTTGAGCCAACTTTGTCGTCACACAAACACTATTCTGTGAAACTACCAAAAAAAAAAGATTTCTTCAACACTTCTTCCCTTTTTTCTTACACTTTGCGATGGACTCACTGTATTCTGGCAGACAATATTCAATTTCAACAACAGCTGGCTGATCTCCGCTCAGCAGCAAATTGAGAACGTGATTATTTGTCAACCCGATCGTTGAAATGCCGTCTATTTGGTGAATTCGATCTCCTGGTGCAAGAAAGTCGGCGGCTGGTCCAAGCGTGTTTAGTGCACTGATAATCGGCGGGTATGATAAATCTAAACGCTCTGGGGTTTTTAATAAAGAAAGAAAAAATTGAAGAAAAGTTTTGACAAATTCGAGAAAAAAAAACGTTTGAGAAAAAAACGGTCTATTTTTGTTGATTTTATGGCACTTCAAAGATATATCAACTTGAGGCAAATGAATGCAACGAATCTTCTGATATATCACTTCAACGATTTTCACTTTGATCCAATTACTATTTTCATCTATCAAAGGCTTTGTTTACTGTATTTTATGAGCGTATATTTGGAGGAATGCTTTTTTCGATGGACTAAGAAAAAGTGCTTTTTGGAAAGCCAAAAATGATTTTGAGAAATGAAAGGTGTTAAATGAAATAAGAACAAGGAAAATTAAAGCAAAACGATAGAAAGTGAAACATGATCTTATTTCATATGTTGATGGGTACAATTTTAACGTATCTTTGCGCATCGAACACACATTTTTGGCCTGAAGTTGTGTTGTTGAAGTTTAGTTAAAATTAGAAATAATTCGTTTTACTTCCCCGTTCGAGGCGACGAAGTAGTTTTTTCAGTAACTTAGTATTGGTACTCCCACTGCAAGTTCTGCTTTTTACCAGTGTTCTCAATTTTTCTCTCTTTCTAAAAATTTGAAGCAATTCTTCTTTTCTTTTTATTCACACCGCACCTCATCGCTTCGTAGAAAATCATTGATTTGCAGTTTGTTTAATAAAAACATGCAGCCAAAATCAAATGATATACAATGTATGTACAACGAATCAAATAAAATTAAAGTCTTGGAACATTTTCAAATGGGTTTATTTTGACTTGATTTTCGAGGAGGTCAAGTGATATATGTCCCATATTTTCATAGTGTGCCTGCAAAATGACTGTCTGAATTCATGCCGTAAAATTATATTCTTTGCAACAGCAATTTTAAAAGAAACACATACATTTTAGTTCTGAACAATCTTTCGACGACCAATTCGATTTATTTCAATGCCAAATCATCCAACATTTAAAATAAAATTGCCGAAACCGAGAAAAATAAGTTCAAATGGTGATTGTGGTATTCCATTCAGAAATCGTCGCATTTGAAATCAATAAATGTCATCGGTCAATTGGTCTGCTCGAAATGGATTCACACGACATTGAAACGAGCGCAAAATTACTATGCGAAATGTGTGTAATGGGTTGCGTAGGCGTGAGAGTATCTAAGGCACAAATGACGTGTCCGAGCAGATCGAAATAAAAACGGAAAGTGCTTCTATCCCAAATATCATTTGGCAGCGCTGAGCGCTCTCTTCTCAAGTTAATGTTTTAACACCGTGCAAAAGAAAACGTGTAAAGTTGTTTTTTTTTCGGACGATGGCGAAAAGAACTCGTGTAAATATCAAATATCTAAACGGTTACGCCGAATTTTCTTCTCATTTTCTTTTCACTTTTTTTAATATTGCTCAGAGATTTTGTCTATGATTTTGCTAAGCCGAAGAAAAAACCAACCATCAGACAGCCTATTCATTTCGATTTTATTGTTTGAGTCATAAAAGTCATTGCAAACTAAAAGCGAATCTTTTATCCGACAATAAAACAACGAAGAAGAAAACTGTTCAAGTCACACGCACACACTCTCTTCGGTTTTATTATTTATAGCGTAATTATATCGTTGCAAACAGTGTTGATATTGATATATTTGGCGCCAAAGCTGTCGACTCGATGGGCTAACCATTGCTATTATAGTATGGCAGTTTATGTTGATTTACAAGTCTCGCCTAGATTTGGGGATCATCATGTATCATGTATCATGTAGGAAGTGCAATTGAAATGATGTTGATGAACATATCTAACGTCAATTAACGAAAAAATATGATACGATATGTATCTATGCTAGCTCTCGACGAAAATAACGGAACCCCCTTTTTTATTCATATTAAATGTATTTCCTTTTGAAGCCCATTCCTAAGACTGAAATGCATTTTCATTTGAAGACGCGAATTATGTTCTTAAAGATGAGCATTTTTATTGAAGATCACTTACCAAGAAAAACGATTCCCATCGCTTGAGCATTTTCTCGCGGCAACGAAATGGTTGCATATGTTGTTCCACGGTCGGCCGCCAAGCCTGAATCCTCTGACTGTGCTGGAGACATCGCTCGTTCGCCTAAAAATGAGAAAAAATATTAACACATTTAAATTCTCACAACTTTGAAGATTCTTCAAATTGAAAATATATGATTTTCAGTAACAAAAGTGATTTCAATGTAAATAATAATTTTGCTATGTAAATGATTTGAATTGAATGATATTATTCTCACTGAAATCGAATAAAAGTCGTGATATTTCTCATATTATTCTCATTTCATCCGATCATTTTTCGTTACATCGTCTGAGAAATCATTGTGAAGAATTAGATTTTTTTCTCATGCACCAAAGTGAAGAAGTCCCCGAAAATCGTCCGTTTTATGAATACGCACTGTTCATTCGCTTAGATCTTAGGCGGCGCGCAAATTAGAGCGTTACCGGATATTCATTTGATTTATTATGTTGAATGGCTAAATTACGGTATCGGGCCGATTTGAAATGATTCAACACAAAAATAGCGTTTGTACCGAGGCAATATGCTCAAGTCTGGTTTTTCTTTCGACAGAAGAAGAAGCGCGCGCGGTATATTGTTGTGTTTGTGGTTACGTTTCATTAAATTCGTACGCCTTACTGTGTTCATCGTTGCCGCTTTAATCTGTCGTCCATTAAAACCATAACACAATTTTCCGCACTCAGAAAAACCCAATTTGCACAACATAAACATGCAATTTGGCCACACAACGATCACACATCCTTGTGCCGTAAGCTGTGAAGCAAATTGAAGGCGACACACGATTTTTGAAATACCTTATTAAATCAGGTGCATTACAGTTTTTGGACGCAAGTCGTAATTTTGCCCGAAAACCGGCGTGCGTTATTTTTAGGCATCGTTGCACATTGCGTTCACGCACTCTCTCTGGTTTTTTGGAGAGTGATCTTGTTGAGTCTAACCAAATATTACATTTCATAATTCAATTAGTGTCAGTCAAAGTGACTGAAGACGAGCGTGGAGGAGATGAGAAAAAAAGAGCAAACCACATCGGCAAATGGAGCGTTTATTTCGCAACCAGTGACACTAAGTAAACCGCGTTAAATTTAGACTTTTGGTGTGCAAATGAATTTCCGATGCGTACCAGAACACCGAAACAACAACAGCAGTCCGAGTGTGTGCTAGGATTGCTCATGCCACTCATGTCATATTCAATTGTGCGGATGAGCGTAGTATTGAGGCTTTAGTTTCTGTCATCTGCCAAAAGCCGAGACGATTTCCATTCTTGAAAAATGGTTGCACGCATTTCGTGACAGCGACGAAAGAGCACCATTTCGTTAGTGAAAAATTGAGGAAAAAAAGGTCTTGAAACAAATGCCATTTTTAATGTGCAATTCCCCTTTTCGTTTCTGTCTGAAATCGACGATCTTTGGTTTATTTTTAATTTTCCATGGAAAATGCGACACAGTACATCGATCGTAAGGAGAGGAAAAAAAATGGTTACGTAAAGAAAGAATATCCGTTGGGAGAAACTTCAAACGATCGAATAAATTAAATGTTACATTAAAAGTTTTGCATAATATAAGACGCCAAATAAAACCAGATTTTCGTTACAAACAACAACAAAAGCAACAATAACAGAACGAACCGAAGAGTGGGAAAAAACAGCGAAATCAGAGTGAATCCAATTACAAATTAATCAAAATAACAGCAAATAAACGCACGCAGTATTCCCCATACGCTGTTGTTGGTTAGTTGGTACACGATTGCGGGGCCGTGTACAATTTCGAAACAGAAACTGTGCATTTGGCATTTTAATTCATGTGCTCCATATGTGTTTGACCCAATAACTGAATCAACGCTGTCTCTCTCACACAAATCTATGTTCGTTCCGTTCAATCTCATTAATTCGTTACGCATTGAGTGCGGTTAGTTATTAAATTGTTCGTTTCATTTGCGTTCCATTTGGAATTTCTGATTTTTTTTTTGCAGTCAAAGTCAACTTGATGTTCAATATGCTCTCCTTTTTTTTTCACTCGGCTGTATATCGGTTAATACGCTGCGTTTTTAATTACAATGTATCAACCATATTTTATCTAAATTTATTTCGGTGCGAGTTGCAGTTGGAAGATTAGGTATTTTTTCCTTTCTAAAATTTAGTGGCGATGATTGAATTATGCGAACAACAGATTTATACAAACGATTTCATTCATACCAAAGGACTGTGATGCTCTAGTGCTTGGACAACATGAATTGAAACAAAAACAGGCAACATTCGTATGTACGCAATATGTGAACACATATAAAAATGTCAACAACCTCATGTCAGCTGCATCTTTTCAATGGTAATCCGTATTCATTGATGCAAATGCGCGTGTATGTTGTATTGCACATTGCATCGTAAGCCACATGGATTTGGTCGAGTCATGCGCGCGAACACACAGCCAATCGTCTCGTGTGGTGGTGTGTTTTCGTAAGATTAGATCACAAACACCAGAAGCCCGAAGTCTAAATTGAGATTTCATCGCTTCATTCTCAGTCGATAAGAACGGTTTTAACAAGAAATTTGCTCAATCTGACTCGATTTCATCACATTTCAACAAATTTTTCTTCTGATGTTCGAGAGAAAAAAAAAACGAATAAAAATTCTATCACAAAAAAAAAAGAGTTCAACATTTTGATTAGAATTTTAATTATTTGCAGTCAGAACCGAAAAAAAGCCACTCATCGTTGGTATTTATGACGGTGATTTATGTGGATGAGATTTGTGTAAATTGTTTCTGTTTGCTCGTTATCGGCGTGTATCTTTGCATTTTTGTCAAGCAATCATAAAATGAAACGAATAAGCATGTGATTTGAGAGCATTGGAAAACGGAGCAGCCGCAACCAATAAAATGTCGTGTCGTCGTTGTCGATGAAAAATCCACGGAAAACATTGTCGTTAATTTTTCGGAATAAATTGCCTGCTCTCACACCACACACACACACATATATATATCTCCATGAAGATTACACCGTAAACTATCACTTATGATGAAATTTATACGTATGCGAGAGAGAAAGAGCCTTGGAACACGCCATTCATTCGCTTCGCTCGGCAACATGTAATTTCAATTAAGTTATTTTTTGTCGCTACTGCTGTTTTTACACTTCATTTTAATTTCCTTGGTTCTGTCGGTTTTTGCCATTTCCTCTATCTGCGCATCGCATAGCATCATCTGTTGCCTCGCTTTGGTGCGAGCATACATATTATATGCATTTTCCAGCTAAGCACAGCCAACCATGCAGTTCATAAATTCAACATCCACGGTGTTGTTTGTTATGGAATTCCTTTTTGTTCCACCATTCCACTTGCCTTCCACACACATCTTGATGGCATAATGTGTGCGGCATGCACTCTGTACGCATAATTTAATGTATATTTCAAGAGGGTTGATGACGTGCCTCTTTCTTTTTCTCCTACTACTGTTGCTGCCTCATACAAATAGGTTCATTTGTTTTGAACCATTTCTTTGTTTGGTATTTCATTTGGAGTTTTCGTTTTACTCGGGGACGTGCGAGAGCGCGCGCGTCCTTTCAAGACGAGAAAACAGTCGTTATTATTAGAGATAAGTACATTTGTCACATATGTAAACTGAAGTTGTCATTCACTGTATTTGCGTACGATTTTTTATGGTATTCCGTTTTCGCATTTGTTGCTGTCTGTCACAATTAGTATGTTTGCCCAGCATGAACTTTGAACCGTCTGTCGCTTTGCATCGAAAATATAAATCATTTGGTGTGTTTTGACAGCAAATGCACAATCACAACCGACAAAAAAAATGTATATACGACCAATTCCCGATCGAAATGCATCGTTATGTGTGGTTTTAGGGAGAAATTTCATTTTTCTCATGCTGTGCCACTGTGTGTACTAAGCAAACACTCCTTAAATCTCATCACTGTTTCTGGGATCGTTTCATTAGCAGCTGTTTGTTTATGTAGAAAAAATTATGGGAACTACGCATCTGATCAAGGTTAAGCTTTATTTTTATTGAAACTCAATGGATTAATCAAAGGAACACAGTAGAACAAATAGTGGAAAAAACAGTTCCGTTTAATGGAGAGTTGATTTTGAAATTTCATTTTATGCTCTATTGTTTTTGGGCGAGAATTAGAACATCGATATTACGAATGTCGATCATTGAAAATGAATTAAGTCGAAAGTAATCATTCAAATCGATCCGTCATTCACTCAATTGTATACATCATTTGTGACGCAGTTCAACTATGGACTGATTGTGTACAATATCGCTGAGTTACACATGTAAAATGCCCACGCAATAAATATTTTCGCTCAACCGAAATAGGAACCAATTAACGATAAAATCCCATGCAAGGAATTCCAAATACGCCCGTTGTCGACACATTTTTTTTCCTCTGTCCACCACATGCATCAATGTGGATCGATTCTATCGCATAATTACGACAAACATTTACCATATCCCCCCGACTCGATAAAAGAGCTCGAATATTGCCTCGTAATAGCAATTAAGGCTTGATGGATCGCGATGGAAAATCATGTGGGTTGCACTCAATAAATATGGACAAATTTACGATATTGATACATATTTGACAGACCATAAGCTATATTCTAATGAAAATTGCCTGTCATTTTAAACAAAAACGACGAAAACTCCATTTTCGACTTTTGAGAATTTGAATAATTTTGCATTTTATGCATGACGAAAAATCAATTAAATGAAACAACAATTTTTGAACGTAAAATGGAAATGTCTCTCGTCGAGAGTCTTCCTATTGTTTGGGAATAGAGACAATTTACAAATATATAGCGAATGGTTTTCATGACTCATATATTCAGACAGACGGTATCGATTTTCCTCCCATATCATACAATCTGTCGCTGTGTTGTCCAATCTCGTTTGTTGAAACGAAGCCAAGTAGCTCTCAAGTGGATATTGCTGATATAATTTATTCGCATGGAAAATTCATATTTTCGTATACTTTGCGATGCGTTGGCTTTCTTATACGTTCTTCTATTGTGCAGCTGCAGTCCAGTAAAAATGAACCGAATAATTGAATCGAATATCAGAATCGAATCAAAGTGGCAGTAATTGTGATCGAGTTGTCCGAACAGAAACGCCATTTAATTGGGAGTGCAATCAAGAAGCAGCAAGATGTTGCACATCAATTTCATTAATGAATCGAATAAATTTCAATTGAATATACATCTCAAAGAAGATCTCTTCAAAGATAGAATATAAGAACCCTTCTTTTTGGAACCCGAAGAAACCTCTTTGTGCTTCAACTTTCACAATATTTACTGTTTCACTGGAAACGGTTGTCAATTTTAATTCGCTTCACGCATTTTCGATTGTGTGATCGGCTGAACGTGTACAAGTACGCACATCGATTCGGTTTTTCGCCCATAATTCAATTAATTTATCCGTTCGATCCAATTGAATTTACAACTTTATTTTTAATTTTTGATCCGTCGATGCGAATAAACTTGATAGAATGCTGAAGTCATGGCCATGCCTCTATATCAATTGAACGATACGATTTATGTGTTGACACTGGTGAAGGGTGCGAGAGCAACTCTTGCTGAGATATTTCAATTGAAATGCAATAAAATTGAGCGGTTACGAGCCGCATGGTGCGGTACGCAAACGAACAACAAACGACGAGTGAGGAAATGTGTTTCTCGCACGCGAATTCGAACAGCGACCGCTATTAACCCATACGTCGTCGTTTTGTTTATAAAATTAAAACGGCAACGGAACAAAAAAAAGTGTGGTGAAAAATTGGTTGGAATTTGTGAATTTATCTTTGAAAATGTCTACTCCACTTACCCGACACTGTTGTAGACGAATTGGTTGTTGTAGTATCAGCTTTTGCGTCATTGGCTTTGTTTAGACTAGACGATTTGCCAGGCACGCAGCTGATTGTGGACGTTGATCCGCCGCTACTGCTGCTGGCATTGTTGTTATTGTTGTTATTATTATTACTCTTTTTCGATTTAAAAAGTTTCATTTTTTATGGCACTTAATGAAATCACGTACTTGAAAAGTCTTCTTTTTTTTACTCGTGCATGTTGCGATTGTTTGAAAATTCCTTTTTCTTCACCACTTCTGAATTGATTGTGGGGACTTTTCTTAATCTAAAACCACTTTTATTTTTGATACACTTTGTTTGCGCAGTTTCGAATTCACTTGATCATTTTCAATGTGTGCATTGCGAGCGGCGAAAGTGAGAGAGGATGGAACAGTCGTTTGGACGAAACCCAAATCTTGACTGTCATAATTGTTGATGAATTTATGTTGTCGCGATCGTTGCTACATCACACGTTGTGTGTGACATCTGTTATGCAATCGATCAAAATCGTAATTTTTCAACTGAACTAAAATAGCCGATTGCCATACATTGTGTTGAAACTGTGAATATTGTCGTCGATTTTGTTGTTTTCATAAACTTGACTCTCAAAAGAAAAAGTTACTTGATCATATTGAGATTTGAACGAAATTAAATCTGTTCGCCCATTTTTCACAACCTGAAGATCGCCAACCGAATTTTTTTTATTCACTATTACATTTACACTCAATCAAAACAAAAATTCGAATCTCGCTGCGTGTGTGCTTTATGTTTATTTTTCCAATTTTGCGCACGCTCCGCCGTCTAAATTTTTTTCCATCGTTCAATTCGAAAAATCAGATCAACGGTAGAAAGTAGACTGTGTGCTATTGAAAAACAGGGCCAGATTCAACGACAGTTTTCGATGTATTTTGATAAAACTAAACGAAAAAAAAAACGACAAAATGAAAATCAGATCTCTCCTCTCTCTCTCTCTTGTTTCTCTGAAGTGTTTTTCACTAAAGAAAGAAAGAAGAAAAAGAAAAGAACACAACCGAGGAAAATACGAATTACATTAATCTATTTTCAGACGTACGACCACATCAACAACCGACAATCTCGACGGAATCACGCTTACGATGGCGTTGCCGAGAGTCTCTTCTCATTTTTTCGGTTTTGTGAGAGTAAAAAAGCGAAAACGCTATTTCGAATGATTTTATTTACAAACTGATGCCGACGACAGTTTTAGTGAGACTAACCGCACAATCGATTCACTAAAGACTCACAACCGCCAAAAGTCTACTCAAGGCGAACGAAGGCGGCGAGAAATCAACAATTTTAATGCACAACACATATACACGCACGAGCACATACATAGTCATATTGTACATATACGAGCACCGTGCATAGAATAGCAGAGAAACTGAATTTGATCCGGAGTGGAAACTGCATGCACAGGCACACACACTCGGGACTCTGCATATGAACGAACTGTCATACTTTTCGTATGCTTTCCTTTTTTTCTGCATCAAAATCAGTTCAGTTGACAAACTTAGAAGAGCCCTAATTAATCATCTTTGTTTGTTATTGTTTTTTCAATGTCCGAATAGCGAACAGTGGGGTGATTCATATGTCACAACCGAAATTAGTTTGAACCTCAAACTGACTGAAATATTGTACAGTGTACATGGACACGCTACTATGAATCATAAATCGTAGTAAGATTGACCATCCTTTTGCATGACAAATTAACTAAGTAATTGAATAATTGCTCAAACTTAATTGTAACAGCCATTACAATGTGTGTATTCACCTTGAATCAAATTTAGACGCGTCTACGATAACTATTTTATATCGAAAACTTTTGGAAGAGCGCACCAAGTGCGTCTGTAAATAGGTCTTGGTAACCAACGGAACAACTGTTTAAATATTATCGTGATAAAATATTCCATTGGTTTCGCCCCCTAACCACGCCGAGGTTAACCTTTTAGGAGGTAGTTCCTTTTCATTTCCACATTTAAATTACTTTGGAGAGAATTTGATCATTTGTAAAATTGAAATTTTGAATCAACACTAGAAAATAAAAAGGAACCGTTCTTGGTTAGTATTGGATAGTGTTAGTAAATGTGAATGAAGAAAAACATAGATTGTTTAACGTTTTAGCATTTCTTATGCATTTTCTACATTTTATTCTATATATTGGTGCATTGCTTAATTCAATTGAACAATGATTTCTTTGGAATGAAATAAGTAAGTAATTCAACAAGTTTTTCAAGATGAAGTTAAACTTGTGTTCAGGTGATAATGATAGGAAAAGATCCGAAGCATCTGTGAAAGCTGTGTAGACGAATAAGGTGAAGCATTTCTTGGCGACTTATCTGAATCAATTCCAGCGATGTTTCGGCCGATGTTATTTGTTGGGCACATTGGACACCACCTTTGTGACCACTTTTAGACTTGTGGCTCGTTTTCCACGGGAACGATCGTGCATCGGGTCGATTAGTTGCGTCATAGTATTTCTAAGCCCACTATAAATGATGCGTTGACGGGCCATTTTCGTTGCTTTCGAACGTTCGAATGAAACTAAACGTTCAACCCTTTCATCGTTAACGCGCATTTCGAAACAATCAATTTCAACCTGAAAAAGAAAAATTTACTATGAATTTAATTGACTATTTTCGCATTCACTGAAATCATCGGTTACGTTTGAAGTCGTTGAAGTGGGCAATTGATCACCAGATTTTTGACCGACAGCAAGCGTTTCATTCATGTTTGTACTGGTTTGTAATGTCTTAAGGCGGTTTTCAACGGATGTTGCGCGCAGCTATATAGAAAAATACAATTTTTCATCTGGTGTCGAAAATTCATAATCATAAAAGGTAAGAATCAGGTAAGAACCTTTTCGAAGTGATTGATAACGAATGTGCACATTTCAACCATTCCATCAATTTGCTGATGATTTTCGTTTGAGCTCGTGTGCATCGGCATCTTATTCATTTTTGCGCTCTTTTTTCCAACATTGAAATACTCAAATTTGGAATCATTGTAGCCAGAATCCACATCAAATACGTTTTCATCGGACATGATCAAAAGCTGCGAATTTTGCAAAGTGAAATGAAGAGAAAGGGAATACAAATATATCTCTGTGTGCGTATGTGGATAATGAGAAGAATAATGAAGAAAACGCTAATTCTAATGTGGTGGGGCTAATTATATAGTGTTCTCTAATAATGTCTTATGCTGTCCAGCCACACGTTGCATTGGGGAATTATAATATCCGATTAAGCGAAAATTAGATGAAAAATAAATGCAAACGAAAGCAAAGGCTGTGTAAGAAGCGAATGAGAAAAATCAACAACAATCTTATGCATAACAGCAACCGTTTCAGTGGTGAGCGAATAAATGCTAAGCGAATGAGCCAAGACTAGATAGTTTGATCCGATATTTGCATTCGATAATCTGGCACATTTCGGATAAATTCACCGACCGTTTAAGGTTATGTTAATCTTTATTTACATCACACATGGCACCAATTGTGTTGTGTGAATAATTGAATTGGTTTTAGTCGTTATCAATTGTGATGTCCTTCATTGATGAACGAACGCGAACGTTTCGAAAAATAACCGCTTTTAATTAACATTTAACGTTCATATTGAGGTGTTGTTTTAAATTCATTTTCAATTTTAGTAAGCTTAATTGAAGTTGATGGTTTTTTGAACCAGACTTTTGAAGTCGGATACCACACTTCTCACGGCGTCTATGAATAACAATTCCCGGAATCGGCTTAGCAGAGAAAGTAAAAAATCTCATTGAAAACATGAAACTCGTGGCATTTCTGTGGAAAATCCGTTTTCGTGTCGCTTGTGTTGCCTGTCTAACCTTTTAGCCACCGGGTGAATCTTGTTATGACAACAAATGATTCATATTTTACGAGTGTGGCACGACGTGGCAAATATGCAGCCAGAATACACAATATGACTCGCTGTCGACATGATATCACTAGACCGTTACGAAGAAAATAACAACAACAACGACGAAAACATTAAATTTGCATGAGTTCGACTTCACGCATCTTTTTCGATGGAATCAAACAATAAAAACATTGCTTTGAACTTATTAACATGCGAGTCAAGCGAAAAAAAGTCTTTAAATGCATATCAATTTCATTGATGAAAAATAGAAAAAAAAAAATAAATAAATGGTATTCAAATAGATCGACCCAGAGCATTGAATGCGTAATTTATGGGGCTCGTGGCTTTGCTACCAATAAATAATAAAACAAATTGCAGTGTGTGTCTATTTTATTAAATTACCATTCGTTCAATTGGTTTTAGTTTTTATTGCTTCCACAATCGGTTCAGTTTGTGAGCAATGGAAACATTTAAAAACTAACAAGAAAAAAATCATAACAAAACGTATACATTTGATGTATCCCAAATGAAATCACGAAAAATCTGAAGAAAAAATACACTTCTCCTTGAATAAAACGCATAACTTCTGCTTGATTTGACTCGGAAATTGGATTTTCACTCGGGAAGTGTGTTAGAGAAGTATGCCATTAAATGCTCACATATCGATAGAGAGGGAGAGAGAGAGAGAGAGAGAGAAAGAGTAGCATACTTAAAACCTTGAGCGCATTTCGTTTGTACTATTGCTTTTTTATGTGTAAATATCGTTGTCGACAAAATCGACAAATTTTCCCGTCTTCGATGCTTCGCTCATTCTCTCTCTCTCATCTGCTCGTTTTCCTCACATTGTAAACATTGTTTGATGCGAGCAAGAGACTGGCTGAGTGAGTAAGTGAATGAGAGTGAGCATTTCAATACGTTTGATGTATTTTTTTCATATTATTTTTATTTGGCTTTGTTTCTGCTTTAATGGCTATGCATAATTACCGAGGATTGTTCCAGTCGACAGACGAACATTTGTCTGTTGAAACAACAACACACAGAAGCCCCAACGTATTTTTCTCGACTCAATGCAATAATAGCAAATGAAGAATGAAAACAATATAAATTTAAAGAACGGTTCAAGAGACAAAATAAGAACATGTATGAATAAAAAAAGGAGATATATGCCGACGCGAGTAGGGAAGAGAAACGTGCACGTTCTTCTTTAGCCGAACGGCGTCATATATTGTGTTGTGTGTGTGTGCATGTTCTGCATGTTGGTTTTTGTTCCGCATTTGGACAGTGCGTTGAAACGCATGTTTATTATAGCGATGCAATCTGACAGCAACATACGGTGACATGTCGCTGGTTCAGTAGATCGTGCGTCTATGCCATATTAATATTAATTCAGACACGCTCAAATCCAATCGTAAATATCGTCTGAGAGCCACTGTGCGCCGTACTTTTTCTTTTGAAAACTGTTTTCGCTTAATCTCTCAATTTTACGAATATGCTGAATTATTGGAAAGACACATTTCTAGGCGCGAACACGCGCGTGCTCTTCCGTTGACGCAAAGTCGTAAATTTTGCAATTGTTTTCCTTTTCTCCCGTCGACTCGTGGCCAACGGTATTTATTAATGAAATCTCCTCATAAATTTGCATTCATACGTTGGTCTCTCTTTTTCGTTACTTTATTGCATTTTTCACGCTGGCGTTGCTGCTGCGTGCAAGAATGCTGTTCGTTTTGTTATTATACGTCGAGAAAAATAGACTCAATCGAACGACCAAACAACCGACCGACCGACCTAACAAATACAATAGAGGTCAAAGTTAACGGGAATCGATAACATCGAATATTCAAAAACGAAAATTCCTTCAATGTTCAAGGGCATCATGTCATCCCATTGCCCGTACCTAAATTGGGCCTTCCACGAATAAATTTTCGGAAAATGTTCCAATTTCCCAAGAACAACATAGTTTGTATTGAGTAAATAAATATTGAATACATAATAACTCATTGAAAACTTGTGTCCACCTTTTTGTCATGAGTTATGGCGGGTAATCAATGGCTAAAGAAAAATACAAAACGGAAATTTCCTCGTCATTATTCTCGTCAATTGCTCTGCAGAATGAAGTGAAAAACAGTGGCTAATTTGAAGTGTCGGAAGGAATTTGGCTGGTTCATTAGCCTGGCTATTATTGCAGCTGTTTGCACGCAATCTGTTTGGGTAATCCTACCGAAATAAAGTGTTTATTGAACTTTTTGGCTTGAAATGAATGAAAAGTTTATTATCATTTATTTATTTTTTGGCTTGACGCACATGCAATCAATGCATCCATACAATCGATCCGACCACGACAAACTCCACCTAATGGACTAATGGGCATGGTGTGTATACGTGTTGTTGTTGCTGCTGTTGTTTTGACTTTTTTCCACGATATTCTATTGTTTGGGGTTTCATTTGTGTCATAGCAACCAGCCAATTCAATAGTTTACATACTGTTCTATCGATTTTACTGATTTTCAAATCTGGTTTCATCGTGAAAGAACGTAAAACAATTTTACTCCGTTGGAAAAAAACATGCTGGATACGTGATAATTATCGAATTTTATTTCGAAAAAAAAGTAACTAGCTCTTGATCATTCATTAATTTATTGTGTACGGTGTAAATTAAATAGCACCTCTCTCGTTGAATTGAATCGAAGTGACATTTTACGGGTGTTAATCGATTTTGTGACATTTCAAATACCTCAACCACACTCAATGTTCGACTCTTCGATGGGTTCTTGATGTAGTGAAATTTAGTGACAAAATCGTTATGTTCATTTTAAAAGCGGTGATTTTTGGATTCATTACGCTGTGCATTTTAACACTTTCAAAAATTTGCCATGCAAAATACGTGAACGGACATCTGCAAACACTTGAAGTATGTAACACTTTCCTTTTGCGTATAATCCATATTTCATGGGAAAATTTCATGAAAAAAAACATTCATTGATTAATCATTTCATTGATCATCCATTTTTCATGAGTTGCAAACTGGTTTTCACTAGCCGAAGAAATTTCTTTAATTAAATTCAGGACTGGTCATTTTTGGCACGTTTTTGCTTTATTTCGGGACGTGGACAATATGAGTACGAAATCGAATTTGACCGAAGACTCGGTGAACCTCAACTTTTACTCTACTATGATGACAAAACGCAATGGCCTTCTGTCTACAAAAGTGATAAGGTAATTTCGGTGTATTGGCGTGTAATACGCCGTAATTTTATTCTATCGAAATTATTTCGATATGATAGCATGATTTTTTTTTCTACATGCTTCTCACTTTCAAATGATTTGATAAATAATCATATCATGATACATTACAAATTCCATGTAGTATATGACAATTAATAATTGATAACCATTTATTCTTCGATTTTTTTTTCATTTAGACTTGCCGTGAGAAACTCAGCGTGCTAAGTAGAATAGATAATCAAATTGTAACTTTATCAGCACGTTCTCCAGATAGTAGGACATCAGGATGTACAATTTTACCGAAAAATTCACAAAAACAGCCCATACCAGCTCCTGCAACCACACTGACACCGATCGAATTGACCACATTGCCAGAGAATGAAAGTGAAATTGCTGCAACTGAAACCATTTTCGATAAGTTTTTACGACGAACCACAGTCCTTCCGACGGGTCATCGACAGGTAAAATCACTGGACAACATTACCGAAGAAATTCAGGACAATGAGTTTAGCGAATCAATGGAGACATTCAATGAAACCGAAGTTTTTAACAGCACATCACAGCATGGATCACGTAAAAATGGTGGTGGTCTCTATTACAAACACGATGTTGGCTTGGAAAATGTACTCGAAAACACAACTGAATACAAAGTCGATGTTGAGGAACTATTTGAACCACAGAAGAAAAGTGAACGCATTGACTATGATGATAATTCATTGGATGAAAGACAACCACGCTCCAATCCTACGCTGAGTTTTCGACCAAATCGAGAAACGTACATCGTTCGATGTCATAATACAGGCACTTTCATTAGCTCGAGAGAACGGTGGTGGTTCATCGCAGTCGCGAATTGTGGCAATAACAAGGGACTCGACATAAAATATCGATTCAGAATGACCAACGGCAACACGGGCGACTTTTGGCATGAACACTTTTCTGCGGATGAAAGGCGTAAGCTTTAATTCTTTTTAATTTTACTGGTTTTTCTTCTGGATTTTGGTGAGGTGTTTGAAAAAAAAGCAAGATTTTTTAAAAATATTTATTTACTCTTTCTTCTTCTTCTTCTTCTTTATAAAACTTCATCGAATTTGTTGTTGCGAATTATTCAAAAATAATTTGTTTTTCCATTACTTTCTTCACAGTCATTCCACCGATTTTGCTGTGTCAATTCATCGTCTATTCTTTTCTGGTCGTTGCCCTGTTTTTCTGTACAATTGAATTGAAATCCATGCATTTATACCATTGCACGTATCGTTTGTTTGCCTTCAGTTTGATGATGCAGTATATTGGCATAGTGATCTTAGGCATCGCTTGGATTCGCTACGGTATGACTGGACTCGGACCTCACACCACTATCGGTGGCTTATTGCTGGGCGTAGCTGAAATTGCATTCTTGCTCTTACTGCTGCTAATGGCCAAAGGATACACCATAACCAGAGCCCGCCTTTCAAGCTGCTCAATTGTCAAACTCACCATTTTTATCAACACTTATATCGTGGCTTATATCATTCTGTACATCTATCAAGCAGAAGCCTTTGATCCGGGAGAGGTGTGTGCTAATTCTTTTATTTTCAATCAGAATCGTTTTTAACTGATTTTACCGGTCAAAGATCTTCACTATGTTCACTATGAACATTTCATGCATATTACATTTTATCCTTAACTTTTTCTCTAAGGTATTGAATTTGTACGAGTCTCCTGCTGGATTTGGATTATCACTTCTGCGTTGTGTTTCGTGGTGTGTCTTTATGATCTCAACTGCAGCTACGATTCGTAAATATCCTGAAAAGAGCTCGTTCTATTATCCATTCGGTCTGCTTGGATCGTGTTGGATTTTGGGCGGACCCTTTCTCACACTCATTGGGATTGGCATCCTCGACGCTTGGGTGAGAGAAAGTGTGATGTATCTCACATTCGCAATGCTGGCATTCATGGGTCATTCGACATTTTTGGTGAGTTCTACCGCTTAGTTCTCACATGTTTCGTTTTATTTTAAATTTTTTTCATTTTATTGTTTCTAATTTTGTATTTATTTTGTTATTTTGAAAATATGAAAATGTTCATGAATCGTCAAGTGAGTTTTATTTTGTGTTTTCATTTCATTCAATAAAAAATTTCGAAGAGAAAATCCGGAGATGAGTGAAGAAATTCTTCTTTTATTTCCTTTTTCAGTGGATAACCTGGCCATCGCGAGCAAATAAGAGTTTCCCATACCACGTGAAAACGAATCACATTGGAATTGCATCGGAAGATGATGATGGAGCTGATTACCCACGTCACACTTATGAGCCAACGCATGTGGATCAAAATATTATAATTCCCCTATCACGACGCACGGAAGAGCTCATCAATGGCATCTACGGGCAGTACATGTACGATCAACCGCGAACAGGTTCAAATGCACACAGCCACGCATCGTTTCCCGAAGATCCACACGCTCCGGCCGAAATTTTGTCATCGAAACAACTACAGAATGAGATCTATGAAGCTGACACTGAACGCCGTTTTTCAGCTTATTGCCAAAAACCTGCGTTTTGTGGCGGTGATGTTTCACAACCGCAATCGTGCACAATGGTCGATGATTATGATGAAAACGATTCTGGTCACCCATCCCTAGATCAAAGTGGAAGTCCATCAAACAACACGACTAAATCGATCTCGGACGGTGAATCACCGGTTAAAGATTTGCAAAAATATTGCACAGAAAGCGCCAAAGCCAATCAATTTGTTGAGGACGAGCAGAAAGCAGCGCCCAATAAAATTATTTTAGAGCCCATTGAAAAGTCCATAAAAAACATGAAATTACCGGCTATAGTTCCTCGACACTTATTCGCTGCTAAGAAAGAGAAGAGCGATGAAAACCCTGAATTGGCCTAAGTCACACACGATTTTCATTTGAAATCGTTTGCTTTAAGTTTCAATATTTTCTTTATATATCCTACTGAGTTGATTTTGGATATGTTAAAAACATTTGTGTTTGAGATGAGTTCGAATAAAGTATTTTTTCAAATGGAAAACGAACCCATTTTTGAGTAGTTCAAAATGAAAATTAATGATAATAAATAAGGCGTGAATTTGCTATTTCAAGAAGCACAAAAATGGTTGAGGAAGTATCTTTGAATTGAGAAGAATCAACTGTCACTCAAAATCTCATTTTGAAGATCAAAGGTTTGAATTGTCCGGCTGTTAACTAATTTAATTAGGCTACGAGTGAAACTTTCCGTAAGCAGATTGTTCGAAGAAAAGGCTTTATTACCCCGATCTTCGTTCATCGTGTTTATGTTTAGCCAAACATTTTGAATCAAAACACAGATGTGTGCAGTTCTTTTCGAGAGTCATTGCCATTGAGTTTTATTTGTTACCATCAAAACTTTAATGACTTGTAAACGATTTTTGATCATCCGCACTTCAAATGTTCTAAAAATATGGAAGAGAGAGCGAGAAAGACATACATTCAGATCAAACGCCTGTGGCATTTTCTTGCAATTAGCATTGTTTATGACGCATTCAATCTGCGTTATTGCATTCACTCTTAACGGCTGCTATTAACGATCCTAGCGTATAATAGAGATATATCAGATTGAAACATGACACGGTTATTGATTTTTTCTTCCCTTTTACCTCAAAGTAGTGCTGGTAATGATATTTTTATAATACCAAATAGAGTAATACTTACGCGTTTTTATGTAATTTAGCGCAATCAGAGATAGAATCTATTGTCAATCCAGTCGTGCTGGTGCTGAGGTTGTACAAATAAAAAACATATTAGGTATAGCATTACGTGTATTATTGAATTATTGATATTAAAATAATTCATTAGAGTGAAAGTGTGTTGGCTTGCTAAATATCTGTTTGGGATACGTAGCACTCGGCAGTTGTGATTGAGATTTCGATTTGATTTGTTCAAACCAATATTTTCTCTGTCAATTCCATTCCACTTTCCGAGAAAAAAAATAGAACAAAAAATGGATTATTATTCTTGGCCAAATCGTGTAAATGGTTCTGTACCGACGCAACGACCAGCCAAAAAAAATTCAAAAATCACAGCACCCGAAGCACCACCAGTTGACGTGAACGATGTTGACACAAAAATTACACCTATGCGTTTACTGCGCACCAGTCTCAATTATCAGACGAAGGAATTTTTCAATAATTCCACTCTGCACGGCGTACGTTACATCGGCGAAAAAGAGCGACCGTTCGGCGAACGTCTCATGTGGTTTTCCTTCACTATAATTGGTTTGATCTCGGCGCTTGTTATAATCGCCAGTTTATGGGAAAAATTCCAGACCAACCCAACCATCACGGGTGAGTTTAAGTATTTCATTTAGTGCACATTGACACACAAAGTAACTAATGGAAGTGAAATATGCACAATTTCACCCTTTTTAAGTGGATCGAATGGTTAGCAGTAAATCACTGACTTTTCCATGACGCAACAATGTTGCAGCCCGAAAGTCAATTATTTCCGAAAAATTATGGAAAATTTTCTTTCGAAAGAAAAGAGAGAAAGTAATTAAAGTCTGAAAAATATGTTTATAGGCTTGGATATGGACGTGCATAATCAACAGCTCGTTTTCCCAACCGTTGTGGTGTGCCCGATTGAATCGTACGACTTGAATCGCACATACGATCTGGCATATTACAAATTAGGGTAAGCGTTTAACCGTGTCGAATTCCATTTTATTTTTCCCAAGATTTTTTGTTTAACGAGAAAAACAACAACTTCATCTTCTTCTTCTTTCGCTTTGTTTTTAATTTCTTTTTCATCGTTGTCGGCGGTTGCTTCGACAAAATTCAACGAAATAAATAACGCACATTTCAAAGAAATTACGAGGAAGACAGTACCGAAATATTCGAACCATTTTTGATTTACTTGCCTCAAATGAGCTATGAAAACTTGCATAGTGCATATGCACAGAGCAGCAACATCAGCACGCATAAGAAATACAAAAACGCGATGGACACCCGTACGTTGAGAAGTTACACTTTTCAGGCGAGTTCAGAAAATAATTTAGAAACTTAATTTGTGAAATACTCGATGTTGCTGAGAAAAAAAGTTATGTCGATAATTGGTTTTCCATTCTTTTTTCCTTTTCCCATGACTTTTTTCACTCTGATTTTTTCCTCCAATTTTTTTGATCATTTTTACTTTGATTTTCTCAAAAAAACCAATTCATTCTTCCCCTTGTTTTCCTCCTTTTCGTTTTTTTATTTGGTTTTTCTGAAAGTATCGCATTTGAAACAAAAATCTATAGATCGCCATACTCTGCAATGAAACATTTGACCTATGTAAGTATCGCGATGAAGACGTTAAGTGCTGCGATCATTTTTACCCAGTCTACTCGGAGCATGGTTTTTGTTTTGCATTCAATCCGAGATACATCGATGAGCCAAATGCAGAGTAAGTTTTTCTCTGACTTTATTCGCTTTCACTTCTCTTCATTGAATTTACTTGTTGTGCGATCTAGAATCACCAACAAAAGACTCCATGAGCTATTTGAAACCGATAAGAAGTGGGCACTGTTTTTTACACCAAAACGTGAAGCAAAAATATTTGTTCACTCACATGATGAGAATTTCGGTTGGGATTTTCGTGAGTAATTTTCATGAGATTTTTTAAAAAATACTTTGAGTTTATTACAAGTAATAAAATAAATGGTGATATTTTCATAGGACCACACGTTATTTGGGAACCGGTATGTTTTGATATATTGTATATATCTCTTAAATCGCTTAATTAATATACCACAATTTTTGATATGTGTAGGATTTTGCGGCTGAATTGCTGATATCAATGAAGCAAACCTACACCACGGAAGACGCCAGACAACTTTCCATCAGCCAACGAAAATGCATTTTCCCCGACGAAGTCAAGCTGCAAGAATATGAAGGAGAATACACTTTTACGAGCTGCATGAAAGAATGTCGCATGAGAAAATCCATGAAACTTTGTAAATGCATCCCACCCTTTTATCGACCCATTAGTAAGTCATTTTCATGGGATTTTTTTCCATCGAAACACTTAGAGTTTATTAAAAGTAATAAAATAAAATGATGATATTTTAATAGAAGCGATGCCATATTGCAATTTGAAGGATTTGGAGTGCCTCTCTAAATTTGCAATCAACATCACCGATGTTCGAGACTGCAGCAAGTGTGAACTGAGCTGTGCGAATACGGTTTATGAAATTGAAAAATTGAGCAAAACGTACGTTTTTCAATTTGTGCCCTTGTATTTGTATTTTTTTTTTTGTTTTGAAACATTCTATTAATTTTCTTTGTTAGGATAAGAAAAAAAAATCCAAAAAAATTTTGAAAATGATAAAAATGATCAAAAATGAAATTGAAGCAATAATTGAATTTGATCTTATAGAACCGCTGATCCATCAAAACCGTTGGACACTTACGTGAACATTGAATATTTGACATGACCGATCATCCGGTACAAGCGCGAAGTTCTTTTCGGCTGGGTCGATTTATTGGTATCATTCGGAGGCATCGCTGGTCTATTTCTGGGATTCAGTCTATTATCCGGTGTTGAAATCCTTTACTATTTTTCTTTGCGCGCATGTTGCATGCTCTACAAGAACCGAGAGGAGTTATACGAATTGGCAGAGATACAGATGCAAGAGCCAATCGAATACATTGATTTGTCGTTGACAATTATGAAACGCACAAAAATCTATAGCAGCGATGATGAATTGCCCGTCGTTCGTCAAATTGATGTGGCCGAAATCAGTTCGCGCGTTGCATCTGATCAACTGGCAGCAAACCCTGATCCGATTGAAAACGACAAAGGAATGCCCAATCACTTGACTCGCAAGAAACAGCAGATGATTCAAGTGAGTGACAATTCACATATTTATCCAAATTTCATCTGTTCACTGAAAATTCTGAAATCTTCTCTTCTTTAACCTTTCAATCGCTTCCTCTCAAGACTATGCTACAAGCAAATCGAGTGGCCAACAGCTATGACTATGCCCAGGCTACAGGACCCTACTACTACATGCCATAAACCCAAAGCAAAAGACACAAAAAAATGCGTGCAATTTCTATTCAATTTTCTATATAAAAGTGTTTTTTACACTGAGTGTGGTTTTTATTGCTTTGAAAATAGTATAAAAATTTGGGTTTTTGGTTTAGTATTGAATTAAATTCATTTCTTGTAGCTATCAAAATTATTTATATCTCAAAAAATAGTGGTAAGCCTAAAAAAACATGAACTCATCTTTTTTACATGTGTACGAGATTGATTGAATATTTTTGTTCCTATTGTGATGATTGATAAAAATAAAGAAAAATTTAGTCGTATGACGCAAAAAAAAATGATGGCAATTTTTACATTTTGGCTTGTTTTGCACTGTTTGTGGAGCATCACTTGTCAGACTACCGTCGTCCGTGATACAGATTGCCGTTTAAACGCTGCTAGAGTTAATCTTTTACTGAAATTTCGACGGTTTCAATTGGAATTGGCTAATTCTTGGCAGAATACTTTTGATTGGTGTGCGGCTGAATGTTCTGCATGGTGATGGCGATTTGAGGGTGTTTGCATTTGTGTTTATCGTCTGCGGGAAACTGGAAGTGAAACAACAAATTCAGAACTGTTTCTTGCAAAAGAATGCCAGTAAATTGTGATGAAATTGAATTTAATCAAGATTGCCCCTACCTAGCACGCTCTTCCAATGAATATCTCAGCAAAGTGGTGTGCCATTGATATATATTCGGATAGGAGTTCTTGTCAATATCAACATTATGCAAAGCATTTAGAACATCATTATCCATTTTTGTTGGTTCCTGACTGAAATTCAAACATTAGATATTGAATGAAAAATTATCCAAAAGAAGAGAAACAAAAAAGCAATTAAATTAAGACAAAAATGTATACCAAATACATGTTCACTATAATACACTCTAGTTGAGTGAATCGCTCAAAACCAGAGATTACTATGAGATATTTTTATTCATATGGGATAGAAATGTCGCATAAAAATATCAGATATTTTTCATGCGTTACGTTGTTGTAACGCTTCTGCAGTACAAAATTCATATTCCTCTTTGGGATCCAAGTCAAATTTGCATGAAATTCAACTTGGATCCCAAAGAGGAATATGAATTTTGTACTGCAGAAGCGTTACAACAACGCAACGCATGAAAAATATCTGATATTTTTATGCGATATTTCTATCCCATATGAATAAAAATATCCCATAGTGATCTCTGCTCAAAACTTACCCAAAAATGAAATTATCATATAAGATTTTTGGGTCGCTGTTATCGAAAAATTCCAGAACCGGTGACTGTGGCGGTGTGAAAAATTCTTCATCGCTTGAATCGATTTCATCTTCTGAATGTTCCAGAGACTGAAAGATACACAAAATAATCAAAACACGAATCTATCCAAAAACAAAACGTGTAAATGATCTTACCAAAAATGCGTCATCCTCTTCGTCAGTTTCGTTCTCCTCGGATCGGATGTTTAATCTATCACAAAAATCGCCGAATGTTTCGCTCAGTCGATTCTTCCGTTTGATACTGCGATTTAATTTGTTGTTTGGTGAGTTGGCCCAGTCACATTCGCATTTCTCTTCGCCATGCCAAATATCGGCACAGTCCGTTTCAGTGGTTAGCACTTCCGGTGGAATCAAATTGGACGAATCATTCAATCGTTTCAGCAATTGTTTGATCAGGCAAATCAATTGTGTGGTATTCTTGGCAAGCTCATCTTGGCTGTTGCCATTTTTGCTCGCACTGAGAGCCGATTTTTCCTTGGCATGCAAGATATGGTCAAGTGTGCTTTGGAGTGTTTCACTGACTTTGTGCTCCTGGTACTCGGGATCATTGTTCAATAGAGCGACGACAATGTGCGCAAATCGTGAGTGAGTCGCTTGAAAATCGACAGCAAAGAAACGAATATCATGCTTATAGCTACAGATTAATGATTTCAATCGATTCAATTCCCCAACGAGTACATCATTCACAGTCACGATATTGGTTGGATTCTGGGCGATTGGCTTGAGCAATCGATTTGCATAGATTTGGCATGATTTTTCTACGCATAAATATGCGTGAAAAGCATTTGGACTGGACGGTGTCGAGGCGCGTGCATGATTGAAACTTTCGTCGTGTGGATCCTTTTCGATGCGCAATTTGTTGAGTTTTTGTGAAATCTTCGACACTGGAGTAACGGGCAATGGGGTCAATTGAAACTTTCGTTGTGTTAGAGATGCCAACGAAGGTGGTTTCATTCGTTCGTCCAATCGATCTTGAAGATACATTTCGAATTTCGTCAAGCCTTCGTTACTGCTGATATCGATGAATTCATCCAAAAATGCCCAATGCTCACGCCACGTGACCCGTTGATCCTTCGCCAAACCTCGACCGATTACTTCCAAACCTTTATCAACATCGGCCAATTTGAGATTTCGTTCCCGAAAACCAGGTGAATTGTACTGGTTCTCATTGAATGAGATTTCACTTAGCGAATTTAAACTTGGCGTGGCCATGATCATCGAGTCATTTAGACTGTCATTATGCGAATGATCGCGATAATTTCTAAATAACATCTTTGCCGCATTCGGAGCGATGTTTTCATCGTCCGTCACATTGTTGTCGAAGAGGCGACGCGATGTTTTCTCAATCGTTAGCGTTGGTGTGACTTCTCTCTGTGGAGTCTTACTCGGTGTACAACGCTGACGAATGATCATATTCGGATAGGAAGATAGCGGCGATCCATTGATTGGACTTTGTTCTTGGACCGGCGATTTTAAAAATGCGGCCGGCGAACCCAAGGCCCGTGGTGGCGTTTTCCAACGCTTCCGGAACGTCTGAAAATCGGTGGATTTTAGATTTAAACGTTGATAAATTATGTCGAACACTTCAGAAATACGTTTTTAGTCTACTTACTTCAGCTTGTTCTTTGTTCATCGGACCAGCTATAGCTCGTATCTCCATCTTTGGACTGAGCAAATCATTTGCTGGCACCTGCTAAAATAAGATTACACACTTTCTTTAGCATAAAATCCATTTCCATCTCATTTTAAACAGTATTTACGTTGGGCAACTGAGTTTCCATGAACGGTTCACCAATGACCGGTGGTGTTGAATTGTCGATTGATCGCATGACTGGCACATAAAATCGACCTTCCAGCAATGTTCGAATGGTGTACGCTACTGCTGGATCCGGGGATGTCACTCTGGAGCATACAATCTGAAATGAATTTCACGATTTAGCAGAAGTATGTGTTACTGAAGCAGGTAAACTCTCTTCTACAATCAAAGACACCTTTGTGTTTCCAAAAGTGAACTTCTGAACAGAAAAAACGCATTTTTCTTCGTAATTTTTAGTATTTTTTGGGAGTTTAATCATGACATTAGGTAACTTACATCTTTTGGCAAATATCCTTCTGTATTCCGATTCGATTGACATTCCCGATACGATGTGAGTACTTCAACGACACTAGCGGCACCGAATTTGGTGGCCAAATGCAATGGTGTTTCGCCGCGACCCTTTTCGGGCATATTCAAGTATAAATCTAACAATATATTGGAGACATCTTCGGCGGTGCGGTCATCATCTTTTCCATGTAGCAATTTAATGAATTCGGGATCGCCAACCGTTTCCAAAACCAGAATCGTCATCTCAGCATTCTTTGATATGGCTGCTACATGAAGTGCATTGTATCGAAAACTCCTGTTCGGAAAAGTGAATCACTATATTATAATTGAGTCATAAAGTGAGTCATAATATGAGTTACAAAGAGTCTTACTCTTTCAATATGGTCGGTGTATCGCCGGAACTAACTAAATATCGTGGATTCGATTTAATAAGATTTTGTGCCGATTCTTTGTCGCCTTGTTCAATCATTTTTCGGAATTTAATTAGCTCTTGGCTTGTTGGTCCGCGGAAATTCGATGTTTTTTCTCCAACCATTGGGGACGCTAAAATAATAAATGACGCCTTTTTTTTTAGAAATTACATCATTCGGTGCAATATTTACACATGCAATCGATTTGTCAAACGTAGACAGTATTAAATGAATCGAATCAAATCAATTGACCAAACAAACCTTGAAACTCACCTTTCGACGAATTCTTATCACAGTTAACATTGTTATTACCAGTACCATTGGACTGAACACCGTTGATTTCGGCGGATATAATAATAAGCGGTATTTCGGTTTCAGTGGGGCTCTCTAGGCCACACTTTGAGAATCGATATGCCTCCTCATACGTTTTAAACGATTTGACTCGTGATTCGCGTACCTTTTTCAGCATTTTGAACGCCTCATTTCTGTCGCTGAATACCAGTTGCGCATCTGAAATGTTTCGAACAAAGAAAACTAATATAAATAAATCGTCGAGTAAAACAGGAAAAAAAACAACAACAAAAACACGTTTCCAATATTCGCATAAACAAAGTTTCACTTTCGTACACGCAAAACAACGGCGGAATCGCAGACGATTCAATGTGGTGCGTTGTGAATAGAACGTGGAATGTAACGAGATCGTTGACAAAAGTCATTAATCGTTCCATCAATAGTGTTTTATTTTTGTTTAGAACGCGTCGGTCTCGAGACAAAGAGGCATATTACCAGCCCATTGGCATCGCAGTAGTCAGTAGTAGCATCGACGGACAAATATAGACTGTATATTCAAGTGTACAGTAAAGTCTAAAAACAGCAATGACTGAGGTGCGTTTGCGATAATGGTAGACTTTAGTAAGGTTCACACAGAATAAAACACACACAATCGACGTGCTCGTTGCAACAACAGCAGTGAGTCGAAGCAAATCCAAGCAAAAAACCGATAAATTCACTGCTTGTTTTCACTTTTTTTTTGCTATGTATATCGCTGTTCCACTTGTACGGTCGTCACCGTTTAAAATTTCAATAAATTTACAACTGTTTTAATGCTTTCTTATCACTTACCTTCTTCGATGAGAGCGTTTTTCTTTTCACTCGGTATAAAAACACCATAATATGCCATTACAATAAACTTAAAATGAACTCCTTACAAATGATAACAAATGATTTTTTTTCGATTTGAAAAATCCGACGACGAAATAAACTCATAAAATTCAACAACAACAATTAAAAAAAAAAGAAGAACAAAGTGGAAGATGAAGAAAAAAAAATGAAAACGAAACTTAAAAGAAAAAGAAACGAGTGATTGAAATCTACGGTGTCGAAAAGACAATTTTCCGTTGCCCGTTTGTAAATCCTTGTCGTTTTGAACGGAGTTTGCTGTTTCAAAGAAAAACTTAAAGTGATCGCAACGAAGTGTCTGTCTCTGTGTCCATATGTGATTCGGTTTAATTGCGCAAATAAGAATTTATTTGTATTCGGTGTGTTTCTTTTTTTTCGCAATTCGCACACAACAGTTGGTCTGATGGTGTTCGTTAAACGACGACATTCGACTAGTGTGAAGTTGGCCGAGCACGAAGCGCGCTCCTCTCTCTCTATACCAAGCGTTTCATTTCGACCAGAGCGCTGTCACTGGCACAATTGTTCGTTCCAAATTCAATGTCATTCCGTTTTCTTCAACCAGAAATGAATTTTGCTATGAATATCACAGAAACGCGCGAAATTATTGCTTTCATTTGTATCATCAGTTTTATTTTTCAAATCTTTGTAAAAATGTATCCTCTTTTTTGTAGTTGCTTACTAAAATACGTACATAAATATTACATTTTCTGTATATATATATATATATGTGTGTGTGTGCTAATTCCGTATTTTCTCACACTCAAATAAAGTACGACTGGCGTGTGTTTTCTATCCTCACTGCGCTCCTTTCACAAATTACAATTTAGGAGCCTTTTCTGTGTGTTTCATTTTTTGCTTCAAATTTGAACGAAAAAAAAAGATAAACACAATTCTCGAAACCGAAAGTACAAAAATGGCTTGTTCTGTTTCAACCTGTATGCACCGTTGGTCTCTTTCAATTCATTTGTTTTTGTTTTTCTTTCTTTGTTTCCATCCTTAATTGTCCTAACAAACTAAAAACAAATTGCATTCTGTACACATGAATTTCTCTTGTTTTGCTTTAACATAAATTGGCTTAATAGCCCAAAATGAAAGATGAGAGTGGAAATGAACAACAGAAAACAATATTTCTTCTCAAGAGAACCAAACAATTTTGGAGAAACAAAAATTAAACCAATCGCAAAAATTGAATGGCTTCGAAAAAAAACACATTAAATTATACCCTTAGAGACTAATGAGTTTTGAATCAATGAATGAAAATATACGCTTTTCCAATCCCTTCCCTTCCGGAAAAAGCAGAAAATCAACCATCGTATCCACTTTCCGAATGCAATATTAAACTCAAAATCACAACACTACTTGATTCGATGCGTTCGTAAACACACAAAATTTGTTTAATTTGAGGTTGATGAGCAATCGGTTTCTATAATATTTTCTTTGAATTTTCTATTGTTGGGATTATGAAAGGATGGATCTGAATGGAAATTGTCTTTTTCACATTTTATTATCAATTATACTAAAATGACGATAATCAATTGCTATCAAAAGAAAAATGTATACGTAATCATGTGCTAAAATGACAATTTTCGAAGGACTGGATTTCATTCACTTGGTCAATTTATCTACTAACTGCTTTTCTACTGTCTTATCGCTTACATATGGGTTTAAATTGTTTGTTATTTTTTTTTTACAAATTCCACGTTTTCATTTCAATTGTTTTGGGCTACACAGTCATAATACAACCCGATCACACAATCCTTATGCATATACAATTCACAAATGGCTTATAATTAATATTGAAATGAGTGGGTGATGGTGGTTAAATTGTGTATATGGATATATGTCTAGGTCTTTTTTTTTCTTGTTTGTTGATGTTGTTTTTTTTTTGCAGTGAAATAAATTAACTGGATTTTATTTTTCTTTGAAATAAACGTAGTCAAAAAAAGCTGCTGAAGCAAAAGCCATTGCTTGCATTTCTTCACGAGATGTTGCAACTGTTCCTTGTGCTACTTGGTAGGGTGGGCGTTTTGCATCGGCCATTCTTCTTTGTGTTGCTGCTGCTCATTATGTTGATGCATTGGGATGATGTGAGTGCGTATGATTTGAGATGTGATTTCACCGATGGCGGCAATGGCAATTGATCGATTGCATAGACAGACGTTCGGCGAACAATCGCGCGACAGCACAACTCTTGCAGTGAAAGTACTGAAAGACCGAAAGAAACATTCACAATTTTTTTTTTTTAATTTTCTGTCCATTATTTGGAGTTGATTGATTTCGCCAAACTTACCTTTGTTTGATCGCCAAATGCGCTCCATTCCATTTCGATGTAATGCCATTCGGGCCAATTCACAAAATGATTCTCTAATATTGAAGTCACATAACGGTGATATCTCAAAGCATGCCATTTTATTTCGTGATGCATAGAGTTCGGCCTGTTTGGCCGCCACTTGTCGCTTGAAGGCTAAATGCAATCGATTTCCAACCAACACTTTTGGAACTCCCGGCGCGTGCTACATTCATGAATAGAGAAACCAAAATAGATTCAAACTCTGCAACCACTCGAACCGAATGAAGTGAGAGAGATTTAAATTCACTTAACATACCTCTTCAACTTCTTTAAGCCATCGATCAATGCCATCGAAACTCCATTTGTTGCAAATGTCATAGACCAGTATAACACCTTGTGCACCGCGCGAATATGATCGAATTATTGTACAAAATCTTCCTTGACCTAATGAAAATTTAAGAAGAACATTCCATGTTGAAGTTCAAGAACAGTCAAAGTCAAGTAAACGTCCATACCTGATGTATCCCAGATGCACAGTCGCACTCTTTTACCATCCAGCAGGATTGTTGTGATTTTGTATGCTAGAATAGGAAATGAAAGAGAATAATATAACCTATTCAAAAGTCCAGACAAACAAAACCATTTTTGGAACCACGCCAAATGCTTTCAAGTGCCAAAATTGCTCGAGCACTTTCAAAAGAAACGCGTTGGCTCTCTTGAGTTGACAATAGTAAGATAATCTCACATTTGAAAAGCATTGAAAACAGACATGTAACGTATAAAAAAACATGCAAAAAGAGACTTACAATTTCCACTGCGACTACAGAATGGGCTCTCCGATGAAGCGTCTTCCAATCCGGCCATAATTTCGTGTTTGCCAACATCGCTGTCGCCCACTAACAGCACTTTCAACAAATAATCATAATCCTTCGGCATGTTTGCAGGTGTCTTTACGTTTCATCCGAATGTTAATAAAAGTGTTTAAGTCTCTCGACCGCTTCTTCTGGAAGTAAACAACGAACGAACAGAAAAAAACGTTGCACGTTAATTCGTAGAACTCCAAAGTGGATTATGTAGTAAAAAATAATAAGCTTTTGTGTGCAAAAAAAATTGTGTTTTGGGGCACTTGATCAAAGGTTACATCATCTGTTTAAAGTGGATTAATCAAAATCTCAGCATAATATCTAACGGCAACATCAATTCTCTAATTCAGCACAATTTTCAAACCGCCACTCAAGTGAGTGTGCTTCACGCTGCGTTTCCGTCTAAGCGACCACATGCCAATCATTTTTCCCCGAGTTTTCAAATGCGATAACGTGTTTCGAACACAACTTTTGAAGAAGTGTTTTTTTTTCCACTGTGAGAAACACAACGCACGTCGAAAGTATTTTGGATAATTGAAAATGATTACGAGAATGATGAAATCAAAAATTAAAAAAAACACAAAAGGACAAACCGTAACACCCAATTATTTAGCGCTGAAAAATTTCGTGCTCTGATTTGAATGCGCTAGAAGCGAGTGTTATTGTTGTTATATTATTTTTATTTCCACCCAGTTCATTCCGCTTGATTATATTTGATCGATTTCTCTCTTTTGACTTTGTTGTTTTTATTTTCGCTCGATGCGGCTCGCGTTTTTCCTTCTTCTCTCACTTCTTTTCGCTTCATGCAAAATCATTACACTTTGTTTATATGGTTTTACTTTCAATTGCGAGGCCAAATCAGTTGATTCGACAGAAAATACAAAAAAAAAACGAAAGAAAACACGAAGAAGTGAAAAAAATGCAATTAAAATCGATGAGATCGATTGAGGTTGAGGCAAACGATTGCAACAATACAACAATAGTTGACTGCGCAACTAGTCAGGAATTTCATCGGTTAAAAGACTCATAGACAATTTAGTTGTCTTCGTCAATTTTTTCTCTCTTCCTCGTCGTTATTGTTGCTGTTGCTGGCTATTTGAGACCATTTGATATGTGGTTAATTTGCATCAAACAGTGAAAGAAGTGAAAAAAGAAACGAAACTTTAATTACGTTGGCAAAAAAGTGCTTTTTTCGATCGAACAACGGCATTTTGTGCAATGACACTCGACACGAGTGAAAATCCGAAAATGTTGTGGATTTGGTCCAAAAAACCAACAACAAAAAAACTCGAAATAAATAGAGAATGTCACAGATATGCCCATAATTTTCTGCACACGAGAGTTCGCGCGCGAAATAGTCTAGTGGTCGCGCGACTTTTGTGGCGCGTCGTCGTTCACGTTTCTCTTCTTCTTTTTTTCATTCTCTTTTTCTCAAGTGTCCATTATGATTTCAACATTGTTTCGTCTCGTTCGCGTCATGAAAAATATGGCCAAGAAAAATAGAAGCAATTAAAATGCCAATGGTCATAACTACTGGCAGCGCGGTAAAAAATTTTTCGGAACAAGTCGAAGAGACGAAACGAGAGACACACGCGAATGGTTCACGGTGATGGTGCGCGATCGCAAGAAGAAAGTTCGCGCCGCGCAGGGAAATCACGGTGAACAAACTGGCTTTGAATAAATATTACGTTAATGATTGTTATGCCAACCCGATATAATTAAGGTGTTTTTCATCAAGAAAAACTGACGGCATAAGCAGCGACAGCTGTGTATCGGACGCTCGCGAGCGCGATCAACAGCGAAAAAAATGCACATACACACGCCGATGAGCAGTACACAATGGTGCTTAAGCGCCGATCACTGATCGGTTATCTAATCGAAACATTAAAATGAATTGCTTAAGGCTTAAGCGATAATTTAAAATGACCATAGCCATATGGGGAGACAATGGAATATTTCATGACCCAAGCATATAGCGAGTGATTCGCGTGACGCGACAAAACGACGTCGATACAAAAAAAAAGAAGAAGAATTTGCTGTGATTTGGAGTCAAACTCTCTGCATTTGGATACAAATCAATTAAAGTGTCCACTAAAAGCCCATTTGCATTAAGTTTAAGCTCGACGAAGAGAAAAAAAAACCGATCGAATGTTACGATGGCACAATCACCGGAAGTTTGGCCATTGTCAATTTATGGAAATTGTTTGCTGCAAATATTTATATGACAAAACAAACATTTAACTTATGGACAAACGGATGAAAGATGATAGAGTGCGAAATGCCATTAATGATGTGATGAAAATTGAAAACGACAATAAAGCGAATAAAGAAGAAGAAAAAAACGAAGAGGAATTGTGCGTGAAATAATGGGATTTGTTGAATTTTTTTCCGCAAAATCATTGTGGAATGTCTGTGGTTATTGTACTCTTCCACACATAAATTAAGATTGAAATCAGATAATTTTGAATTAATATCAAAACTGTACTATTGGCTTGGGGCAGTCATCATTTTTGCTCGCGCACGGTGACCAAGACGATGGTAACAAAACTAAACAATACTTTCGACTGCAAATCAAAAAATTGCTTTTCGACATAATTTCTGTTCGACCCATTAAATTCGGTTCCAAATTGGAAAATGGTCATGAAAACAATCACGCTTTTCGCCCTCCATTGATTTTTTTAATTCGATTTCTTCTTGTTTCTGCGCTGAGTTAATCGCGTAATGACTGTGCGGAAAAGCATTTACTCTGATTTGATTGTAATGAGTGCGGCAGAGTGAGATTCGATCGAATCGCGCGTTCACTCAGATAGAAACATTTATCCCACGGTATAATAATCATAAATTATTTGTCCAGTGATTAGGTAATGGTTAAACTCATTAAAAGGCAAAAATGCTATTTGGTTGACTGCATTGTTTTCACATCACCATCATCGTTCGTTTCGTTACAGAAAAATGTTTCATTTGACGGGCTTCTTCATTTACAACTCAAAGCCAATGGTTGAAATCAATTTCGTTTGATAAAGTGCGAAGTGGAAGAGTTGGTTTGAAAAGGAAATGGTAACCAAACACCCGAAACACAAACACACACAAAAAGATATGTGCTCTTTATAAATTCTGTGTTGAAACACATTTTTATTGGTGTTGTTGATTTTATTTTTCATTTTTTTTCTCTTACTTCGTTTCGGTCTTTCCATTCGCCGTCGTTTGATGCAGATCATTACTCTTTGTCAATGTATTCTCTGGTTTTGCCATATTGATATTTCGATAGAAAACAAAGAAACAACCGAGCGATTTGGAAAAAATATTCATGAGTGTATAGAAAAAAGCAGCAGCAGCCGCAAAATCGAAATCTCAAAATGAATGACCAAACGATGGAATTTCATATGTTAACCAGATGCTAATTTAAATACGAGCTGTGCTGAACGAAAAAAAAGCATCTGTTTTGGTTTTTGTGTCGATACAAACACACATACACCGAAAAAAAAACAATATTTCTTGCCACATACACGACGCATATTCGTATTCAATCAGCGGCAATTATGAGTTTTCTGTATGGAAATTGTATTTGAGGCTTGCAAAGCTCGCTGGTTTTATGCTAAAAGAAGACGGTAAAAAAAGACACACACAACAACGCAAAACAGTTTATCGTGCAGCTTGAAATCGGTCAAAGCGAACAGCATACCATTTGCCAAGCAAGAACAAAATTATGCATGAAACAGCATGTTCATTCGCGTGCGTTTGCATTTATAATTACCGTAGTCTTTATAATTACATTTGATGGGTGCACAGATGAACAAAAAAAATGTATCTATAATTCCTCTCGGTCACCTGATCGTTTGTGGGAAATGAAATTTCAACGAAATATTATGAGTGTGTGCGGATACGAAAATTTAGATGCGTCACAATCGATGAATGTTCGAATTTGATATACGGCGAAAGCAACAATACGAAAACAAACGACGATCATCAACTGAACCCAACCAGTGAATTACCTTGTGAAGGCCATGCGCGCACGTTTTTGAATTCTCATTCAAATATATGCGAGATGTGAGAGCGGCTTGGATGCATGTGCGCCGCGTGCGCTCAAACGATGAGAGGGAGAGAGAGAAACTCGAACAGTTCGCGTATCCAATTTGAAAACGTCGACGACGAATAAAAAACAACAACAACAGCAAAGAACATGAATACCACAAACTGCTCCGCTTGTTTTCTCGTTTCCATACGGTTTTTATGATTACATTCATGCATTGACCATTTGCCACATTGAATTAAAGAAGAAGAAAAAAAAAATGGAAGAAAGATGTGCAAAGAGCAAGAAGAACGCGATTCGATACACATCTGCCTCTCGAATCGGATCTTGTTCCCCCCCCCCCCAAACGTGTTCTCGTTGCCGCCCGTCAACGTATGTGTGTGCGTGTGTGCGTCCTCGCATATGTGTGTAAGTTGTCGTCTTTTGCACAGTTCTTCAAAAATATTCCAACGCTTTTTTAATGATTGTAATCAAAAAGAGAAATAACAAAGCAACATGACTATGTGATGATGATGGCGATGATTATGCTCTCTGGCTGCTTGTGCCAAGTCAGTATTACTACACATTCACAGCATGCAGCATCACTTTCGAGCGGCATCGAGCGATAGAAAGAATGAAAGCCATATCCCAATGGTATGAGTTGTGTAAGAAACCATTCGACAATTCCGACTAATACATCCGACATACATACACGTCTGAGACTCAAAGATGAATACACTATGAAATTTCCGCTAAAGACACAAAAGTATTCGAAAAACAAAAGCTCAGCAGCAACAACAACAGCAACGGCAATAATAAATAGCAATCAAAATAAAAATTGTGTACAGAAATAATAAATTGCTGCATTTCACATGTGCGAATGCACAATGCACATCCATCGCTTGTAATATGGCGTTGAGTGGCCACAACGCACACGTCTGCCTCCCCATCTCTCGCTCAATCTCACTTGATTCTCTCGGCGATGGGCCAGAATGGAATTGCAAATGTAAATATTTTCATGGCGCGTTCGCTCTCTTTGCTTCTTCTTTGCTGAATTCAGTATTTGCACCGAGCAAATGGCAAAAGACGAGAGAAAAAAAAACACAACAAAGAAAAGAAAAATGACGTCAGGCTTAGCTCAAGAGTGCAGTGTGCAATTGTACAGAATGCACGGATGGGTTTGTTGTGTATATATGGTGTTGTTTTTTGTTATTCGCTCTTTGCTATATTCTATCCGTTCTGTGGCTTTCATGTCAGAACATGTCGACTGACTTTTAGTGCATTCACCTGGTTTCTTCTCACGCCTCGCATTTATCGCAAAACGACGGATTTTTGCATTTTCGTAAACATATATACACACACACAAAGTGTTACTTTACTTTTCTTCTATGCGCCTGCTTTGTTGTTGTTGTTCTGTGTTCGTTCTCTACTTTAAATCCGAACGATAGACAGGCGGCAGATTGCACGGCGTAATAAACAACCTTTTGATTCACTTTGTGTAATTAAAATCTCGCGCTTTTAATTTGAGTCCATTTTTCAGAAATGAAAATAATTCTCGTATAATTTTTCATTTTGTCGTTATTATTATTTGCCGAAGACAATTGCGAAGGAGCCGACAGAGTGGCGAGAAGTATAAACTTTTCAGCTGTATGATAGCAGCAGCAGCAGCAGCAGTGGATGAAATGAATGTGGTGCACAGTAGAATTGTAACCGCTTTACTTTAGAAGAAACGAAGACAAATTGCAAAAACGAGGATTTAAATGCGCGTCTTGTTTATGTAATAATTATTTCTTTGACATGAGAAATTCAGCAGAAGAGGGACAAAGACCAAATCTGATGCGAATTGACACAATTAAGACAGCGCTACTATCTCGAAATGTAATTAAAGCCGCGCGAGTGTGAAGACAAAAAGTGGTTTTTGCCATATTTGTCGTAAGCGCGTACTCAAAACACTCAAAAAAGAGCGATTGCAGAGCAGAGCACAGCTCGGAGCGGCGGAGTTCGATGCGCCGTTACACAACTAGAATAGATATACGTTTCAATTAAAACGAGGTGGATTTGCTTTCGAAATCCACTTGGAAATGAGATTCGTTGTGGGCTGACGGCAATTATTTTCAATGCATTTTCAAATGGCTTGGCTACGCAAAAAAAGGCACACAACAGAACAGGCAGAAGAAGAAGAAGCTAGAAAAAACACACACACACATCACACAATCAAATGGAGCGCAAGTGCGAGCGCGATTCACACGCTTTTTTTCGCCTAAACCGTTTCAATGCACTTAACGGCACTAATGATGCCAGCTACTTATTCCAATCAAAGCTCATTTTCTAAGACGCAACATGGACGTGCGCGCTCGCGACGCGATATGCAATTTCAATCTATCTATACGTAACATCTTTTAACATGGTTCTGGTCTCAAATGATTGCCTAGATAATGTACTCCGAAAAAAGCAAATAACAAAAAACCTAGATAAAATGATGGCAACAATTACCTTTTGTGTAACTCGAAGTCTTAAAACGGGCTACAACAAATTGTTCTCCTCTGCTTTGCAAAAGTGGATTTGATGCAAAAGAGAAAAAAACGCAACAACAGTTCGCACAGCCCAGTAAAGTAAACAGAAATCTGCGTGCGGACGTATCTTAATGGTGGTCGACGATTAAAAAAAAACTTCACAATATAAATTCTTGGTCGGTTAGCTGTTGCTTGCTATTTCTGTTCTCTCACCGTAATGTTTACCCACTCTGCTTGTATGAATTTTTTTTTCTATATCACACATCAATTATGAGGGAAATACTTTAGCTCGTTTATTTGTGTTTTTATTTCTGTTTGTTTTTCGGCTTTTCTGTGGTCGGCGTGTGATATTTGGTGCCAATATTTTTAGAAATGGACACAAAACAAATCGCATGCGAAGTGTTTGATTTGCAATGCGTAGGAATTCTTGTAAATTATCTGACGGCCTAATTTTTTTTTACTTAAATTTTTTTTTCCTCTCGTATGATTGGGCCAGTTAGATTGGCCTTTGTGATTCACGAAACCAACGTTTTTTTTTCTTCCTTCACTTGGCTATGCACGATTTATGAATTATGCCTGATTATGATTTATATGTATATGCTGTTGCTGCTGACACATTAAACCGAAACTGATTCCAAATAACTTGAACGAAAATATAAAAAAAAAAATGACGAATGGCTGAAGTCAATTTGAAAGCATAAAACTGACTCTGAAAAACTGTTGTAGCTTGTGTACAAACAGCTGTGCATCGAATGCGACGATCGCAACGACAACGAGCGAATAATTACTCGGAAAATTATTTTTCCGGTGAAATGGTATGCTTTCTGCGGAGTTTTTTCTTGTTCGCACTTCCGCGCGAAACAGTACGACACACACGCGTGTCGTGTTACAAACGAATATATATATATATTGTCTCCTTTTGTGTCTTCGGATTACAACTATCGCTTTCACTGGTACAGTTTTAATTGTATGGTTTTGAGCGCTTTATTTTCTATTCGATCACGTCTTGCTTTTTCTTTCGATTTTTGTTGTTATCAAAATGCGTCGTTTACACAGCGATTTTAGCGAGTGTCGTTTTTGTTTTCTAAATTGTTGTATTGTTATGATGGAACAATTATTGTTTCGGAATCGAGCGCACACACACACTGTTCAGCTCGACGGAACTTAAATGGTTTTGCTGGTTTAGTTTTTTTTCTTTTCTTGTTTTTTTTTGGAACTCTCTTTCAATTCAACGATTGACAACAGCGTACGATATCGCGCTGCTTCATTCACTGTTTCGAATCACAATATCCATTTGTTTTGAATAAAAAATATATCTATTTAAAGATCTCTCCGTCTTCGTCTCAATTCCCCGATTTCGTATCGTCAAAATGCACTGAAATGATTCGCTTTACAACACACTCTCTCATACACAGCGAAAGAGAAAGACACATTGAATACTATGATATTTTTGCACATTAACAATTCAACGGCCGAGTCGAAAACAAGCATTTCATTCTCAATAGAATATTAAATATGCAAATGTTTGCTACTTTTTGCTGCTCACAGCGATTCGGCATCATAGTCATCAAAAATAGCTCACGTCAATAGTCAACACGCCATATAAAAACAACTCTCGAAACAGCAAAAAAAAATGCACGGCAACAACAGTAACACACTCAGTTACTCACTCAGCAGTCACTTCAATCAATGAAAACAGATAAATAGTCGTTTTGCATTTTCAATCACCTTTGAACTTATCGACGAATTACCATCAATTTAGCACCCAACTCTCGGCCAAACGCTTACGAGCCAGAACCTATATTTATTTTGAATGTTGTTTTGATCTATTTTATGGTTGTTGTGTCGATTTTCAATTTCGGTCGACGTTTCAACACAGATTGTTTTTCTTTCCTGCTGCTCTATTGGTTCAATTCACTATTCTATTTGGTCTTTATTTCGCAAGCGAATGTTTTTTTTGTAGCAAAATGTCGATTCACGATTTCACATGTGTCCGAAAATGCAAACAATGAATGGAGTTTGCAATGGGCTTGAGGTTTTGCAGCAAAATTAAAATTGCAATACCTTATGCGTTTTTCTTCTGCAACTGCGATTTATCTCGAGTGGTGTGAGCTCACGTCGTCGACGTCGTCGTAGTCGAATATAGTAAACGCAAAAAATATGGAAACCGCACTGTTGTTCACCATCAACTCACGATTGAATAATGCGAATAAATGAATATCTACAACAACTTTTCTACCACACAATATGTTCGTCTCTTCGAGTGTATGTTTTTCTTCTCTTGTCTTCGTCTTTCGGTTGCTTTTGTGTTGTGGATCTGTACGACGTTGTGGTTGCACTTTATTATGATTTTCGCTTGATGGGAGACATTTAGATATTCACTCACACGCTCAAACTGCAACACATATCAATATACACAAAAAAAAACAAGACATACACAACCCACTGCCCATTGAACCGATGTGAAGTTGGTTGACACATTTGAAACGCAGTGGAAATGGCGTAGTTTGTTAGGCTACTCGTCGAATTTTGACATTCCACACGCACACAGACTCACAAAATGCTTTGAATTGTTTAGCTTTGGTCGTGCAACGACAACGATGTATAGAAATTTGGCGGTAAACATTAAGATACATTGATGCTTAAGTGTGAAGCAGCATGCAGATGTGTATAGAACCGTCACAAGAAACATTCGCTTACTGTTTCTGTTGTGAATTTGTGAATGTCAATTTTTGCTGTGGATTTGAGTTCGATTGCATTCGGAAATTTCACCGGAATTTCTGCGAAATAAAATGTGCATTTCCATTGGTTTGACATAAACTATTTCGTGAGCAAATATTGCATGAGCATTTATTCAAACGCAGAAGAAAAATATCGGGTGATTTTGTGATTGAAACGCCCAGAGTGCCATTCTGTCACAAGCGAAAAAAAAGTTACATACAAAACACACAAAAATGGATTCAATGACTTCAATGAGTGGCTCAGAAATTGCCAGGCTAGTACTTGGTGAGTGGAATCGATTGCTTTGATTCGATTTATGCATTTTGTTTTGATTTCATCAGTTTATGAGTTTATATGGAGCATTCATATGAAAGAACACCCCCGATGGAGTGACAGCTCTGCAAAACAACGCAATTGATAACGTTCCGTTTTTTTTTTTTGGTTTTCAGGGTACTTACAAAGTCAGCGAACAGATGAAAAAGCATGGAACAAACTTGCACTGGATTTCTGCAAATTGAACAAGACATATTTGCGGGAAGAATACAACTTGTTAAGCCGTGGCATCAAATTGAAATATGTCAGTAAACCCCGCACATTAGTCGACATCTTCCGGGAATTCATTGAAATCGAAGAGATTGGTATGTATGACGAAATGATGATTAAATGGTTTTTTTTTGGAGAATCAAAAATGGGAATGTTCATTTTTGAATGGTAAAAGTTGATGAGTGCAGTAAAAGTATGATTTCAAATGAAATTTGAAAGTCGATAAAGTGAATGTACGAAACTTGTGCTCATTTTGCATATGCATCGAGATTCCAAATGGAATCTGTCAGATTATTGGCGCCACACAGCAATGTAAAGCCGATTTGGGCGCAATATCGATGTCGATGTGCATTATAAGCATTTTCCACTATCGCCATTTTTTTGAATGGGTTGATTCTCAGAATTATTTGTTTGTACATCACATTGTTTACATTTTTCTAATAATTCCTCGGATGAGATTCGCACACTAAGCTCAGTGCACGTCGAAATAGCACACGAGGCACGTCGGAGTGTACGAATTGCATACAGAAATGAAACTATTTATTGATTTTTCGTTCAAATCTCCAAAAAAATCGGATTACATGCTATAACATGTTCAATATGGTTGACTTGAGTAGAAATCAATTATGCAACATTCGCACTGAACGAAAGTGTGACCGATAATCGTCTTTAGATGGAAATGACAATCTATTGTTGATTCAACGAAATTAAAAGACTTTATACCGATCAAATCTGGTAAAATTTCGAACGATTTTACTATTACACAATTCAAAAAGAAAACTCAATGTTTTACATTTTTTTTTCTCTAAAACCCAATATTGTTCCTCTCTCTTTCTTTCTCTCACAGTGAATGGATTCTTCGAAACTGAACTGAAACGCCATGACGAAATCCCCAGCGAATTGTTAGGAGTGCATTCGTTGAAGGACAAAGTGCAGTATGCATGCCGAATGTTCAACTCAGCGGGAGACAGCAGCGAGTCAAGTCAAAGTCATTTAACGAGAAAGCGCCCCAATGTGTGCATTTACCAAAGTGAATATGATTCCGATTCGAGTGCGAATGTATCGCCAGATGCGACAAATGTTGAGGATTTGCCTGGATACACACACCCCCCGTCGAAGCGACGCAAAATCTTCGATCCAAGCCTGATCATATCGAATCGAAAAGAGAATATTCGTCTTGATGACAATAAATCGGATTGGCCAAAGGCGACTCCACTGAAATCGAGTGTAACCCAGGTTCCAATGTCGAGTAAGCATTTACAAGCGTCAGCGTCAAAAGTGGTCATCCCAGGAAAAGAAATATCTGATTCGTTTTTAGCAAATGAGTACCAGACCATCATTGCACAGAGAATCAATAGCGTCTTCGACAATAGCAATGTATCGCTTGTGGAACAGGTCAATGATAAAATGGGCGGCATTGTTAATTCAATTCAGCCGACCTTTGATGATATCATCAACAATCTCGGCCTAGATATATATGATGTGCAATCACTGGATTCGTCGTCAAGTATATCAAAACACGAATTTGATGTCAACGAATCGGCAAGTGAAAGTCGACAACTCGACACCCCAGTTCCTAATGATGCTAATCGAAGCGGAAGATATGAATTACGGTCGCAAAATAAACGAATACCCGCATTGAACGCATCCATCGAAACGAAACGAAAGAAAAACGGCAAGGCAGAAATCATTTCCGATGAAAAAGTTAATATTTTGCCTGAGATTACAGTGCAACCGGGTTCGTCACCGATTCTGGTTGATTCAGACTCAGAAGGAGCCGTAACAACCACATCGCAACAACAGTCTCAATTGCCATTTCCTCAAGGTTGGTTCTTGTTCCAAGATGCACAAGGTCAGTATTATGTATCAGATGTGGCGCCAACGACGACTTTGTCATATGACACACAACAATCACAGCAGTCGACAGCATCCGTCAATATGATCGATCCGTCACAGATCATCAACCCATCGAATCAACTGAATATGAAAATTGTCAGTCTGGAAAATTCCAGCAATCCAAATGCATCGAATCAATGTGCGATTCAAACGGACCTGAATCAAGCTGCGAGTAGCGATGAAGTTCGAGATCGTATCATCGAGATCAACACTGATGATGTGAACAAAGAAGGTACCCAACCAGTGCAAATCACACAACAGCCCTCCGAGGAGATGAAAGAAGTGGTGAAAAAGCAAAGCAACATTTTTGAACAATTGAAAGAGAAAAGTTTTTCTCAGTTCAAGCAAATCAGCGAACAAAAAGTCGTGACACCAAAGCAACTGATTCGACCGAATATTCCAGGCAGTTCAAGAAGTTTATCGACACCACGGAACAAAAATCCACATGTACGAGTACTGGATTTCAATACACCAACTCGCTTCCGACTGTCGGAGATTTTGGAAGGTAAAAATGAATCGTTTATCAACACGTCGCGATTCTACAGCGAAACACCGCAAAATCGTTCGATCACATCGTCAATGCCGAGCTCAGCACCACCAAAGGTGAACTCAGTCATCCAAAGCGAAAAGAAATCCGATGAAAAATTAGCAGAATCATCAACGGCAGAGCCATTCGTTCCTACGAATGAAGATACAGTCGTTTCGGCCGAGGGCGAAACGCCAAAGTTGCGCAAAGTTAATCGGAGAAGTGTCGTTCGAACCATTTCAGAGCGCAAGGAAATAAATCCGGAAGAGAATGAGAAGCGTTTGAAACGAGTGGCCAAAACAAAGAAGAAAATTTGCCCCGAAGAAGGCGACAGCAACGAAAGTGACACGAACAACAAAAAAGAAGTAGCTAAAGAACCCGTTTCCAAGGAGGATGCATTGGCTGAATGGCAGCGCATTCGATCGGCTCGAAATAATCCAGAGTTATTTGAGCAAAACTTGCGCGAACAAAATAGCAAAAGACAAGAGATCGACATATCGACGGGTAAAAAGAAGCGACAACGGCGAACCAAGAAAAAACCCGTGGCCAAAGCAAAGCAAGCAGCCAAAGCGATACTTGATGAATCGGCGAAATCGGTTGACATTTCGATGAATTCGTCACTCGATCCAGACTTGTTGAATTCGACGGAAACGAATATGGAAGCGCAAATGTTGGAAGACATGTTGAAAAGTGCCAAAAAAGTGACACCGATGAAACAAGAAATCATTCCAAAATCCACAAAGAAAAAGACACCAATCGGAAAGTTGCAAATCAAATTGATGCCTTCGCCAAAGAACAAAGCCTTAAAACGACTGAAATCAAAGAAGAATCTTACCTCAACACAAACTTCAGAGGATGTGAAGAAAGATGAACCGGTTGCTAGTTGCAGCACAACCGAAAATCCAACTGAAACGGAGGCCGAGCCCAAGCCTGAAAATAAAATCCAGAAACCGACTGAGTCGGAACCCGTCAAACCAATCGAAAATACAACCGATGTCGTGGAAGTGGCACAAAATTTGATCAGCATGCGTGATGTGATTCTACAACAGGAAAGTCAACGGAAACAAGCACAACAGTCCGAAATTCAAAGTGATTCGGTGTCAATGTCACAGCCAACATTTGAAGTGGCTTTGTTCAAGACAAATAGCGAACCAATGCCCGTTAAATTCGATTCGGATCTACTGAAATATGTGAGCCAAGGGAATTTAAGTTTGTCAAATCTACTTGAGACACCGTATAAGGATGGTATGCAAATCTTCCCAAAAACGCCAGGAATCACCAGTTTACTGTCGACGTTGAATACACCGTAAGTAGTTTTTTCGGTTTGAGTTTTGACATTTTGTCCATTTTTTCGGTAACGTTTGATTTTTCAACCCAATTGTCCTTTACCGATATTTGATATCTGAAATTGAATTCAAATTTTTTGTCAATTCACAGAATGCTTCGGCCAGTGGAGTTTTTTATGGGCAGTTCAGTAATCAAAGATTCAAAGTTCCTCACTCCAAACATGCCAATCACTCCCGGTTCCGGTTTCACACCCGTTTCATTCAAGGATATCATTTCGCCGAGAAGCGATCAGGAACTCATTTATGGAGCAGCGAATCGGCCAACTGACTATTCGTCAAGCAGTTCATACTATAAACCTGATGAATCCGATGGCATTGACAAACATATCCAGGCATCCCTTCAAACGACACGAACAAATAGTGGTGTGTACAGTACCGATGAAATTGATGATTCCAAAGTCGATGATACCACTCAAAATACGATGAACAGTTCATCGTCATCAAGTTCGTCGTCTGACAGTGATTCAGATTCGGACAGTGATTCATCGTCTTCCTCTGATTCGGAAACGTCACAAATTTCGCTGAAATCAATGGAAAAAGAGCCGCAACCAGTTGAACGTGTAGAATTGTCGCAACCAGTTGAACGTGTGGAACCATCGCCGCCAAAAGTTGTTGATGAAGACTCAACACAAATACACACACAAATAATCAAATCACACTTGGTCTCAAGCAGCGAAGTGAACATTGCCCGAAATATCTTGTTAACAAAACCAGAAGAGCCGATATTGAATGAAGAAGCCGAACGATTGGCTTTGCTCGAAGAGAAAAAGCGTCGAATGCAGGAGACGTTACGCGGAATTGAAATGAAAAATCATGAAAAATTCAAACCACCAAAAAAGGTTCGTACAATAGCCGAGGTGACACGAGATCGAATACAAAGTCGACTACGGAAACCTCTAGTCACTGTATCGCCATCGAAACGAAAATCCACACAGCCAAAGAAAATCGTGCCGGTTCATTCGCGCCAGATTTACTCGCACAGTGCGAATGTGATCAGTACTCCGATGGAAATAGGGACGGAGGTTGAGTTGAAGGTGCAAAGTGTGAATACCGAACGGTTGATACCCGAAGCGGCCAGCGATAATGCAATCGCCGATGCATCTGATGTGAGTACGACGCGAAATCCACAATCCAGCCCGAAAGATGAAGAGGAAAGCGTCGAAGCCATCAAAAGTCATATAAACAAAAGTCCTGAATTGGTTGATACTGCGGGGGCGGCACCGATTAAGGAAGCTGGTGGCTCAAAGAAAACCTCGGCCGAAGACTTGATCGCTACGTTATCGGAAAAGCAAAAGAAGTTCGATGCCAATCGGCCGAAAATGAAGACTGAAGTAATTGCAGCGTTGCCATTACCAAGAACGACTCGATCTCGATCGAAAAATCTGACGTCAATTCGGCCAGCACAAAATATTATAACAGCCGCTCCACCGAGTTCGGCCAAGGGTGGCCAGAAAGCAACAGCAAACGCCAAAGAAAAGAGAAAGTCGAAAGAGAGTGTTCCAGGGCAACCGGTAAAAAAGGTTACAAATGAAACAGCAAAGAAGGAACTAACAAAGGAAGAGGCGTCGAGTAAAATGAAAGAAACATTTGAAACGCCAGCCAAAGAGAAGCAAAAACGTCTAGCATTTGATATATTCGGCCATTGCTCTGATATTGAAACGCCAATCAAATCGCCACCGAAAATCGTAGCCAAACCGAAAGAAAATCCCGTCGCTCGTAAGCGAAGTTCAACACCGCCCAAAGAGCCGGAACGTGAAAGCAATAAATTCGAGGCCGATAGCAGCAATGTGAAAGATGAAGATGAGGCAGATGACGACGATGACGACGATGACGACGATGACGACGATGACGACGATGATTCAAGTGAGGAAGAAGACTTTGAAATGTGCATGTCGATTGATGAAACCGACAAGAAGAGATTCTTTTCGATTCGAGAGACTGCATCGTTCAAGCCACGAGCCCCGGTACAAGGTGTCACTTTTGGAACACAGAATATTGTAGTCGATTGTTTGACTATCCATTTGGCACCCAGCGAAGAAATTGAATTGTACACGCAAGACGTCGACAGTGTGGCGGAGATGAATAAAGAGCGTCAACAACGCCGTAGCACAATGGAGGTCAAAGAGGGAGCAAACAATGTGCCAACGTCAAGCTCTGAGGCCATATATGGTAAACCACTTCACACATCGACTCCATCGCCACCAAAAACTGTTACGCCGAAATTCAACATCAAACACAAACCTTCTGATACTGTGTAAGTGTCCTGGCATATTTTCAACTTCGAGCTATGACTTTTCATTTTCAAATCTTCTAAACCAACTTTTGTTTGTCATTTTGTAGGTCTCCAAAATCAGCCAAGCGCCAGAATAAAGATGATTTGTTCAATGGTATTCAGATGTCAATCGATGATGTGCTGTCATCACTGCACCCCAATAACACTTGATTAAAGACCGAATCTGATATGTTAGGATACGAGACAAAGGAAATTAGGGTCCATTGATATATTGAAAATCACTTTCAATCTATTTTTTTTCTTCATCTTTTTAATCAAAAGTTATAATTTCTTCTTACTTTTCACGTAATCCTATTCCTAAGTAATAAGCATAACATTCGATGAAATATTTATTATCCATTTAATTAAGTCAATTAAATCACAGACTCTGAATAAGTAAACGTACTCGAATGGAGTAAAAACTGAAGTTTATTTTAAGAATAAATAAATCCAGTTGATTGAGTTTGATTTGATTGTGTTTTTTTATTTGGAACTTTGGACATGGATGTGGCATTGTTATTATTTCAAATGTTGCAGAATGTGCGCTTTTAGGTCAGGTATCGTTTTTGGCTTTGCATCACAGCGATGACATTTAAGCGGCGTTGACAAAAGATCCTTTGCTACGTCCGCGTTGAGCTTCGACACCTTCCCGTTTACTTCGATTTGTTTAACAAGATCTGGAAAGTGGGTTCATATTCATGAATTAAAGTATAAATATCATAAAAACCAAGGCTCATGTCCCAAAATTGAATTCAATTTACCTTCATGAGGCACGAAAAATTCCGTGGTGAATGAATTCCAATGCTTCTTCGTTTTCAACGCCGGCGAATTGAAATCGGTTGATATTACATGCAAGTGAACTTGTTGCATACTCGGCTCCGCGTGATATCCAATCTTGAACTCATCCAGTTGTTTACCCTTGATCTCGATCACATTTTGCGCCAGCAAATACATCTCATTCAACAGATTCAAGTGGTCTTTTGACAGCTGTAATTGGAATAGAATTTTTAATCTGAATTCGACAAACCAAATTTTCATTTTCTTTGATCCAAAAGCAATGTTCCATTGTTGACTTCAATCACTTTGATTTTTTACTTTGAAATAGTCCAATGAGTCTAGTAATATAACTTGCCTGAAAAATGTTGGGAATATTTTCTTTGGGCAAAACCAGAAAATGAAATTCTGCTTTCGGGAACTTGTCAACCATCACAATGGCTTCTTTGTTTGAAATAATCCAATTGTTTGGATCTTTCATGGTATTCAGCAATCCCAGCGACCAGCTACCCATTTTGGTTATCATAAATACCTCTCTAAATCAATATCTCAAACAATTTTATTGTAATAAACCAAAATAATTTTATTTCAACACTTTTTATATGAATTTCATTATGCGAATCTGGCAAAAACAAAACAAGTTGAATCGAGCGGTTATAACTCAAAGCAATATGAGTGACGCGAACTGTCAAAAACATACGTAGCGACTGTGGCGCTGTTGTTGTTCGACTCATTTGTAATAGATTTTTTTCGAAAAAGCGATGATTGTCGTTAAATCAAAATTCAAAATTCAATGTTATTCAACATTGTTCAATGCGATACGATTATACTTTCAGAGTATGGTAATAAACATGCGAATGAAAATGATCTATTATAGAAAACACATAAAAAACTACTGTAATAGAAAATGCAAACAAAAATCAACTTGAATCATAGTTCTATCTGGTTGATATTTGATTTAGTTGAGGTTTCAACGCCATTTCAAATGAAGCATTAGATGCGATTTCAAATCTTGAATTTTTTCGGGTGCAGTGCGGCATCGATGGCATTTCAATGGTGTCTGACGAAGAGCGTTCACCAACAATGGATCCATTTTCAAAATCCTTCCTTGGAATATGATTCGACCCACTAATTCTGAGAAAAAGTTCACAAACAATTAAGATGGTTGCCATCAACTCAAGGGTTGACCCCTATTATTGGAAAATAAAAAATCACCATCGCATTGTGGTTTGATAACTTACCGTGATGTGGTATGAACAGTTTCGTGTTGAACGAATTCCAATGTCTGTCCGTTTTTAGAGTAGGTGAATGGAAGTCCGTTGAGATGACGTGCAGATGAAGTTGCAACAAACTCGGCTCAGCGTGGTAGCCAATCTTGAATTCATCCGTCTCACGACCATTGACTTTGATTATATTCAATGCCATCGAATACATTTCATTCAACAATCCCAAGTCATCTTTTCTCAACTGCAAGCAAGTGTTTTTTTTTTGCTCTTATAAGAATTTGAAACGATTTTTCCTTTGACTTAATGAACTCACCTCGAAAATGCTTGGAATATTTTCTTTGGGCAAAACCAAAAAATGATACATTGCTTTTGGGAATTTATCCGGAATGACAACGGCATTTTTGCTTTGCAAAATCCAGCCACGTGGGTTTGCAAGCTCCACCAGCAATCCATGCGACCAATGGAAATGTTGTCTCTGTGCCATGACAACCCGATTTTACTGTTTTATTTTTAAATTAACCACTTTAATTATTATTTTCGAACGTTTTATTTCACAAGTTTTTAGTTGGTTGCACGAGTAGCAACTTGCATCGAAAGTCGATTCAACACTGTCCCCACACTGTGAAACGTCAAAGATAAGTGTTTGACTTTTGAATGTGCAAGCAGCCGTAGTATAAACAACGATGCTGTGTGATGCTTGGCAAGACGTTGCATAAATGTCAATCAAAGCATGCTAAACTACTCAAATGTACCGTGATGCAGTGAAGAAACCAAATTCAACGTAATACATTACCATAGCAAAGACGTTTGATGCCCCATCTGAAAATGACAAAAAAGACAGCAAATGGAAAATGAAAATGCCCATGTTATCGTTTAGTTAATTCACATAGTTTTTTCTTTATTTTCTTAATAGCTACGTTTTGATCAGTAATAATATATAACGTTTTAGTTCTATTCATTTTATCCATTAATCGATTTGTTGTTGTTTTAAAGAACATAAGGTATTTGTGTTGGTTCAAAAGGATTTTTTTTGTTTGTTTGTTTTCGTCCGATAGATGTGTTTCATTGATTATTTCCTCAAAATTCGACACCATCGATCCAATTCGGTTGCCATCTAATCGATGTAAGTGCCAAAAAAGAACTGAATCATTTGGCCAAAGATGACAACAATATATCCAATTTTTACGTTTCATGTTTCTTATTTCTTTTGTTTTTTTTTGTTTTGTTCTGTTAAGGGCAAAATGTATATCACTTTCTTTTTGTTACATGCTAATGTTTGTTGTAAAAGCAATTTGTTTTCTTTTTTGAATTCTTCTTTGTTGTTTTATCTCTTCTCGAAACATTTTTTTTTCTGTTGTATTACATCACTTTTGCCATACAATTGAAAATTCTATTACAAACTAAGAAAAAAAAATTAGATAAAGCCTAAATGGTTGCACGCAGAAAAGTTTTTAATTCAAAAATATCCACGAAACTGTTGCAGTTTTATCAAATCGAATGAACTAGTTCATCTAAAAAGAGAAAAAATGGTAAAATAATGTTGGGGGGTATTAATTTTGTTAAGCTAAATCTACACAATCAAGATAAATCACATCACGATCTGTAATTTGATAGATTTTAGTTTCCAATTTGTAGACCGTCTCTCTTTCTCTCTGTTTTTGTGAGTAATTCATTGAACTCGGCGCAAAATCATCTAATCACTTGAAGAGTTAATCGATTTGTCAACGCTGGCGATGTGATATCTATAAGTAAATGCACCATGTTAAGTGATGATCATTGCCGAGCCCAATGCCTAACCGCAGAGACGGTTTTCGGTTGTTGCTGATGATGATCTCGAACAAATGAAAAACATATCACGATTTATCAAATGCATACTCGTTTTGTGTGTTTGTATCTGTTTTGTGGATTTTAATATAATTTTTATTCACTTTGTTTTTAGTTGTTATTTCATATTATCCATTCATATCGCTAAGATACAGTACATCGATATATAAAGATTTTTTTTTGTTGTTGAGTGTTTTTTGTTTGTTTGTAGATTTTTCGTGTTGTTTCCTTCTTCTCTTATTTAATTTATTTATTCATACGCGGCGAAATAAAGTGTGTTGCGCCGGGTGTATCATATATATATCAAATCATTTCATATGTTCGATTAGTTCCGATGCATGTGAATTTTTATCATTCGTCGCTTCTCGTTTTCTTTCCGAGCTTCGTAAATTTGTTTTTGTTTTATTCTTCACTTTTTGTTCCTAATGAGAGACGCGCTATTTGGTTTTCCTTAAATGAACTCCATTTTCTTCTTTATTTTTTTTTTAAATCATTAGATTTGTAGCTTATCATATGCATTTGTGTGTGTGAGAGTGTGAGTGTGTATGTTTATGTGAAAATAAAGAAAAAAAAATGTTTTGACGAACTTTGTCTTAGTAATAAAAAAAAATAGATGGATCAAATGATTGATTTTTGCTTGTTTTCCACTTTGTTTTTACTTCGTCTCTTTTTTTGCATCGCATGAAAAATGAACGATTTTCCGTTTGGACTTACAAATTATTCATTGTCTGCATCGGCGCAGAGAATAAGTTAAAGTACAGTGAGAAAAAGCAAACAAAAAAAGCATGATTTCCATTTTTCGTGAATAAAAATCAATGGAAAAAAGATTATAGAGAGAAAGGGGGTCGACTGTCGTTTTCACACACATTCAACTCGACACTTCGGATCGACAGAGCAAAGAAGACCCGAAGCAAAACCAAACAGAAATAAAAAATTATCTTCTCGAAATCAAAGTATAAAGAAGCGGCTTTTGACGGATGAGAGGATTTTCTTTCTCCATAAATTGCTATCCATATTCAATATAATTACCGACGCAAACTTAAAAAAAAGATCAATCACTTACACACAAAAAAAGAAGTAAACAAAGAATGAATAAGTATAAGATAAGAGAGTAGTCCTTCGCCTAACGAGTAAAAAATAATTCATTTCTTTCAATTAAATTTGTTATTTTTTTTATCGTCCACTAAACATGACGATTGATTCGCCTACTGAGTTTTCTATCTCCACTATTTTTCTTCGTCGTTCCCCTACTCATTTTGAAATGTGTGTGTTTTTGTGTGTGTGTGTGTGTGTGTCTAAAATTGGTTGTTGTTGTAGGTTTTTGCTTCATTAAATGTAAATTTTTCCTTAAATTTTAGATTTTATTATTTTTTTCCAAAGTGTGTTTTTTCATATACAAAGATCGTTTGTATTCGTAAATCTGTTGTTGTGTTATATGTTATTGTAGTTGTTTTTCATTTGTTGTTATTGTTTCGTAGAAGTAAATCCATTTATTAAATTCAAATACAAGTATATTGCTGGGTTGTATTGGTCGTTGAACGACTGATAGTGTGTGAATGGCCATTTGAGTGTGGCTGTGTTTGTGTTTGTTTGTTACAACATTTCTTTTGAATTGGTTCTCAACTCAACTCTTGTATTTTTCATTTTTCTTCTGATTAATTGAATAACGTTTAATGCAAAAAGATGATTATTCTATTTACTTTATCATTATTTTCCATTTCGTTTTACTTCTTGATGAAAACTGAACAATTTTCGTATGTTTCTGTTGTTGATTTGATATCATTATTAATAGTATTATTGTTGATGTTGTTAGTATCTTATCTGTATATTCATTTTTCTTTCACATAAATCTGAATTTCTTCAATTTTTTTTTTCTCGTTATTATGATTTTTCCATTCACTTTTCCATCATTCTTTCATTTCTTTTCAATTTCTTAATTTCGAAAAAAGAGTTTTGTTTTTCAAGGTGTTTGCAATTTTTTTTTGTTGATTTTTTTCTTCTTCTTCAAATCTTTTTTTCTTTCTTGTTTTGTGTGTAGTTTCATATTGATTACTAATAATATTGGTTTTTTGTTTGTTTTGTTTTTTTGTTGTTGTTGTTGTTTCTTTAAATTTAACGCATTTAAATTAGAACCTATTTTAATTCGGTTGCCGTATGAGCCGTTTCGTTTTTGTCGCGTCCGTTACGTCCTTCGCGCTCACGTTCATCACGTTTTTCTGGTGCTCCTGCAATAGCCGCTTGTGAACTACCACCAGCCTGGTTGGATTTCTGTTTCAGCATCGTCCAATCGAACGTGTAATCGTATTGATGATTCAATGTGCGGAAAAGAATTCTGAAAATTATTGAAAAGAGAGAAAAACGTGTTATTACAACTCTTTTACTTGTATTGATGGGATTAATTGATGGGTGGAAATGAATTTTGTGGGTAGGATGAAAGTCAATTCTGTGTTTTTCGTCGAAAAAGACCGCCTTTTAAAATGGTTTCTCAGGAAAATTTTGAAAACGTGATTTTGCCAGCAGTTCGAAATGACAAAGTAACCCAGAAAATGAAACCGCAAACGGTTTTATATTCAAAATGTCAAGCATTCTATTCGTAAAATCGATTTTGGATTCTAAAAAAAAACAGTTTAAACGCACAGATAAAAAGTGCAATGTAATTTAATCCATTTCATGATTCAGTAACTGGAGTAAATCGCAATACTCTCTGCAGAATGGTGAAATGGGGTTCCGCACATCAGCAAGAAAAAGAAACCACAAGAATGGTTTAAATTAGTCATGGCCTTTCGTATGCTCAGCATGCTGTAGTCAAAATTGATTAAAACCCATTGGCATACTCTCTGTGTGAATAGCATCATTGTATTGCAAAGAAAGCCGCCTGGATTGTATATCCCACCCAAAGCAATGAAATGAAGAAGAAGAAGAAAACGTACAGTTCGTTCAACTACCATTTCATGTTTAACAAACAATTGGGCAAGTCATGGGTTTATTTGCCGGTTGTGTGTGTGTGTGTGCGCGCTTAGGCGAATTCCGTCAATGAAACCCAGCATTTAAGATGTACTTAAAATGAGAATAACGCGCTCGGCAACAAACTTTAAATGCGACACAAGCCTTGAACTCAAGTGGATTTATTCTATTGTTAGCATTCAAAATTAGTATTTGATTCATTGACAGCCAAAATTTGTTACGGATCAACTCCATTAGAAAACCAAGGATGGTCATATTTATGCTTGAACGTATTTCATAATAATTTCGCACGCGAAAAAAAACTCCCACCCACGGTTCCGTCTAAAAAAGGTAAATTTCAACCGAAAAAGCCCCATACATTTCTTTTTTAACGTTGATCAGCAAATCAACGTTGATTGAAGTGCAGCAATTGCTGCTGTTCATTTAAATGAACTTATCAAAATCGTGTCAGAATCGTTTTTAAGCACGTTTGCCCTTCAAATTGTGATTCAAGGATACATTTTGGCTTGATATACATTCGATTAGCTGAGAACAATTCTAGGCAATGTCATTGCGACACTTTCAGCAACGTCTATTGATTAACGTGTATTACAGCGCGGGGCCGCTTCGCATTATTCTTGCAAAATAGATGGAGAATATGACATTGGCAATGAGTACGTGCCGTTGAAATGTTGGCCTCTATAACGATCAAATAGCACACATCGACTACACACTACGGAGTGTGCTTCTTTGAAATTTTAAATCATTGGACTAGAAATATGGCGTAGAACGCTGAAAATATCGATCTACCTACTTTTTGATGTTACAACACCTAACTATGATAAGTTAAACATCATTTTTGTTTTCTTCCAAATGGCTGCATTTAAATATCGTCGGCTAAAAATAACTTCTTCATTCTGTTTATTGAGTAGCTTGTTATTTTTGAGGTGGCAAAATGATATCGATGAAGGGATTACATGTGCTCTGTTTTCGTCGTCGTCATTCGTGACTTCGACCTTTTTCGAAGCGCACTTTGTTTGCTGCAGGATTATCCACTGCTCGAAAACAATTGAAACTCATTTGGCATTTTTGTTTTCACATTTTCCGCCTACTTTTATCAATAAAGGTGTACATTTCGAAAAATGCAGGCTACGACGCAGCAGCGACAGCATTGATTTAAATGTGTCCTGAATTTGGAGTGAATTGAATATAAAATGAAAAAAAAAGATACAACCGACGAATGACATCAACAAAAATGAAGCGAGCAAACAAAAAATAAAAAATCCAACAACGAAATGAAAGTTGATCGAATTGTGGAACCGAGTCGAATTGCCTTTTATTGCCTTATTTTAGCTCGACAACAATCGCCGTTACTACAACAGCTCAAACAACAGCCGAGCCGTGCACACGGTTCGCAGGCAGTCACACATTGTGATCGAACATTGTGTGTATATACATTAGTACACGGTGACCTGATTTTTTTCGCTAGTGCTGCTCTGTCATAGTCTCTCTTTCTTGTTCGCATCGAGTGTGAAGTATGTATATATGGCATCGGTACGCTTGTACGTATGTTGCATTTTGGTGCGCCTCTTCGTCGTCGTCGTCGTCGCCATCAACACATTTCAACACTATGCGAATCATTTTTAAAGACTGGGAGGATAAAAGTGGTTTTCGTTGCTAGTATAAATGCTGTAACCTAATACGTCATGCAGTTGCTTCTTCGGTGGTGATTATATTTCTTTTTTGTTTGTTTTTTTCTTTCATTATTTCCCACATACGAACGGCAATGAAAAAAAAATAGATACGAGAGACAAGAGCCACAACGACGCAGCAAATGCAGTGTACAACAAACCAAAAAGCGATAAAGAAGTAAATTGTGTGGACTTATATTTTCGGTGCAAGAAATAATAAAAACAACAACAATATCAACGTGCGATTTCATTTCGTGTATATGACGCTTAATCAGAGTGTTATTAGCCTCAAACTGTTGTAAGTTTTTTCTTCTTCTCTGGATGTCTGTATTGAACGGGAACGATAGCTTAAACACAAACAGCTGTGATGGCAAAACAAAATCCACACCAAATGGGCTATCGCGTCTATACAAAGACGTTCGAAATGGCTTGATGTAAACAAGCACACGCACGCTTGCCTGTTGACGTGCAAGAGCAAACGTTCAACTATGCCTTCAATCGTTCGCACTGTGTGTACAAAATGTATTGCTTCGACTGCTGCTGCTGTTGTCCATACAGAAAATACAAAATGCCATGGTGTTACAGCTGCAACTCACATACACATAGCGCGAAGTCGATGTCTTGTGAAGCGCGTTCACTGGCTGGCACATACAACCAGACAGCCAAAGAACCGTTTTGTTTAATATACAGATTTAAAACTGATTATGTTGGTTTTTTTTCCTTCTTTCTTTTTCTTCAATTGGGTTTCTTCAAACAATTTTATTTCGTGTTTTGCGCCGATCGTCCCTCAAAAAGTTATTGACTGATTGGTTTAACACGGCGCAATTGGTAACAATTTGTATTCGGTTTCTGATGAACCATTTTCGGAATTACATGAAAGCCCTAGAAAACTCTATCAAATGGTGTGACAAGATACGATGCCTTACAAAACACATTTTGGCTGTAACTCAACTTTTCTGGCTATTACTTTTAAACGATTGCTCCATTTGAGCGGCCAAATTTTCGAACCGTTTGCCAAATGCCGTTGTTGGATTGAGTTGGGCTTGCCGCGATCAGAATGGATTACCCAACGGTTCAAACCTTTGAACAAATTGCAAAATTTTGTTCGCATTCTATATGTAAATTGCGGCAGCAAAACAACAACAACAGAAAAAAAAACTGGTGGTGGAAAAAGTGAAAGCCCAAAGCAGATTCATAATGAAACGTAGAATTGTTGTGAATCAACATAAAAAGGAATGAGCAAAAAAACCCTGTCGATGACTGAAGTCACATACGACAAATCATTTTATTCGCAATAACAACAGAAAAAAAACGCTTTCCCAATGTGAATCGCAGTCATGTGCTCGTTCAAAGTACTTTTATTGCGCTAGCCAGTCTACTTCAACACGATTTAATAACAAAGCAAATATGATTATCGTTGCGAGAGACTGTGTTTGGGTGTTTTTTTTTTTGTTTGTGTAGGAATCGCGCATTGTATTTTTATGCAAATATCAAAATGTCACAAAAGCGGCGGCAGCGGCGCGGCACGGCAATAGAGTGTATAAATGAAGAACGATGTTTTGCTCGATGCGATAACGGTACATTTGAAGCGTCGGGTATGGTCGCCGATAATCGAAAAGAAGAAAGCGCGCCCCGCAAGAGTGAGCGATAAAAATCAAACGACGATGAGTGGACAGAGACAAAGCGAAACACTGACGATCGTATCGTCAAAAGTGGGATGACAACATTTTGCGAGCGGGCCAAGTGAGAAAGAACAGTGCAGCCAGCCTGATAAAAATAACAAACAACATCGAAAATTATTTTTGTCTATTTCAATCTCTCTCACTGATGGTGTGTATGTCTGAATCGAACGAAACGAATGTAACGAATGTAACGACGACGACGACGACGGCGACGACGACGACGGTGATGATGAAGAACGAATGTGAAAAACAACACAACCGCGATGCTCTCGAATCGCCTAGCTCAGTTTTGAGTGGCTTGAGTGGAACGAAATGAAGCAAACACAAAAACATCCACACGATGAAACAACATCAAATATGCGCGCAATATCGACGAAAGCTAAGCATAACGTTCTCTGTGGCAATCTCGCGTAGAATTTTGTAAAAGAAAAAAGAAGAAGCAGTAGCAAAACGAAATATAAATAAAGTTCCCAATGCCAATTATGCCAAAATGAAACATCAAGCATTTAGAAGTAAAATACATGGAAACGTGTGCGAGCAAGCATACGCGACTCGCTCTTGCAACTCGTCAAAATGTAATGTAATTCAAGACACATTCTAAGCGATTTTTTCTTGTTCATTCCTATTTCTGCTTACTGATCGAAATACATATCAAAATATTGATAACTCAAACCAAACAACCGCAACCGTTTACCTTGAAGAAGGCAGAAAAAAACACACAAATAATAATCATGCGAGAAAATGACTGTGACTATGAATCATAAATGCGCACTCTAAACACTCTACAGACAGCGTGCTTCACCGTTTAGACAGTTTGTGTCGCAAAATCGACAATTCATTTTATTTTGCATGTTTACAACATATTTAGAGCCTGTGAAATTTTTTCCATGGAAATTTTCAACCAATTACAATATCAATACGGTTTTTTTTTGTTTCTATTCTGTGATTCTCTTTTTTTTCGTGGAACATCGTCATCGTCGCGTATTTAAACGTCTTCAGACTTTCGTTTCTTTTTTTCGTTCGTGAAATGGGAAATAGCGCATTGAAGAAAAAGAAATGTGCACACATTGTTGTGTATGTATGTAAGAAGTCTCTTTTCTTCCGATGAATTTCTTGAACAACAACAATAAATAAAAAAAAACTACGTTCATTTCTTTCTATGGCCTTACACAAAGCCAAGCGCAACAATTCGGTTTTGTGAGCGAGAGCAAGAGAGAGCGAGACACAGACAGAGAGAGATGAACACCAAACCCATACACACAATACACACGAACAGAGAGCAATTAATAACACTAAAACACGTTTGTAAATCGTTGGCTGGCTGGCTGGCTGGCTCGCTAGCTCGCTGACTTTTCTTTCTTTCTACGTATTGTGTGTATTCGCGTAACAACAATATTAGTCGAGGCAGCGAAATGAAATCCACTATAGAGTAGCGTTTTTCTTCTTCTTCTTCTTCTTCATGTCTTTTGTACAATGTACTTGTGTACTCACAATGAAAGAAAAGCCAGAAATAAATGCGATTCACATTTATTGGCTGAACTGGCTGGGTTGGTTGGTTGGTTCGTTGTTGGTTGGTATGGGTGCACTGAATATGGAATGTCTTTGCAATAATCATAATCGTTTTATTTTTCTTCATCTCTCTCGTTGAATATTATTATTTAAATGTCTTCAATGATCGACGAAGCGTCTGCAATTTTATAAAAATAGGCATATTTCGAAATAGCATAATATTATAAATCGAAAAATGTAACTGAATGCACGTTCAATGCATGAGCACTCGCTTGAGAAAATTGACAAATTGCGAAAATGATACGAAGCACTACACATGGCTGCAGAAAAAATTTGTTACCATTTTACTCGGTGTTACGTGTAGATTTCATCATCGTTTTGCAAAATTGCAAAAACAAAACTATGACTAATTGACATTGGGCCTTTTCGAGCTGATAAAATCAACAACAAATATTCAATCGAAAACATTAAATAAAATGTGCTGCGAACGCGTGATTCAATTGGAAACGAAATGATGTACAATCGGATGGAATTGATTTGATGCGTATTTTGTTTTGAACGTTGAAATATCACTTACCTGAACAATTGTCGCAAGTACATGTAATCAGGTGCTTCATCGAAGCGCATCGTTCGGCAATAGTTCAAATACATGGCGAACTCAGCTGGGAAGCCTTTGCACAGGACTTCAATCGGTGTTGACATTTTCTTCTCGGATATTCGTTCGTATTTTTGTTTTTTGTTGGTCGCTTTCAAGCCTTGCCATGGCAATGAGCCTCGATTGAAATACATCATAACATAGCCTAATGATTCCATGTCATCTCGTCGCGATTGTTCGATGCCCAAATGTGCATTGATTGATGCATATCGAGCGGTTCCGGTGAGATTTTTGTCTTCGCAGTAGCCAATGTGCATGCGGGTACGGAAATCACGGTACTTTTTCGCCAATCCAAAATCGATTAAAAACAATTTATTACAATGGCGACCGATACCCATGAGGAAGTTATCGGGTTTGATATCACGATGTATGAAGCATTTACAATGTAAAAATTCCAAACGACCAATCATCTGGTCGACCAGCATGAGAACAGTTTTGATTGTGAAATGGCGGCTACAGAAATTGAACAGATCCTCGAGCGATGGACCCAACAAATCCATGACCAACACATTGAAATTCTTCTCTTGGCCATAGTAACGAATGCGCGGAATACCAACACCGCCGACCATAATGCGATACAATTTGTACTCGTACAGCAACTGCGGATGACGTGCATTGACTTCTTCCATTTTAATGGCCACCTCTTCGCCGCAGACGACACTCAGGCCAAGGAAAATATCACCAAACGATCCACTGCCAATCTTTCGAATCACACGATATTTTCCACCGACGATGAAGTCATTGTACTTGATGTACGGATCCAGTTTTGCAGCCACACGATTCATTTTGGCTGGCTAACCTGGCTGGTTCTTCGATAAATTTATATATGGATATTTCAACAACGACGGAGTGGAAAAACACGGCCACACAAAATTCCACAAAACCCGAGAAAAAATAAACTTAAAAAAAAACTACTTCAATCAATTTGCTCGGCCGTTTCGAGCGAAACCGAATTGCGATGCGAATGAAATGAGAAATAGCCTTTCTGTGTGTCTCAGTGTTGTTCAATGTGTGTGAAAAATTTTCGAGTTCAGGAAGCTCAACTTCTTTTTTTTCTTCTCCTCTTTGCACTAGAAATTTTACGTGAATATTAATCGCGTTTTTTTTATTAAATCCATCAATTTTTCCATTCAATTTTCGAGATTATTGTTTCAATTTTCTGTCTACGATAATTTTCACACGAAACGCATCCCACAAAATGCACTTTTTTGCCAAAAATTTTACTCGTTTTTGCTCGTCGATTTTACGTTTTACGTCGTCACATCACCAGCATTAACACTTACTGTTCTCTGACAATGAGGCAGCCATTTTGCTTCTTTATTTCGATGTTATTCTCTCTGTCTCTCGTTTTCTCTTTTTTTCTTTCTCGTTGCCTTCGTGAGAGCTCGTCGTAGTTGCCACTACCAACCGATACGTATTACGAACTGTCACATGGCGCTGCCGTTGCCATTGGGCAATTCGGTTTACGTATTTTTTTCTTTGTTTGACATATAATTTCCATCGGTTTGTCTATTTCAATCGAAGCAATCGAATTGGAAATATATTCAGTTTTTTTACATTTATTTTCGTGTCATTTTTTCTATTTTTCAGTCCAAAGAAAATAAATCAATAATTTCAACATCTATTCCATTGAATCTGTTATTACGTTTTGCATACGAATCGGTTTCATGCACTGAAATGAAATATTTGAAATGAGCAACTCGGTCCAGATGTTTGTGCTCAGTTAAAACCTATCCGCAACACACTTTTGACGCAAGTGTCAAAACCAAAACAAAAAAGAAGAAAATACAGTTCAGAATAGCACAAACCGTACGCTAGGTCAGCGACGCAATATCGTTAACAGTAAAAAATAATCATCACGTTCGAATTAACAAATGGGGTAGTTGTTACATTGCATGATTTGATTTCGTGAATGAACTCAATTATTGTGAAACTGTTCAAAGTCAGCAATATCACATCATTCGCACACAAAATGAGTACAGACAGTTTTAAAGGTGTTCCATTGGCCAAAATTTATCGCGGTCCGAATGAATGGCATTTGAACCATTTACCGCCAATTGAGAACAAACGCCACCATGTTGTGTTATATCAATTGCCCATTGCAAAAGATTCAACAACACCACCAAAACCGCACATCGGTGAAGCCAAATGGGATGCAAATCACGTGAAATTGGCCTGTTCACCACACAACGAATACAAAACGGAAAGTTCGGTAAGAATCTAATTTTAATGGAATTTTCAATCAAAATCCACTTTGTTATCTGCTGAATTTTAATGAATTATCATTTGTGTCGCAGAGTGACCCGACAAAAGTGATCACATCACCACGATGGGAAATTATTCAGACAGCGTTACTACGTGAAATTGACTCCAGTCGAGAATTGCAACAACAGATTTTAACGTACAACTCCAAATACGCAAAGGAATGGAAATTCGATTCGCTGCACGCGCTATTTGAACTAGTAAGCATAATCTTGAAAAGAGAAACACTAAAATCGAACGGCAAACTTCAACATTTCATTTTGTGATGAAATTCAAGAGTGAGAGATGACATTTCATTTCTTTTAGCGACATTTTTACCTATAAACTATTTTAACTTTATCACAAAAATACACATCCAATTGGACGTGTATTCGTGCTGAACTGACAATGACATAATCCAATAGATTAGGATGTTTTGCATTTGATGTTGCGTTATCAGCAAATAAATACGATTTTTTCATATAAATGAATCTATCTCGTTTGTATGATGCAATACAAAGCCGTCATTCAGCGTTATTATTACGAATGCTTTTTTATTTCATACCCAACAAACTTTTAGTCTCATCCCATTAAAATATTTTCTCATTTTTACTCATTTCGTTATTTAGGAACTGGATGACGCCGAATCTGAACAATTTTTCCGTAAAACATTGCCGGGAATCATTGGACTCGCATTACAATTGCCGCATCTCGTGCCGAGCGCAATTCCATTGCTGAAACGTGGCGAAAATAAATCGATTTCGTTGAGTCAGCAACAGATTGCATGCCTCTTGGCGAATGCATTTCTTTGCACATTTCCACGACGCAACGAGAAATCACGATATTCAGAATATTCATCGTATCCTAGCATAAATTTCAGCACCTTATTTGATACACCCGGTGACCAGAATATCGAGAAAATCAAGTGTATTTGCAATTACTTCCGACGAGTGTGTTCGAAGCGTGAGTTGAATCCCTAGAACAATTGCAACAAATAATCTTCCATTAGCATGGATGTTCAATTGAAAATGTTTTGCTTTTTTTTTGTCTGATTAGCGCCAGTTGGTGTGGTTACATTCACCCGACGCTCGGTGTGTCAGTTGCCACAATGGGATGAATGTTCAACAACATTTGCCGATTCAATGCTTCATGTGTCCGAGGACGGAACCATTGAAGACGATGGCGACGGTCTATTGCAAGTTGATTTTGCAAACAAGGTAACCACATTGAATCCACATGTTTTCTCATTCATGTTGTGATAATTGTAATTTTGATTCTCGCCTTGCAGTTCCTGGGCGGCGGTGTTCTCAACTACGGTTGCGTCCAGGAAGAGATTCGATTCATGATATGTCCAGAGCTGTTGTGCAGTCGACTCTTCACAGAAGTGTTGGACGATAATGAATGTTTATTGATCATGGGCTGTGAACAATTCAGCAAGTACAGTGGTTATGCATCAACCTTCACATGGACAGGAGACTACCTGGATCGAACACCGTTTGACTCATCCAGAAGACGAAAGTGTACAATTGTTGCCATCGATGCCTATCCGTTTAAACAAAGGGCCGCACAGTACCAAGAAGATATGCTCCGAAGAGAATTGAATAAGGTAATGTGACAAAAGCAACGGAACAACAAACTTTTTGGACGAAATTTCGTTCAATTTGTATGTTAAGCTAAGTACACAGTTCCTTGTAAAATGAAAAAATTTCTCCGGTGAAATTTTCACCAGTGATCTTTGTATCAAGTTTTTTTATATTCAAATTGCAAGTATAATGATTTTTGATATATAAAACAGTTAGCCGCTATCATTATCAACACAACATATCAATAAATTTGTGTTTTGAATTTATTCTTCTATTTATTTTCACCTCTACAAATTTTTTCACGGTCGTGAAAAAATTTTCGCGTGCAAAATGCACGAGAAAAAAATTTCACGACCGTGAAAAAATTTGCTGTGACCGAAATATATAGAAGAATAAATTCAAAACACAAATTTATTGATGTATTGTGTTGATAATGATAGCAGCTAACTGTTTTATTCATCAAAAATCATTATACTTGCAATTTGAATATAAAAAAACTTGATACAAAGATCACTGGTGAAAATTTCTTCGGTGAAATTTTCACAGGTGATATTTTTATGGTGTTTTTTATTTTCGAATTGCAAGCATAATGATTTTTGATGTATAAATCAGCTAACTCATTCCAATATCAACACGACACATGAACAAATTTAGTTTTTGAGTTCATTCTTCTATGTGTTTTGTCTAAACAATTTTTTTTCACGGTCGTGAAAAAATAAGAAAGATCAAAATAAATTCAAGAATAAATTCAAAATTGAAATTTGTTCATGTGTTGTGTTGATATTGGAGGGAGTTAACTGTTTCATACATCAAAAATCATTATGCTTGCAATTCGAAAATACAAAACACCATACAAATATCAACTGTAACAATTTCACCGGAGAAATTTTTTCATTTCACGGGGAACTATGTACTTAGCTTTACGCGTGTAAATGTGCTAAATGACTGGAATCTCATTCGAAATTCTGATTTGAATCCAAATGAATTTGGTAATTTAAGGCGTATGTTGGATTCAAACACGACCTAAGTAGCCCAGCACCTGGTATAGCGACGGGCAATTGGGGCTGTGGTGCATTCAACGGTGACAAACATTTGAAATCGTTGCTTCAGCTCATGGCATGTTGTGTCACCGAACGACCATTGGTTTATTTCACATTCGGCGACGAGCAGCTACGAGATGAACTCTTCACGATTTACGAGTTTTTGAAACAGAACAAAGTGAAAATCTGTAAGGGAACTTCTTGATCAAGATTAATTATTTAATGAAGTAAAAAGGGAAATGCATTCATATCAACGTTGTTTCATTTTCAGCCGAGCTATGGGCATGCTTGCTAGAGTATGGAGGCCAAAGAAGACGAAGCCTCCATCTGTATGAATTCATCATGGCGAATCATCAGGATATGAAGTAAGTATTCTGCGCTTCCAAGATTTCTTCTGCGTATTCCACTCTCAAATAATCACTAACCATTTTCACAATTTCCGTTAATCGAATTTCATCACAAACTGTCTCTGATTTTGGCTCAATCGCTTTGTCCTCTGTCATTTTTCTTTCTTCTCAAAGAGATCGCAAACCAAGTACTAACGGTCAATGTTCGAAACAAGCAAACAGATCGGCAGATAAAACAACATTGAAGCCAAAGCCAATATCGAAGCTCCCATCGAAATCGCGATTGAAACAGACTAAATCGGATGATGACTTGGCTACAATTGACTTGGATGACATTGAATCGAAACAATATGATATTGAAGATCCCGATGATGACGATCAATATTCGCCGGATGAAGCATTCGAAATGTCACAAAAATTGGAGCATCGACCGCGACTCACCCGAAGTGGTTTGTCGTTAGCAGAAAAGGCAAGCCCGAATGAAAAGCGATCGCTTGGAAATCGGTCAGTTCATGATTCGCCTTCGGACAGCCGACCCGCTCAAACGATTTCCAAATTTTTTCCGAAACCACCATCGAATGCGACTGAAAAGTCTGAGAACCAAGATAAGCGCCCGCGATCGCTGTTATTGGAAGGTCTTGATGCGGATTACAGTCGAAAATCACCGCCAAAAATCAAACGAATCTCCGTAACACCCACAAAAACTGTGATTTCATCTAAGAACACATCGATTGAACTCAAGCCAGAGTTAAAAAGTCCTACTACGCTTAATGATGACATGGAAGTTGATGAAAAATCGACGACAGTAAGCAACGACGACAGTATATACGAAACAGCAGACGATGAATCGAATTATGGAGAAAAAGAGTTCAAAGATGTGTCCGTCCAGCGTAAAAATACCTCCATGTCGGAAGATTTGTTCGAATCGGATGGAGAAGAAACTAAAATGGACGTTAGCGGTCATGATGTTACGGAATCAAATGTCGAGCGAAAGAAAAACGAAAGCAAAACACCAATGAAAAGCATTGATCGACAGCCTGGTATCGAAAGCTATCTCATAAAGCATAAACGCCCGAAGACGTCAACATTCGGCAACGCAAACAAGAAAACGGCTTACGATTCAAACGAATCGGGCAGTTCAAAATCACCAAGTGATCACCCATTTAGCACTTTTCGCGAAGAATCTGATTCGCAAAGCGAAGCACAAGAAGATAGCTCAAAAGAACCAACCGAGATTGAAGGTGAAGAAGCACTTCTCACCGATGACGAATCAGACAAGGATGTGCAGGCAGAAACAAATCATCTCAAGACATTGAACGTTACATCGGATGAAACAATCATACAAATCGAGTGAAAAAATGTCAACACCGAAAGGCTACAAATAATTTACTAATCATTGATGTTAAGAAGATAAACACTTACTTTTGTTGTAATGCATAAGATTTTTGTTCCGGTATGAAATACCACAAATCTTATGATGTAAACTCAAGAGTGATTTTTCCTAATGAATCAAACAAAATTTTATAAGAATAAAATCATTTGAATATTTTCCAATAAAAATGAAGAAATAAACAACAAATTGCCATTCTTTTTATTGAATTTATTATTAAATTACTTTTTTTTATTTAACATTTATACAACAAGAGGTTTGTCATTTTATGGTAATTTTTTGTCTGGTTTTCATTCAAAAAAAAAAACTGCTCGAATATTCGAATATCATTGATAATAATAACTTCGGTAATTTTGTGTTTGCTGTTTTCATTTAGTTGGTTGATTTAGCGAGCAATGCCAAAAAACTTGTTTTCTTGAAGAACTACATCGAAATATATTGAAATTTAGATCATTTGTGGCCAAATGTTATCCATGGATTTTTATTCCAAATCAAGAATTGTTTTTCATCAATTTTTTTTATCAAATAAACAATTTCTGTCTGTTTCAAAACATAAAATTTAAAAATTAAATATCAAAGCATATCTTTGCTGTCAAACTTTTCCTTTCGTAAACCTTCAATTTCAACTCTTTTTTTACTTCACATTTTATTTGTTTTTTTTTTGCTAAAAAAAACGTGTCATTCGGTCACCTTCTTTTTGTGTAAAATCATTCCATCCATTCACTTCTTCATTTTGGTTTTTGTTGTTTAAACTATCTAAACGGTAAAACCTTAATGCTACTTTACAGATTCCTTCTCTTTTCCATCGCTCGATGCGGCTTCCGGTGATGGAAGCCAAAAATAGATTCTATTGCCATGTTTCTTCTTTTCTCTTTCTTTCTCTTTCCTCCATTCTCCTGTCTGTTCACATTTCACATTCACATTGTTTGTTCCTTATAGTATTCACCAAAACCAACCAGATAAAATACGCTAATAAATAAATCTCAAAATAATAAAATTCTGTGTTCAATAAATAAATTACAAAAATGGTAACAAATAGCTTCTTATTGCAGCTGAAAAGAAAAGATCGATTCACGGTCTATGTAAAATGGTAACTGTGTGTTGTTGTTGTTGTTCATCGTTTTGTTTGTTTGTTCACGGTGTGTAGAAATATAGTCTTCATTTTGAAAAATATGTGAGTTGTTCGTTGTAAAGGTTTTTTTTTAGTTTTTTCTTCATCTTTTGTATAAATCACATCCATTCCGTGTGTGTGTGTGATCGATTCGTTTTCTTTTAAATTACACGAAACTAATACATTCCCCCGAATTCTCTCCTATCGAATACTTGTTCCATTCAAATGTTGCATTTATTTCTTTCTTTTGGAATCGGGGGAAACAAAATTCGGAAGTGACGCTATCCTCATTTATTCGATTTTATTTGATCGGTAAAAACATATTGTTTTTGGTACGGTATTTATCGGCAGGTCAAGTTCCTGTTTAGTGGTTTACTTTTGTTGCTCAAAATTATAAGCAATCTTCAGGTTTTTATTGGATTTTTCTTTACTTTGAACCAATGGCTTGTTATGTGAAACTAAACTTTATTAACTTTTTTTTTTGTTCTTTTTCCAAATTTTTTCATTTATTTTTCCCAAACTTAGTCTAAACTGATTGAAAAAAATTGAACCAAAAAAAGAGAGATAAAAAAAATGATGATTACACTAAATCGCTCCTAAATTTCCATTGCAATTTTGACATGATTACAACATTTAAATCTTGAACAATTAATCGATAGATAGATTTTGTGATTTTTTTTAAATTTTAATTTTACTTTAAATTTTTGTTGTGATTAATTTTTTTTTGTCAAATTTTTTGATCTTTTTTTTGCCTAATCTAAAAAAAAGTTTGAATTTAGAGATTTTTTTCTTTAATTTTTATTTAATGAGTACGATAAAAGTGTTCATTTTGCCATTACATTTGTGTTTAATTTCAAATTTTGATTGCATTTCAAAAGAAACTTCAAAGTGGAACGTCTTGTTCAAATCTATAAGAAATTCCCAATTAATCGTCGAATTTTAAAGGCTTTCGCTAATTTTACGCACCGAAATTATTAGAAAAAGAAAATGGTTGTCTTCCAATTACGATACTCCGATTATTTTCAACTAAATTCGAGAAATTAGCTCTTCCGCGCTGGTTTTTTTCTTATTCACTTTTAGAACATTTCGTTTTTTTTCTACTTTCGATTCACAAAGAAAATCAACGCAAAAAACGTTCACTGAAACTCATAATTACAAACCGCGTTATCACATAGTTCATTTAATCTATTTTTTTTTTTTTGTTAAGTTTAAAAAGTAATTTTATGTTATAATAGCACCTCAATACAATGATTGTATCAGTTTGTGTGTTTTTTTTTCTTTCGGCGAGGGTTCCTTCATAACTTAGGTGGAAATTAACGTAAATCATTTTGAGGTTTTTATGAATCAAGAGGTTCCAATTGAAAATGTTTTCTTTTTTACTTGTTTGACAGTTTATTTATCTGTTCACAAAATTTATTTGTTTGTTTTGTGTCCTCATCTATTGCCATTTTTGGACAACCACAATTTCGTTGTTTTTTTATTTCAGTTGAAAATTCATACTGAGGAAATTGAAATGCGATTAAAAAGTAGATTGAGCAAATGGGTAACTATTCATAGTTAGTTTCATGAAACAAGTATTATTGCTATGATTAAAAAAAAATCAATGGATGTGCATATGGCTCAAGTTATGTATTCAGTTTGGTGAAAATGTAAGCAGCCAAGTGCTTTTCCAAAACTGAAGTGTCCAGTGCTTGTGTGGAGCGAATAAATAAGAAACTAAAAACTCGGAATCGACCATTTGAAAAGAAGAGTTTTGAATAAATGGAGTGAGGCTGGTCGGTAATAATGGTGAGAAATCAGTCTCTGTCTTCTATTTGTTTGCATATGTTACAAAAGCATTAAAAAAGTCTATTGCAATGTTATTTGAGTGAGCAATCGCTGTGCTACTTCAGGCTGTGCTGCTTTGGTTTTTTGGTTTCTTATTTCATTGTTTGTAAAAAATAACCAATCGAACCAATTCAAAGAATAAATAATGTGTAAGCTGTGTCCACTGGTAAATGTAGGCGATAACGATCCTTGTTAAGTCTAGTAAATATCACAATCATTATTCGTCGCTTGCTTCTGCTGAATTCTTTCTCTTCAACTTCAAATTCAATCGTTACAGTTTCTGTACATTCGTTACGCGCTCCTAAAAACGGTGTGCATTCCATCCCAATCATCAAAATCCACCCATAATAAACGAAAAGAAATACCGTTATTCTCAAAAGGTAACCCAAATTTGCCCAAAATGAAAAAGAAAAAACGTTTTACGTAGAAAAAAAACTCGAAAGCTGCCTAATGACTAAACGTACTCAAAATTTCATCTCAATAATGTTCAATGATTTATTTATCCATTTTTTCTTCGTCGTACCGAAGTTAAGAATTTGGAGAACGAAAAAAAATTGCTCAAATTTCAAAAAAATTTAGCGTTGATTTTCTACTACGATTTTAAAGAGCTAAAGTTAAGTGTTAGTGTGTTTCTTAAGTGAGTTTTTTTTTGTTATTCTTTTTCTCTTTCTGTGTGTGATCCTATAATGTCAAAATGCTCAAAAATGTTCAAAAGTGTCCCAAAAATTTGGTTTTACACACACACTAATACCGAAAATCTAAAGGTTGCTGCTGCATTGTGAAAAACCTCCTAAAAGTAAAATTTGTTAGCTTTTTTTTTAGTCAAATGTTTGCAAATGAGTTTTTTTTGTCTGTTTGCCAAAACATGTATTTTTTTAATCATTTTTTTGTTGTTTGTTTAAATACGACACCGAAACTACTTGTAATTATTAATTTTGCTTTGTGTGAGTGAGTGTGTATGAATGATGATAATACATAGACACCAAAAAACACCAATATATTATTTAGTTAAAGTTAAAAATATTTTCATTAGTTTTTCTCTTCTTCTTCTTTTTTGTCTGCAGTTGTTGCACTTCGTTTCATTTACTTTTGCGCTTAATTTTGTCCACGAAATGCGTGTGTGTTTTTTTTCCCAAAAAATGATAAAATGCTTAAGCATAACGAACATGTCAGTCTCGTTACTGTTTTCATTGCTCTATTCGAACTGAAGGAAAATCATCATAGCATATCAAGGACACAAACAAGGGGAAAATACCTAACCAATTCAGTTCAACTTAAGAATATTTCATCTTATTGTTTTGTCCCCGCGTTCACTCAATTTGTATTTAGTTTTAATGTTTCGTTTGTTTTTGAAACCTTATTTCCAGACATATTGTGCATGTGCTAGAACATCTCATTAATGATGCCGCTTTTTTGCACATTTTTTTTGTTACGTTTTGTCTCAATTTGCACAAAAAAAAATCGAAACGAATCGGTCGATTCATATCGTTCTCTCTGGGCTCATTGATTTCGTTTTTTTTCTTTTAAAATAGCTTAATTAGTCATACATATAGATTTTGTAAAAATTTTCAACTGACGCTAATATAATATAAAAACACATCTCCATAAATATTACGTGGCTTTCTCCATTTTGTTCAGCTAGTCGATCTTATCGTTTGTTTATCATTTTAAGTCTAATGTCGTTCTACAAGGAGAAATGAGCAACTTTTTTCCTTCTTTCTTCCTTTCTCTCTCTCTCTCTCTTTCTTTCTTGTTTGTCATTCCTTTTTTTCGTTCACACATTCATTCGGCGGTTCAACAAAATGCACATAATCCATTTCTTAACAAAATTGTATCACTTGTACGGTTGCTGGTAACTTAAAGTTCTATTGACTAGATCGAGAGGAGAGTATGTGAAAAAATTCTAATATATTTTGAAAGAGGAGAGTATGATTTCTGTTGATTCTATCTGCGTTAAAAGGAAGTATGTTGGCATCCCGTCTAGCCTCCGCGGTTTTTCACGGTTTCCGCGAAACTGATAAAAGATAACAACATGGTGTCTTCGGCAAAGTTGTAGCACTCGAGGTCTTCTATAACATTGCTGAAGACATCTATCTCTTATCAGTTGCGCGCAAATCGCGCACATAAAAAAGCAAATTTTATATAGAACTTTTTTTTCTTATCATTTTTCGCGCTTTTCGCGGAACTGATAAGAGATAAGAGATAACTGACTTCAGCAATGTTATAGAAGACCTCGAGTGCTACAACTTTGCCGAAGACACCAAGTTGTTATCTCTTATCAGTTCCGCGGAAACCGTGGAAAACCGCGAAGACCCGCCAAAAATGAATATACTCGCCTTTAACCATTTTTTAGTCGAAAGAAACTTACTCTTCTCTTTCACAACAAAGTCAGATGAACTTACTCTCCTCTCGATCTAGTCAATAGAGTTGTTGTTCGGTAAAAATAAAATTCAGCAAAAAAAGCCGACATCACTATAAGAGTGAGTCGAAAACAAATATATATATATGTACTATCTCTCTTGGTTATTGCATGCTCTGTTTAGAATTGATGCGAATTTGTTTAATCTATATATAGTTTCTGTTTATCTCTGCGATGTATAGTTTGGTTGTTCGTTTTAATTTGGACCAGATCCAAACCGGAAGATTTGGATGCTGACCTAGGAGTTTTGGTTGGGCCCCGCTCCATTTGGCAGAGCGAGGCTTGTGCTTATGTTCTGTGCTATGAAGACTATTTCATGCATTTTGGCTATGTTTGTATAGGAACATTGAAAACATTATAAATTAATTGCTCCATCTCTCTCTCTCTCTCTTGAACAAAAACAAACCGCATCACCAACAGTCTTTTTGCCTATCCTTTCGTGCCGCGCATTTCTCTACAGATCTGTGTATACATAGTAAGTGGTTTATTGTATATATAATAATTTCCGTATTAATTTCAAAAATGTTCCATCCATCTCCGTGTGTAATCGTTTATCACTTGTTTCTGGTTTCTTTTGTTGTTTATTCTGTGTAATTAATATAAAAACACTTAGAAAAATTGGACACATACACAGTTAGTATTTTCGTTCGTTTTGTTCTTGTGGCTGTTTTTTTAGTGGTATTTCATCTATTTCAATAGTAAAAAATAAAAAAAGACTTTTGTCGAACCATTTTTTTAGTGTTTAGTAGCATTTTAACATGTTATATTTTAGTTGCCGTTTTAAATCGAGTTGTTATAAGCAACGAAACCCTCCGCAAACTGAGAAGTGAATTGGTGGATTTCGTTGCTTTGCTCCAGCCAAAATGTTCGACATAAAATCTATTATAGGTATTGCTTATATTTTTCGGGGGCTCTATTGTAACTCGTTTTGCTCAGTTTGGTTCGTTTTGAATCTTCTTCGCCTTTTTCTTTTGTTTTACTTAATTCTTACAATAAATTACTGTTGTTGCATCGTTGTCTGAATGTGAATACCTACTATAAAGATACAGTTTAAAGTTTGATTTTCAATCTCTTGTCTCTTGTCAATAGAAAAAAACGACACATTTTCTACTTCATTTTCTATGCGAAAAACTGTTTTTTTTCATCATTTTAAATTTTTCGCTTTTTTTTACTTTAGTTTGTACAATTGGTTTCAATTTTTTTTCCTTTTCAAATTAAATCTATTCCACGCTTTTGAACAAAATACTTTTTTCCAACTCAAGCTACTTATTAAGCAGAATTGCGTCAATGCCTATAGAAATGTAATTACACATACAATGAGAACAATGTTGACTCAACATATATGTGACCGACGCAATCACTGGCGAATGTGTTTGCGTTAAAAAGGATTGAAATGATGTATGTTTTGCCTTTTTTTGAGTATAGATTTTTTGCTTAAATTTGTTTAATTTGACCAAAAGTGTGTGTGTGTGTGTGTGTGTGTGTGTGTGTGTGT